CCCGGCCCTCAGCACCAGACGAGTTGGTGACTCCCTCCGCCGAGCCATGCAACTCAAGCCTCTTCCACCCACTCGAGCGAGGTCCGCCGGCACACATCCCCCCATCCACATCCAAATCCACCCACGCCCACCCGCTGCCGTTTTCCACCTTTCTGGTCGTCGGCCTGCTGCGCCTTGACGAGGCCCCTCGCGATGGCAGTCCCGCTGTGGCTCTCGTCCGCCCGGAGGGGGGACCCTGCCTGCGCCGTCTGGTGCCTCGCCGCCGTGCATTAGACGCGCTGCAGGCCTCTCGTCACCTGGTGGGTTAGTCAGACTGCGGCCGCCTCTCGCTCGCTCGCGCCGCTGGTGCCTTGGACTTTGCTTCCCGATCAGCAAGCCAGCCGAGGTGAGGTGTCGTCGACGGGCGACTGATGGGAGCCTCCACGGGCGTGTCGATAGTGCCGGCACGTCCTATCCTGTCCTGTCCTGTCCTGTCTCTCGGACCCGTTTCTTCCGCCAGGCTGCGACCGCTATAAGGCTGCGATGCCTCGTCTCTCTGGCCTTGCCTCTCTATCCTGGTTTCGTCATAGCTCACGGCACTCTTTTTGAACCCTTTTTCTTGCCTCTTTTCTTGCCTCGTCGTCGTCGTCGTCTTCTGCTTTCTGCTTGCATCTGAGCCTTTCGTCTCTTTGCCACCACCTCCGCCCCTCCTCTACCCTGCCTGCCTGTCCAAAGCTAGACACAGATTCCGCATCCCGCTTCAACTGGCCAAGTCCTCCAAAGTCCGCAGCCGTGATCCTCGACGTGCTTGTTGGCCCGAAAATAAGACCCCGTCCGGCCCTCGGCGCGGTCCTCCCGCCAACCGCCCAACTTACTCGCTCGAGGCTCGCCAACAATCGCCGCTGTTTTCCGTGACCATGTGCTACCAACTCGTCGAGCTCTACTCGGCGTGCCGGTGTCTCTACTACCAGCATGCCATCGATCGATGCGCCTCATATGGTCGACGCGGGCACGGCATTCAGCAACGCACAATATATGTAGGATATGCCTGCACAGCGCACTCCAGTCGGGGCGCCGAGTATGCCTCCACCTACAGCTACTCCGACTCGGGCTACCACAGCAGTCGCTCGAGTCGCAAAGGCTACCGGTGAAACGTGCTGTCTTCGATAACGGGCTGCCAGCCACCCAGGTCTTCACGACTGAGCCTCTTCCATTTCGAGGATTGGGTCTCATATCTCTACTCCGTCAATCCCTCACGACTCTCCTCCATGTTGGTCGGCTACAGAAGCCAAAGTCGAATGGCCCCATCGCCCGAGACCTGAGAAGCAGCTGTGCACTTGCGTTATCGAAGACACGACACCAACGAGGAACGGCCTTGCTTCTGTCTCACGATCGGGCCGTCGTCATGAGAGCCACGTCGCCAATCAGCCGACCGAACGACCACATGTTTCTGTCTGAACATTCGGCCTACCGCCAGCGATTTCTTCTGTTGATGTCAACACCTGGGTTTTTGTTTTACATTTCGACTTTTATTTGCATAGCGTGGAAGGGTATTGGGACCATGGTTTCCAATTGCGCAGCGAGATACGGACGGCATGACCTCTGCAACGACGACAGTCAATTCCCACGGCCGTTTTGTTTGGTTGCGCAGCGGATTTGTTTTTCCACCCCTACGGATTCTGGGCAAAGGTCTCTGGAAGGCATTCAGGATCTGTATGTGGAGGATTGGGCCACCGCAAGCTGGCTGTCACGGCAACCCGGATTTATTTTGCTGGTGCTTGGGAAAGAGGGGCATATACCAGGCGTTTGGAGGTCACGAACTACGGTAATGTTTGCTGGACCGCGGATGGTTACAGAGGTTGGAAGGATATCATCTTGGCCGGGGCCTCACCGAGGCGAGGCCCCGGGTGGCCTTGGGGCTTCCTTCCTTGGGCGTTTTCTTTGGGTCTCCTCACTCTTGTTTTTCCTGTTGTCGTTTCTCCCACAGAGTGGGCATGCAGATTCGCATGCTCACGGTCTGCGCAGGCCGCAGTCACACAAAGCAACCCGGCGGCGGGCACCGCCAGAACTAAAGTTAGATTCCATCGGACGCGCACTGGATGCAAGAGCCGATCTAGCGCTAGACAATATATGAGTCCGCTACTCAATTCTGATGACCTCTGCTTCTGCTGCATCAGGGCCAGCAAACTTGGTTTGCCTGGTGCTTGAACCTTTGGCGAGCAGGGCATGATCGCGGGCTGCATGCGAGGTCCCACGGCCAGCCAATGGATTCACACGAATTTTAGGCGTCAGCGATGGCGTCTGGAGTCACAAGACGGTGGCCGAGCCCATGAATCCTCGTTCGCTGACGAACTAGTTACGGGCTGCACCAATGCCAGATCCCACGTATCGCCAGCCCTGGATTGATGAAATCGCGAGTGTGCAATCGAGAGACGCCCTGGCAGGAGACAGCTCTAAAACAAGGCCGATGGAGACGGCCGGATGCCAAACACAAGCCACGGGCTGACATTGAAACTTAGCTCGAGGGACCGCCAGCTCGGCGGCGAGGCTACGGGCGGACTTGGCCGTGTGCGGGTATGGCGGGCGGCGGGGGGACCAAAAATAGAAGCACCGCCTAATCGGGAAGCGCGGACGGGCGGGCAGGCGAGCGGTGGAGCGAGTGGAGGTTGCGCGGTCCCGGACTGGTGGAAAGTTGAATATCGACGGAGGGACCTCGATCAGCTCGGCCAGTGTTCTTGACCGCCGCCTTCCCACGACTTCGTCAATTTTTGATTCGTCTGCCGCGACACTGGCGACGGAACGGAAGATCGCGCGTGTGCTCGCTCCATCGCGACAGACGACGAAAGCTCGGCTATTCAAAGACGGTGAGATTTGTCGTTGATTCCAGTGGAAAACGCGGGGTGGCGGAGCGGCGATTCCGGCGGGGGGGGTTGTGGTTGTGGTTTTATCCGCCAAGGGCATCTTCGCGATGTCAAGTCCGGGCGGATAACGGGCGTTTGCTTTGTGCAGTAGCTTGGAGACCGGCGCGGTGCGCGGCATGCAAGCCGTCTGAAGATTCCCAGAGCTGTGTGCACGTCGACAAGGGTTACAGGGGAGCCGCATGGTGGGCCGTTCGTCTGATGCGCAAACCAGTTTGGCATGGTTCGCAGAAGAGGCTATTGACGCAGGGAACTCGACGGTAGTTAGCACGTTTGCTCAGCATGGCGCCACAGATTAGCCTCAAAAGCCGGGGTGCCGTCAGGGGGGGAGACGTGGGCAGCTCTGGCAGTTCCCGGCATGCGTGCCCAATTGAGCAAAGCTGCACCAACAACCTGGAAAGCTGCACGCCTCCGCTTGCAGGCGATATAGTCGACGCACAGGCGATAGTTTGCGCCGCACAGTGGCTGGTGCGCTGATGGCTTATGGCTGGTGGCTGATGGCTGAGAGCAGGACTGCTGACGCGCTGCCGGGGCCGGGGCCAGCGATGGGCGGAGCGGGAGGGAGCTTGAACCGCGATGGGGTATCTGCGACTATCGTCATCGTCCCAAGCTGGAGAGGGCGTGCGCACGAAGGGCAGGGTCTGAGAGCGTTCTTGAGAGGTGAGTCTGGAAGCGCGTGTAAGTCGGCAGGCCTTTACTCGGTCAGCAGTGTCAGCGTCTAGCCAGTTACAGAGGTCGCTCCGATGGTGGCTGTGTGTCGGCAGGGTCGCTTCATGGACGTTGAAAGTGTAATAACTTACAGGAGAGACAATACCTAATATCATGGCTTCAGGACGGCAGCACGAGGAGAGCCTCCCGCATGGGAGCGTCTTCAGCCAAATCCGCAGCGCACGTCAGTGCCGGACGTCAACAAGGCAGTGTCGAGGACGATCGCTGCACCCTGTCGGCGAAAGAGTGCCATGGCCGTACCGGGAAAGCAGTGTAATGAATCCTTCGAAGGGTGGACACCCTTTCGCCTAGGTAGGCAGTCGTTGCACATTCAAGCTGCTGCTTACCCTTGTCGACGATGCATGGGAGCTTGCATCCTTCGGCCTGGAGAGAGACAGGAAAGGTACTGGCGACGGAGCTGAAAATACGGTAGTGCCTCAGGCACTGGTGCTGTGCTAGAACTGAGCTCCTTCCCGTGCTGAAGTAAACGAGAACTTGCGTGGCAGTCACCGGTTTCACACCACGAGGCAGGCGCTCCCCGGTGCCTGGTCGCTTGTGTCAGCGGATGAGGACCCAGGCACGGGCACACCCAGACTGGCTCTCCCCTACTGTCTTCCATTCGCAGCACGGTACCAAATAGCATCTTTTCGTCGCCTCCCTTCTCCTCATCGTCGTCTCCTTATCCTCCAGCTCCTCATAACAACGGATCATCGCTTCCGCCGTTGTCGCTTGCTCATCCGCCAACCTTCTATATACCTTTGCTTATTCCATCTATCTCCCATTCAGCTCTCCTCTACACTTTCTGGTCGAGTTGGCCGTCTGACCTTCGCTGGCCTAACTAAAGTCCGCCACGCTTCCTTCTCCTCGGCAACCCCGTGAGCATTGCCGTCGTTGGGTTCCAGTCGCAAACCCGGACCCGACGGGCCATGTTCTCCGAGCTCTACACTCATACCCAGGCCTAGCAGCCCCAAGACGAAACGGATATGGAGGTGTGCGACTTCGACCGTACGCCTGCCTCCAGCAACCGTCCGTCCGTCTCCCTGTCTCGGAGTGGCGAAGACGCTGCGCCGCTGCCTGACGCTTTCCCGCCGGCCAAGAGCACTAGAATTCAGCACCACTTACTGAAAACGTCATCGAGTGGCCCAACGATCATTGATCAAGACCTGTCGCTCCCTTCATCGCCATGCCAGGATGAGTTCATCATCGAGTCCCATGCCGAAGCCCAACCGCATGTGCTGCCGGAGGCGGAAAACAGAAGCAGTTCGACCGGAAGGGCATCCAACGTGACAGAAGGATCATGCCATATCATGGAGTATCCCAGACGCGCCATGTCGCTTGTCAACCGTTCCTCTGATCGCGCCACCTCTGCCAATTCTCGACGTTCAGGAAACGACGTACATGCTGATGGTGGAGTTGTCAACATAGACCATCACACTAGCATTCCGGTATCCGAGCCTCCTTCAGAAGGGACGTTCAAGTCAATGGCTGCCGGATCAGAGCAGGAGAGGCGAGCTTTGATGGACCATCAAGTGCAGAACGGCATCCTGCCAGCTCAGCTTGGACCAGATCATCACGCCCATAGCCAGGTCTCTAAAGTTCAGGCAGCGTTTGCAGGCCATACCGCTCGTCCCCCTTCGACGACCGGTAGATCACACCTCTTCAATTACCGGCAGTCTCACAGCAAGGCCGCTCCGTTTGCCGGCGGGTCCCGCAAGTCTCCGATAACCGCCTATGAGAGGGGCAACCTCCTCTCGGAGTCGTCGACCGCGGTGTCATAGGACGATATTCACAGCGGTCATGGCGTCTGCGGTGAGAAAGGAAATCTCGGGGCCAGCTTTCCAAGCCGGTTGTCATATGATTTGTGCCACGGCCAGGAGTCAAAAATACGCACAATGGCGGGCAATCTAGAGAAACATCACCGATACGAATTGGCCTCCCCAGCAGATCCTGCTATCTTCGATTGCAAATTTCAGGTCCCAATATCCAAAGTCAGACCCTTTGGGATCTCAACCCTCGAGGAAAGCAAACTCCACCAGTTCCCAGACTACGGCCCGAAAGTCAAGCCGGCAGTTGAGAGCGAGAACATCGTGCAAAATAGAGAGCCGGACATGTTTGCTTCACACGAGACGCTGCATGTTCCGCAATCAAAGGTCAGACCATTCGTTGAGGACCCGTACAGCGACCAAAGTGGCAACGACTTGTACACAGAGCATCATCGACACACCGCAAAAGTGCAGACACTTTTAGAAACCCGGCCACATGAAACCCGCATCGCACAGATGACACCAGGCTCTAGCGAAAGCCTTGGTATCTACATTTCGACCAGTCCGAACAGCGATGCGGACCATGGAAGTGGCTCTGCCACTTCTCCAGGTAGCAGATCGCTTTCGGGACGCAATGGCCTGCGTCTTTACCCTGGGCCGCTCAGCAGGCACTCAATTTCGCGGTGTCAGGAATACCCGGCTTATGTTCAAGCACGACCTCATTCTATGACCCGTTGCCCGCGGGTGCACACTCCTCCTGGATCCCTCCAAACTTGCACGGCCACTGCCGGTGCCGAGGATAGCCAGTTCGCCCGTCCCGAGGTAGATTGCAAGAAGTCTGGAGGATCAGCTCGCGCACAGTCTGTGGATGACACAAGCGTCAGCAATAATTCTCAGTCTCGCCGTTCTTCCGGCCCACAGCTCTCGTCCCGTGGTACTTTCGAGACAGCATCGTTGGCGACAATCGAAGGTGTAACTCGCGCCCACGCCTCGAACACCCCATTGCCTCCGTTCATTCACTCGCCTATCCCCATCTCGAGTTTCAAGCCCTTTTTCCATGACCACAGTTTCAGTGAATTGGGTACACGGCCCACCTCCTCCAAGGCCAGCACTTCTACCAACGGGTCGCCGAGCGTCTCGGGCCAAATATATCAGCGCTCGGATGATGTGTCCCACACAAGGGAAGTGACACGGAATCGTCCAGGTGAGTCGGCCACTTTGCCTTCGGTAGCGTCTGGAAGAAGTCACTCCCTGGGTTCGCTCGTGGATTATCGGCGGACCACCCGATGGCTTCGAGAGGTTCTGAAGTATCCCGAGTCTTATACACCGAAGCTCACGGAACGTCCGAGCAAGCAAAGGAGTAGATTCAGGCCAGCCAAAAGCGTACGCAAGAAATCCGAGTCGCTGTTACCAAGTTTGATGTCGTCTCGCTGCCAGACTGGACACTCCACCTCTCTCGGATCCGGCGCCAGATTTGACGGCTTGGGTTTCAAGCGCACTGTTGGCGACTTGGAAAGGCTACTTAACGAAGCATTGGCGATTGCGTCCCAGGTCATCGACCCGCCAGGTACCCCAACACGCTCGACCACGTCTTCTGGACTGCAGGCTCGCCACCACGTTGACGGTAGCAGCGATGGCTCTCAAGCAAACCTCACACGAGCATCCGACGAAGGCAAGCCCGATGACATGGTTGAAGTTGACCTCAATGAGCTTGGGTCACCGAAACGCCCAGACTTCAAGCATGCGCCCACATTCTCTAGCCTCCAAAGACGTCCGAAGCTCAGCGAAATTATCCAGGGCTATTCTGGGCACGGTATCGACATCAGGCCAGGTCGATCTGTTCCAAAGAACTCTTCAGGCGTGGCAAGAGCCTCTAATCGAAAGGTTTCCTTTCAGATTCCTCGCCGAAGATCCAGCCGGAACATGGCTAGGCTGTATGCGATGAGTGCGGATACAAACACGACAGACCACTCGTCACGCCCGGCCAGGCAGAAACGCCCGAGATACGATGGTGATGCTTCAGTTACAAGGAATATCGTCGTCCAGCTGGCCCCAGGACACACGGTCCAGTATGGGAGTGCGGGAGGAACATATACCGCTGGCGCTCGGGGCCAGCACTCGACTCATGCAGCCACTCCCGGCGTCGGCCAAGGCGAGGAAAGTCTTCCCGAGCGAGATATCGCCGGACGCCCAATGCGACCTGAGCACGGCATCAGTCTTCGGAGAAAGTCGCACGTCAGTCTGCGAGATGCATCGGGCTTCAGCTTGGCCAAATCACGAAAACGGCAAGCAACTGCGCGGGACTAGTCACCCGTCCGCAAAAGATTTGTCGCATCGGTCGCCTGCATTTCTACAGCCTTGATCGGAGTCATTCTTGGCATCTATGCCGGCCTCGTACCGTCAATACAGTATTACATTATCGATACATCTCACGCCACAGTTCACGGCAACACGGGATGTTTCGTGGGGCTGGCACTGCCAACATTCTTCCTGTGGCCTCTGCCCCTCCTCCACGGACGGAAGCCATACATACTATCGAGCCTGGTTCTATCAATGCCTCTGCTATTCCCACAGGCGCTGGCGGTGAATGAGCAGAGGCTCAACGACACGAGGTCGTGGACCACTATGCTCCTCGTCGCACGAGCTGTCATGGGTTGCGCACTTGGATTCGCGAGCATGAACTTCCACTCCATGTTGACGGATCTTTTCGGGGCATCCCTCATGAGTGCCAACCCCCACGAAGAGGTGGTTGATGACTACGACGCGAGGCGGCATGGTGGTGGCATGGGCGTTTGGCTAGGTATATGGACGTGGTGCTGGATTGGCTCCCTGGGCGTTGGGTTCCTGGTCGGCGCCTGCATCATTGACCGGTACCCCCCAGCATGGGGATTCTACGTCAGTATCATGATCTTGGCCGTTGTGCTATTCCTCAACGTCGTCTGCCCGGAGGTCCGTCGGTCCACCTTTCGACGTTCAGTCGCCGAAGTCAGGACTGGATCGGACATTTCACGGCGAGTGGCACGGGGCGAGATCATGATGCACCGCGTGAAGACAGGTCCACGATGGTGGGGGCAGGAGGTATACCACGGTGTTGCTCTGTCACTTGAAATGCTTCGCCAGCCTGGATTCGCGATCATGGCCCTCTATTCATCCTGGATCTACGCGCAGGTGGTTCTCATCATTGTGCTTTTGGGATCGCTCACGTCGAGATATTACACCTTTCGCTCACCGGAAGTCGGACTGATTGTCGGGGCCGTGGCCTTGGGAGCACTCCTCGCGATCCCGTTCGAGAAAGCGGGTCTATTCTCAAGGTCTCGCCAGGCCCAAATGAACAGCAACCTGGCAACGCTGAACCGGAAGGTTGCGTGGTCCTCTCACCTAGTTCGACGGTCGATCTTCACTCTACTTTTGCCACTGGCGGGAATATGCTACGCGGCTGTCTCGTCGGGCCCCCCGATGCATGTGAGCGTTCCTACCATATTCGCGACATTTGTTGGCTTCTTTTCATGCCTTGCCATCGCGGAATGCAACGGAATTTTGATGGAGACATTCGACTGCTCCGACTTGTCCCCGGGAATGACAGGCCGACAAAAAGGCGGCCCTGGAAAGAATCAGAAACGGACCAACTACTCATCCTTCCCGCGAGTCACTGCGGGTTTTGCTGTTATCCATGGGCTTGCATTTGTGCTCTCTGCCGGTGCAACGGCTTTGGGTGGAGTCGTCACGAGAAGTCTTGGGCAGCAAGTATCCACGGGCGTTGTGGCCGGAATACTGTTGGTACTCACAGTCCTGCTGCTCTTGACACTGATTCGCTTTGCCAGTGTTCAAATTGTGCCGAAATGCAAGTCAAAGGAGATGGACACACTCGTAGAGGCCCGGCGACGATCTACAATCCGTCGAGCATCAATGCCCGATGACCCGCAGGCCGTACTGGAGGAGGAGAGAGCTTGGCGGCCTGTCATGATTGGCAATCCTACAAGCAAAAAGCGACGGATGAATCTACTGGAGCTCGGCAGTCTTTCTCGTTGGCAAGAGATCCGAAAGAAAAACCGACTGATCGACGAAGGAGCCCACCTAAACCGGGCAGCCCTGGACCAGGGCTTCGAGGCGCTTGATGACCAGGTGAGCGACTTGCAGCGAGATGCCCGGGACTTTTTTCATGTGGGCAGCGTTCGAAAGAAGGGATCAAGGCGGCTGCACTACACGGACGAGGGGAGCGAAACTGCAGAGGACTCGATCGAAATGGACACATTTGACATGCGCGGTGCCGGAGCTATGCCGTCGAGGCAGGGTCGCATTGTGGATAGGGAGTGCGTGATGAGCCAGGCTGTCGAGGAAGAGGGGCAGCACAACACTCAGCGAGGGCATTGAGCGGAGGCAGTGATTATTGCGAGCCGCTGTCCTCTGGCACGGAATGCGTGGCAGTCAATGAGGGCGTAAACCTATGGAACCCTAAGCTTGCAAAAGTAATATTATACAGTATTCACTTTTCGTGCCTATATGTCCTAGGCCTGGTGTATCGCATGAATAGACGCCCTCCACAACTTTGTGTTTGTACATGTCTTCCAACTCAACCACTTTATCATGTATCTCTTCAGAATGCACGTTGGGCAGTGAATTCGACCAAAGCAGACGCTAAACGAGAGAACTGGAAGAAGCAATGGTATCAAATCAAACGCCGAAGCCACCGCACCATCATCCCTTCAATGCACATTGAGATACAAGTCATCGCCGCGGCGCGAGGGCGTCAGCCTAGGCACCCACGTGGGCGTGGCGGGGAGGTCGCCGCCGTCGCCGGGGAACTGCGGGCCGCGGGGGGTGACGACCTCTGGGGAGAGGAACATGGGCCCGTAGCGGCTCTTCTCGCGCCGCCAGTTGCTCCTCTGCTTGGGGGCGGCGGCGGCGCCGGACGAGGAGGACGAGGACGAGGAGGTGCCGTTGCCGTCGGCGGTGAGGATGGCCATGGTGGCGGCGCGGTCGGCGCCGAGGCGCTTGGCGATGAGGGAGGCGGGCTGCTGCTGCTGCTGCTGCTGCTGCTGCTGCTGCTGTTGTTGTTGATGCTGCTGTTGTTGTTGTTGGAGCGGAGGAGGATGGGCGACAGCGGGCTGGGCGCTGGAGCTGGGGAGGGAGGATGATGACGAGGATGCCTGGCGGGCGTGCTGCTGGTATGGTGGCTGTTGCGCGGGGCCTTGCGGGTGCGGCGCGGGACGGTTCAGGGGTTGAGGTTGGGGCCGAGGTTGGGACTGAGGGTGAGGCGGCTGCTGTGGCCGAGATCGCAGAGCGGGATGCTGATGGTGATCGTAGTGGTATTGGGCGTTCTGCCGCTGTTGCGGGTGCCAGTGGGTGTTGCGTTGCTGGGGACCGCGCTGCGGACGAGGGTGCGCTGGGAGGCCGGGGATCCAGTTCTGGGCGGGACGACGGGCTTGCGGCTGCTGCTGCTGCTCGGGGCGGTAGTGTGCCTGATGATGCTGGTGTTGATATGACACGCGCGGTCGTTGCGGCTCCCAATGTGGGTTCTGGTACTGGTATTGAGGTTGCCGCTGTTGCTGCTGGTGCTGCTGCATTTGTTGGACCTGGCGCTCATCGCCTCGTGAGGGGGCCTCAGTGGGGTGTTGAGCACGAGCGTCGAGAGGTGGAAAGGGGGAAGGGCCAAGCCTCCTTTCGACCTGCTCTTGAGTATCTGCTTGCTCTCGAAGTCTCCCCTGCGTGGCAACGGTCTCTTGGTCCCGGGCTTCTTGAGCTGGGGCAGGCGGTGGAGCAGACGTAGCCGACGAGGCACGATGCCGCGCAGAAGGTAGCCGACTCCTGTCGTCCTCTGGTTCAGGAGAGGGTTCTACGATGCGCATCGTAGGCGATCCCGTCCGAAGCAGGGCTGGGTTTTCGATGCCTCTCATCACTGGGCGCGGTACGCTGTACGGTGTCGACCCCGACGCTTCAGGTGGCTGCGGGCGCGGCCCCAGTGTTGGGCTGGGCTGACCAGATGGACGATGAACGATTGACCGCCTCGGGGCCACAGCCATAGCAGATCTTCCTGCAACTGACGGCCCCTTGTCCCGTCCATGAATCTTGGGGTACGACACTGGCGAGCGCCCTGCAACGGACCTGGGAGATTCCGCAACAGGGGACAGGTTGACCTGTGGAGGGGCGGTCGGCGGCGGGACCGCATCCTCGTCCATTGAGGATGCCGTGATGGCCGTAATCCCGCTATCTGCGGAATCCGCCCTGGCGCGATGCTGGCTCTGCGTCGACGAACGCTCGGGGTTGGAGAAGCTTCGAGGATTCGGATAGGTCGAGAACAGCGGGCGAGGCACGGCCTGCTGCCGAAACTCTGGGCTCGTCAGCTGCGGTGGCTCCGCAGGTTTCTCCGTTTCAATGGGAGCCGGAATGTTATCCTTCGGCGCCTCTGGTAGGCGGGGCGACTTTGCCTCGACTTTCTGGGCCTTTTGGTAGATGGGCAGGAGGACGGGCTTCGCGATGCTTGCCTTCGGCGTCGTGGCCGTCATTGGTGTCACCGTGTCCAACTCGGCGGCGTGCGATGCCCTCTTCGAGTCTGCCAATACCCAGTTGCCCTGTTTATCTGCAACATAGTATGCCGTGCCTGATTGCGGCGCCGCCGATGGGATTCGCCAAATTTGACCTTCAGGAGACTGCGACGCCCTGCCGTCCTCTTCGAATTCGGTCATGGTACTTTCTCGGGGCTCCCTTCCCAGCTTTGAGAGGCTCATCATCTTCCCAAAGTCTTCCTGTTTGGGGATTTGCAGTTTTGGAGGAGCTGGCGGCGGCGGCTTGCTGCGGGAGCTCGGGGGCGAAGGGTGAACCAGGCGAAGCAATGGCGGCAACATGCTCGGCTCCTCTAGCGGAGTGGACGGCCGCCTGGAAGCTTCCATGTCCATGACCGGCTTTGCCGGGAGGAGCTTGGACATTCTTCTGACAGGAGTAATGGGAACCGCCCCCCGCCGGGAATGCGTAGGTGATATCGCGAGCCCGATGGCGCTTGGTCTCCAGCTCGCGCGGCTGTAGAGCTTAGGGGGAGGAGGCGGCGGCGGTGGCCTTGGGGTGTTTGGTTTCGAGGTCGGATGCAAGGGTTGCACCATCCACGAGTTTCCCCCACTGCTTTCCCCTTTGTCAAACTTATAGCCCCAGGTGTCGCGCCTATGGAGCGTCTCCGTGCTCTCGGATCGACGATGTCTGTTGGCCCTCTTTCGCCGGTAATACCTCAGTATCAAGATGGCGCCGATTGCGAGACCGGCGAGAGCCACGACGCCCACAGAGATGCCTGCCTTTTGGCCCGTCGTCAGAGAACCGCCAGAGGAGCTGTTGTCGCTGTTACCCCCCGAGCCAGCCGGCACGCCAGTGTCTGTGCTCGTTGCCGAAGTTGAGGAAGCAACTTGCGACCTTGAACTCAGTATCGACGTGCTGAAAGTCGACCTCCCAGTGACTGTACTCGAGCGAGAAGGCAGCGCGCTCGTATCAATCAACAAGGATGATGGCGTTGACGTGATGCGTGCTGGCGTCCTCGTCTTCGTGTGTGTGCTCTCTGGTGCGGGAAAAGACACCGGCCCGCTGCCACTGCCGTCAGGGGGGAGCAACAGTGTTGCCGTGATGACGCCGTGCGTGGGTTGAATAGCATTTGGCTGGTTTTTGCACATGTAGAGCGCAGATTGTATTACCGAAGCTGCGATCTCGTCAGCGACCTCGTCTTCTCATGAGGGCTCACATTCGGGGTATTTACTGCTCGCTTCCCTCGAAGAGCAACCCCCCACAGACTTTTCGGCGACAATGCATTGCACCGCTCCCTCTCCGGCGGTGAACTCGGTATCCCCCGGTGTCGAGCACAGATACTTGAGAGAAGGAAAGTCTCCGTCGAGTAATCCAGTCTTGTCGGTCCCGTAGTTTGCGGACAGGAATGTGAGGAAACATGACTGGGCGCAGACGGGTATTAAGCCCGTGAGATCTTTCGAGAGGCGGAACTCAAAGGCGGCGGCAGCCGAGATGGCGTATGATGCAATAACGAGCGAAATCAGACCGTGAGCACTCGGCTTACTGGCCATTCTATGAAGGAACATCTGAGGGCCCGGCGGCGTGTCAGTCTCAGATCATGAGGGGTATTGGCATGAAAGCGATCTTGGGCGTCAACCGCTTGCTCCCAGTCGCATCCGCCTCCGTCCAGTTGAGAGCCATGAACAACCACAGCGTTCAAGATTCAACCCAACGAGACGCGGAGGAGCGACGTAGAGACAACGAAACGGCCGTGACGTAGATGGGCCAAGCCAACCCATCTACAAGACAGCTTGAAACGAAAACTCCTCGGGTCGAGGCGGCATCCATATAGGTACGAACCTAAGGAAAGAGTCGGCCGATACTCTGAGACGGCCGGCATCCCAGCATCGTTGCTTGCTCGACGACGAAACAAGACGGCAATGGCAAACAGAAAGTGGCGGAGGCGTGAAGCGTCACAGGCACTGCCACCACGAACCAAAGGAATATGGTGTAACGCGAGCGAGGCCGCAGGGAATGCAGAGAAATAATTAGAATAGAGTGCAGAAGGAGAAGAGGACCAGAATGGCAGACGAAGTCGAAGGCGACCAGACCAAACCAGACCTGGACGCCGCGTCTAATTTCGAAAGCGACGCGGGCTGCGGTCATGGCCGCCCCTTTGGATTGGGGCCAAAGCAGGCAGGCAAGTACTCGCCGGCATGGCATCATTACATCGCGCAGCACTGTATCGCTTGCAGGCCGACGAGGCCGCCGTGAACGACGTAGCGGGAGCGCGAGCCGCAGGATTGTCCCCCAGCCGCTGACGACCTGCATACATGCGCCCGGCCCCTTGGCCCATGGTCGCGTTTCCGTTCCCGCCGGGGCTGAGGCTCGCGGCGCGTGGGCTACCCGCCCGTCGAAGCAGCGCGGCGGTTCGCCAATCTCGAGCAGGCCGGCCCTTCCTTGGGGCCTCTTTGCGTTCCTGGACCGTCTGCCGCCCGGGGAAAGATTGGTTGGGCGGCAGGCGGGGGCCGCCGCACGCAACGCACGCACGCACGGCAGGGGCTCCTATTTCGGGAACATCCTTGTCGAGACGCACAAGCAGCAGCGCGCGAGCGTTTGCTGCGCGGGCTCTGCGGGCTGCGGGCCTTTGGGGCGGGTGGCTGGCCCGGCCGGCTTGGTGGTGATGCAGGTTGGGCGGTTATGCGACGTTCGAGTGGCTGTGAGGGCTCGCCCGCATCCCGGTCTAAGAGGATCTAATAGGCGCCGCCCAGCGGGCAGGAGCAACGCAACCACTTACCTTGTTGCCCGGCCTGCCTAATAAGCGCGCGCGCGACCAGAGCTTCAGGTTCCTCAGAGGGCATCACGTGAGGTTTTCTCGGTCCAGCTGCCAATCAACTTGCATGATGGACGCTTCCCAGGAGGTTGTCGAGTTTCGTTTGGCAGTGCTCTGCGGCGGGCGGTGGTCTTGCGTGGGCCCTCGTTTCCTCCGGCTGAGAGGGAGGTCTTCTTAATCCGCTAGGCCCGGCGGCTCCAGGCCTGCCCGCATAACGCACCCGTCTGTCACGGTCTCAGGCCCAAGGCATAGTGATAGTTGGACACCAGCTCCCCCACGCGCCTTTGCAAAACGTGTGGCGCTGACTGGTCACACGAGGGGGATCTTTCATAGGCTTACGGCTGTCTCGACTCTCAAGTGTCCTCGGATCCTCTCACCGCAAGGTTGTCTTGACTCGCACGACACAGGGCCTAGTCACCCGTATGGTCATGACGCCCGCCAGGGAATTCACGCTGCATCGCTGGGCTTTAGGGTAAATATGAGCTTCTCCCCGAATGGTCTACCTGGACGGTACATGTGCGCACGCCGACAACGCCCAAACCCGACAGCGTTCAACGGAAGCAGAGAGGCCAAAACAACAGTAAAACGGCTCGATATTGCAAAGTCCACCTAATCCCACCCCAACCCCTGCGCGCGAACCAACCGCAGCTCGAAGCAGACGTGCTATGCTGGTAACTTGACGAGTCATGATTGCTGGCTCCCTCACATGGCCATCTCGGCTTGCAGCTTCCTGAGCTCCGCCTCTTCGTCGTCCTCCTCGACTGCCTGCCTCCTGCTCGGCACGGCTGCGATTCTTGGTCAGTACACGGTGAGGGTTCAACATCATGGGAGGGCAACTCACGCTCCGCGTTTGCCGGCGACGGCATCTTGTGCACAGCATCTGCCACCGGCACGTTTCCGGTCTTCAGGATAGCCTCGTCCAGCTGCTCCTGCTGCATCTGCTCCAACTCCTCCTCGAGTTCCGTGTCGTCCACCGTCTCTCCCACTGTCGCGCCCGTGATGGCATCCACGATTTCTTGGCTGAGCGCGTTCTGGTCCCGCAGTTTCTCCCTATAGCAAGTCGTGTCAGCAGGTTAACATGTACGCCACATGGCACGGCGGCGAAGGGGCCATCGTACATTGTCTCGTCCACCTTCTCCGGCGTGAGTTTCCCGTGAATCTGCTTCATGGCCTGGCTGGCCTTCTCCATGGCCGCCAGCGTCTCCCTGTTGATGTTCGCCGATTCGATCGAGTTGATTTGCTGCTCCAGCGTTCCGATCTGCGCGATGGTCTGGTCTAGGGCCTGCTCGTGCGTCTTCTTGCGCCGTAAGGCGGCTTTGGCAACTGTCTATTGCGTCAGCATCGCGCACTCTCCAGCGCGGTCCTCCCCGTGGCATCGCGACGCACCGTTCTTGTTTGTGTTTGCATTCTTGCGTGCAATATTCTGCTGCTCGTCTATTTGGTTCTGCAGGTGCTTCTCGCGCTTCTGCAGCATGTCAAGGTGCGACCGCAGCCCGAGGATCGCATCCTTGGGTGAGTCCTTCGCGCGCTGGGCAGCAGCGCCGCCGAACCAGCTCCACATCTTTCTCGGCCCTCTGGGCGTCGCTGCCGTCTTCTGGGGTCTTAAAACGAGATGCTTCAGCGAGGAGCGGCTCAAGGCCCCTTATCGTGGGTTCTGCGAGGCGGACGTAGCGGGGGCGTGACAGGTCGCGGTGGTGGGGTAATCTGTCAAAGGGCAGCGGCGTCAGCGTCAGTCGAGTCCAGGCTGCGACGGAGCGTATCACCGCCTCGACAAGTCCTTACTCACAGGACGGTCGGGATGCCACTGAGTGTCGCCTTAGGTAGGAATCGTTTGTCGTCGGGTTGCGTGGCTGTTGGTGCAGGCGGGCAGGCTGCAGTCATTTAATCCATCAGCCGCGGGTGCCTCTCCCAGGTATTAGCGGCGGGACGATGACGGAACCTCGACCCGGCAACGTGGCAAGGTTTAGCCGCCATTTACCCACATGTCATGTGACGCCTGCACATGGCCTCCCGATACAAGCAACGAGCATCTGACCTCGAGTCCCGGGCCTCGTGCAAAGGACTTTGTACACATGGACAATAGAAGATGCCGTTGATTTAAAAACCAGGCCTTTCATCGACCATCAGCTCTCCGTGTGTCACGCTTCTCGGATGTCGCCGAAGTCGATGTACAAAATCTATCAATCCAGCCCAGCGTAGCTGCCAGTGTCCCCCAAAGACAATTTCAGGCACAAACCCTCTCATTGAAACATCATCTGCTACATGGTCAAATCGTGGTAGCGATATACAGGAATTTGGTCTATTATTGTTACCGCCGGCTTTGTCGGCCCCTCGCGTCCATAAATATCCATAAATGCCCCCCCGGTTAAGTGATCAAGACTCCGCAGACGTAGACTAAAGCTATGCCCCCATAACAGCAAACAGCCACGAGTAAAGGTTGGCGCCGGCCAGTCGAGGGCTAGCGGCGTGGACTCCTTCCAGCTACTCCAGCGCAGTGCGCAAGAGCGTTCAACAAGCGTCCGTCTCATCCAAAAAGGCATCGGCTTGTGACACGTCCCGGTCGCCAGCCATGCAATGACAACGGCTCTTCGCCAGCCATCTGAAGGCTCGGGCGCGACCGCGCGACCAAACCATCCCTTTTAGTAAAATCATCAATGCTCATACAATAACCGCCAGCCACTTGAGCCGTGGGAGGGGTTCTCGGATCAGTCCGGCGAAATATCAGACATGTGAATCGTACGGTGTGTCGGGGTAGGTGGTCGTGGCTTATAGGTTTCCGCCCTTCTCTTCGGTGTCGATGTGCCACACGATGTAATTCGGCAGGCCCACAACCTGGTAGCCCGCTCGCTTCGCCATCTTGGCAAAGCCCTCCGTCTCGGCCTGGTTCTCGAAGGCGTAGCACGGGAAGTTGATCCCTGGGGTCTCGTTAGCATGGCCATCCCACTACTCTTGAAGACCTGAAGAAAACGCGTACCGGATCGATGAACGTCAGCCTTGACGAGAATGTTGACGCCGCCGATGCCATCGAGCTCAAGCTCCTCATCCTTGTTGTTTCGCCAGTCACCCATGCGAGCCATGTATGTCCTGCCCGTGTCGTACTGCTTGTATCCTATTCTCAGAGTTAGCATCGGCCCGCGCGGGCAAGGTCTGGCACTACGAACCTTCGGCGAGCACAACGTTCTTATCCAAGCTGTCGGCCAATCTGCGACCTTTGTCCGACTCGACCCACGAGTTGTAGTCGACTAATACATATGTCAGCGTCAACGACATCCTTCCAGGCATCTTCCCTTGTGAGGGGCACATGGAGGGTACTAACATCGCCCTTCAATGTCGACTCCGTCTCTGTACCGGTGGAACCAAATGTCTGAACTATGTATCAGCCGATGCGAGCGCAGTACAATCACCGCAGATGTCCTTACTGGGAACGAGAATGTCCTTGTCGTGGGCAATGAAGTCTTCAAGGATTTTGGGAGGGCTGTCCACGATGTCCACATCGCGCCAGTAAACCCACGAATGCTCTGGCTTCAAGGCAGCGGAGAGAAGGTAGTTGCGGGCCTTGCCCATGGCCTTCCGCCGAGGACCTTGTGCGTCGAAGGAGTGCCTCTCCTCGACACTCTGGCTCAGGTGGAAGTCGAAGTCCTTTTCAACGACCATGGCGCTGCGGAACGGGATGTGGTCGGGCCGCTTCTGGATTCGGTCGAGTTCGGAAGAAAGCACGGCGAGGGTATCATCCTTGGAGTCGGAGACGAGGAAGGCGAGGTCGATCAGGTGGTGCGGATACGTGAGCTCGGCGAGCAGCTCAAAGTACTTGGAGAGGTAGGGGGCAGCGTCCTTGAGGGGCGTGACGATGAGGATTTTCTCCTCATTGACGACGGCCTTGCGGGTGGACTTGACGGGGTTGAGGTCAACGTGCTTGATCGATTCCGAGTCGACCTTGAGCGGTGCGTGGTGGTTGAAAACGACGGGCGTCTGCATGTGCGCATTCCATCTCGCGTACTCGTTTTGCGACATGTCTATCGGCGGCGTCGACGGTCCCCAGCAGTAGAAGCTGTCGCATGTCAGCAAGTCGCTCGCAATCGGGAGTCGTCGTCGCGGGTCGGACGAGGAAGCGGGCGGGCATTGCTTACCTTTGCATCTCGGACGCGGAGCTGCTGATGCCGCGCCATAGCAATAATATGATGCCCGTGACGGCGACGAGCAGGAGGAATCTTGTGCGTGTCACCAGGTTCCATAGCATCCGCGCGGGCGGCAGCTGGGCTCTGGCCGCTTTCCAGTTCAGGCCGCCTTTGGGGAGAAGCATGGCGGGCGATTGGGGGGCGGGACGCTCGTCACCACCCAGCGGACTTGTGGTATGAGGAAGTGTCGATTGCGATCAGGCGCTGGCTGGATGCCCCGAGATTCCTGGGATGTCTCGTCGATCGCGATATCCAGGGGCAATATTGGGGCCGCAAACGCCGCGTCGGGGGGGGGGGGCTGCCAATCCGGTGGGTGGGCTCGCCCGCAGAACAATCGCTCCCAAGAAAGTATAAAACGTACAGGCGTCAAACGAGGGGATTGAAGAGCGGGTGCCGGAGTCACATCAAGGATGCTGGGCGAGGAGATGCGGCTCGGGCCGGCGTCGTCGTCGTGCAAAACGAGGCGTCGTTGTCGGACAGGCGACGAAGATTTGGGATGGAGAGTCCAGATTGAGAGAGCGGACGATGAGTCTGGACACCTCACCTGGCCTCAGCTCCCAGTGGACGCCACCAGCCAGAGACACCCAGTGAGCGGCCACCCAATTCGGTGCGTCGCGTTGGGGCGTCAGGCCGCTGCAATGGCCCCAGCTCCCCTGTGGCAGCTCGTCATTACAGGCAGAATTTCAGGGCCGGAAAAAGCTTAACTCTTGCGGGGGACCTGGTGGGTACTTGCATCCGCGGCGGAGCTGCCCGCATGCACCGGGTACCCAGGCGGTCTGCCACTAACTCGAACGTACCGAATTTAGCAGCGCCAGCCTCTCGGCGCGCCACTGCAAACTGGCCACCGCCAGCACGGCCGCAGCAGAAACAGCGACCGCGGGTGGGACACCGCGCCGTTCACGGGCCGTGCTGGCGCGGCACGCCCATTCCATCCACCCAATTCAAACTGCGGCCGCCCCTTACAATCCGCCCTTGCTCACCTTACCCTGAACCTCCAAGAAAAAGGAAAATGTCACACAACCGAGCCCCCTTTTACGTGTCCTCGGAGGGGATTCTCAACGGTTTATGTCCTGCTGGCAGTTATGCCGTCACCAAGTGGCGCCCGCTTTCTCCTCTCCCAAGGTTTGGACGAAAACCAGGCGCCTGGGAGAAATGCCAACGCGACCGGGGTCGTTTGGATGAAACGAAGGGAGCTCGCAGTCTTTTAGGGTTTTTCGATCGCATAGACTCCCCCCAGACGATCCCTCCCAGGCAGATCCCTCCTCGACCTGCTGGATGCGAGCAAATCCGCCGATCGGCTCCCCCGTAGTCATTTTGCAAGAGGAGCAGAGTTGGAGCGACTCCGTCACACGACCATGAGATTGCATGAAGCATTGACCAGCGGGGCCGGGGATGCTCTGGGGCTCGAGCACGAAGTACACGTCTCTTGAACACCTAGCTAGTAGCCCTGGACAGGCGTCAGAAGTCAATTCGGCTGGATCTGCTTCGCGAGCAGTTCGAAAAGAATGGGCTGAAAGGGCGGCAAGTCGAGCTGTTCTCTCTCCGCGTGGCCAAGCGGTCTGATACAGCGTGTTCCAAGGCCGCCAAGCCAGCCACATTGCCGAGAGCCAACTGACAATTTGTCTTCCCAGCACAATCTACCTTCTGATGCACTCGAAAGGCGTGGCAGGCCACGCGCTGAAACATGGGCTGTGATGAGCCGTCATATATACACTAGAGTGGTCGGATGTCGTGAGATGTTTGTAGACGTTGAAGCCATACACGAGCCTCAACAAGGGCAAGCTCAATTAAAGGACTCCTGCAACCAGAGCATTGTCTGTCTGCCGGAATTTAAGGAGTCCGTTTCACAGAAGCTATGGGCCGCAACTTATCGTCAGCTCATGCAGCACGTTGCAAGCTTGGGTCACTTGGCGAACTCCTCCGCGCTTTGTGTCCAAGTCTCACGATGCTCTACGACGCCCCAAACGCACGCCCGCATCCAGCCTTGGTGTAGCAGCTTCCTTTTCCATGCGGCAGTGAAACCCGAGGTCTCGATGACGCAGTTATGGAAAGCAGGCAACGGGAAATGGCGAGTCAGCAAGCTCTACTTCAGGCACCTTGAACCAATCATCACCCCAAGAGAACACTGCAAAACAGCAGCATAGCCTCTTACCGTCTTCTAGCGTGAATAAACAAGCTTGGCCCCTACGTTCACTTCATACAGGGCCGAGGACGTGAGGTTACCGCACTTGATGGATGAGGTACGGGCATCGACACTCTACCCTGTACCGGACAAATCGCAGAACAGGCCGGCCCCTCTGCTCCCTCTCATGCCCGGGTTTGCAGCACCACCAAAGCGCTATACTTAATCCAAGTTATCGCCGTGCTCGGGCTGGCAAGAATGCCATGATCTCAGTGTGACGATATGAGTTTAGAACAGCACAGCATGGGACGTCGACGGGAGGTCAACTTCAGTAATCAGGACCCAAACAGGTCTAGTCTCGGGCTGCTTCACGGCGGCCCTGCCCCTGACAACCCAAGGGCGTGCGTGGGTGGGTGGCTGCGGGAAGCATGGGCAGCCAGTGGCAATCGCCAGCCCACTGCGGATAGGTACGTACATGCATTCATTCACGCTCTCACACAGGCCTCTCCATCAACGACACATCGACATCCAAAGCAACACTTGCCAGTTCGCTTCTTACAACGCCCCCCGTTCTTCATCAACGGCTAGAAAGCTGCAATTGGGATGCAGCAGCCCTAGTCCACTACGTCATATGCTGCGCGGCCCCGTCAGTTTAATCGCTGTTTTTCGCACCTCTTCAGGCTTCGCTCCACTGAGCAGGGCGGCGTTCTTGAGCGTGCATCCCGTCATGGCCGCTGCTACACGACGCTCCTCGCGACTCAACGGCGGCGGTTCAGGGGGAGGGGCAAAGCCTCAGGCAGAGGCGATGCCCCCGCCGCCAGCACCGCCGCCGCAATCGCAATCGCAATCGCAGCAGAACAGACGCAAGAGAAAGGCGGCGGCGGCGCCAGATGGCGAGGTGCCGCAGGCTGCTCAGGCCCCCGCCACGCCGCCGAGGAAGCGCACGCAGGCGATGCATGCACCTCCTCCGCTGACACCGACTCCAAGTGCAGTCAAGGTGATTGCTGAGCCGGCCGATGGGCCGACCAAGGCGCGCAATGCTACGGTCACGCGGCTGGCCGACCCGAGGACGACCAATGCCACGCTGCTATCGCCCGAGACGTCGCGATTGGTGACATCCCGCGACATCGAATCCATCTCGCCGTCTAAAGCACCCGCGTCTCGTACGACGACACAGACGCTCCTGCAAGAGGCATGCGAGCATCTCATCAAGGTCGACGTGCGGCTGAAGCCGTTGATCGAGAAGAACCACTGCAGGGTCTTCTCGCCCGAAGGACTCGCCGAGAGGATCGACCCCTTCGAGAGCTTGTCGAGCGGCATCATCTCGCAACAAGTGTCCGGGGCCGCCGCCAAGTCCATCAAGGCCAAGTTCGTCGCCCTCTTTGACCGGGGAGACGGCGCGACTGGCCGATTCCCTCACCCGTCCGAGGTGGCCAAGTGTTCCATCGAGAAGCTCCGCACGGCCGGGCTGTCGCAGCGCAAGGCCGAGTACATCCAGGGCCTGGCAGAGAAGTTCGCGGCCGGGGAGCTCAGCGCGCAGATCCTACACGACGCGCCGTACGACGAACTGGTGGAGAAGCTCATCGCGGTCCGCGGGCTCGGGCGGTGGTCGGTCGAGATGTTTGCGTGCTTCGGGCTCAAGCGCATGGATGTCTTCTCGGTGGGGGACCTGGGCGTGCAGCGAGGCATGGCGGCCTTTGTCGGGAGGGACGTGGCCAAGCTCAAGTCCAAAGGCGGCAAGTGGAAGTACATGTCGGAGCAAGACATGCTGGACCTGTCGGCCAAGTTCGCGCCGTATCGCAGTCTGTTTATGTGGTTGATGTGGCGGGTAGAGGAGACTGATGTCAGCACCATGGAATAGGGGAGGGGGCTCGAACATTATTTGAATGGCATGCGCCTCGTTCTCCAGTCCGTATGTTACACTGTGCTTCGCAGACTGCTGTTGTTTGATGATGTTGATGCTCATGCCTGGGATCTTGACCAGGATGGAGCGGTGACGAAGCGAGAGTACGAATACCACTGAACAGTTAGTGGCAGCATAACAATCTGATGCCAGTAACAAACAACACGCGCTAAAACGCGATCGGCCAGTGAGCGGCTCCTTGAAACCAGCGATACTATGCGCCGTGATTGCAGTGATTTCGCTACTTTGATAAGTGTTTCGCTCGCCGGAGTGCGCCTGGTCCATTTCCAGGCTGTGAGCGACGGGCTCCGTCCGTCGATCGTGCTGATCCATGTTAGGAGACATGAGCGCGAGTGGACCCGAGGGCACGTGCAGACTCCATTTGCCCACGTCCCGCGGGCGGGTTGCCCGTGCTGGCGCTGCGAGGGGGGTCGCGCCGCCAGCGGGCCTTTGCTTCTTGCATTGCTTCTTGCATCAAGCATCCAGTCCCGTGTCTAAGTTAGTTACGGGAGTTGAGTTGGTGGCACGGCGGGTCGACCGACTACTTGTGTCAAGAATATCGCGACCAAGCAGTTCGGGGATGGCTATGTCGGACGCTTTACCATCGTACTCGTACTGCACCTGTCGAACCGGCTCGGCACCATGCAGTGAAACCGCCTCGGCGGCATGCCTCGCCCATATGAAACGTAGTGGACGAGAGATTGACTCGCGCCGCCGCGGGAGCGTCCATTGTTGGTTCGGGTTCCTCGCGCCTCCCAAGACGTTGAGCGCATCTCGCTGGCAACCCTCCCCACGACTCGTACTCGCCGTTGCTTCGTACCACTCCGCATACTTCGTACATATGTATGGAGTACGAACGTGAATGATGTGTGGGAGTTAAAGCCACCGCAGTGCAGTGCAGTGCAGTGCAGTGCACGGCCACCGCCCCCGCGGCCGCATCAACCCAACGATCTTGATATGCCCTTGTTTCCGAGCCCGTGCCGCCCGCGCATGGGCGGTGGGCCTAGGCTTGGTTAGCACTGCAAGGATACGAGCACTCGCCCGTCGACTCACCCACAATGGTGGCGCTCGGCGTCTGTTGACAAGTTTTCTGGCTCTGTTTCCTTGGATTGCTTGGGAATGCGCACAAGATTGGGATGGCCCACGCCGGACAAGCTTTATCGAGGTTAGCCACGGCGCGGGCCATTGGTCAATGGTTGGGAGCTGCAGGTGGGCAAGGATCCTTCTCCCCCTGAGGGGCGTGACCATAGCATGCTGTCTCACGCCTGTCTCCAGCAATCGACGGCGATGCCTGTGGGCGCCCGATCGCACCTGGTGCTGCCAGCAGGTTTCACCGAGTCTGGTGGTAACGAGTACGTACTGATGCTTCAGCGAAAACTCGGACGGCTCGCATTGTCTTCGTGGACCGTTCGGTACTCGTTCAAAGCGCGCAAGGTGCGATCTGGGCCGGAGCGAGTTTGGGTTTCGACGGCTCGTGTTGGCTCTTTGATGGTGTCCTTGGTGGCGCCGGCGATGGTGGCGCACCAGGCACACCCGGAAGATTTTGGTACGGGGCCATGGGGCACCTGCATTTTGCGCGACGGCGGTGTCGCCGCGTGCGAGTACGTACTGTCCATGCTGCTTCGGTTTGGGCGTGCGTTATCGATTCAACGTCGCAATGGCCAAGGGCGATGGAGGCCGCTTAGCCGGTGCAAACGCTTCAAGCGGCCTCGCAACGGCGCGAACGGCAGGCTGGAGGACGTCTTGGCTGCTCGACCACGTCCTCGCATGCCACCTGATAAACCGGCGCCGGCAAGCAGCCGCGGGCTGGTCGTAGGCGAAGGAGCATGACCTTCGCCCATGCCGAGCGTGACTGCACTGCCACCCGACTTCTCAATCATCAATGCCCACTGCCATCGCCACTGCGTCACCGGCTTCCGCCCACCGGTCGCCATTCCCCTGGTGGGTAGGTGATGAAACAGGCCTGACCCTAGCTCACACCCCCCTGGTGCACCGCAAATGAGCAGACGGCGGCCGCTTTGCCCCTAGCTGGTCGATCGGGGCCGACCTATTCGGGGGCGACTTATTCGTGGATGTAGAGGACGCAGCAAGACCGGCAACCTCGATCCGTATCGTGCTGTCGCTGCATTTCTGCCATGCTGAAAAGACCACAATCAGACGCTGCTGAGAGAGCCAGTCCACACGTACAATTTTTTTTTCTTGTGCCGAGTGGAGGGGCAGCGCTTTTTAGGACGCGCAAGCCTCGAAACCACGCCCCTTGGCGATCGTGGATGTGGATGCCTCCCTTTGCATGACTGTACACTCGACGCGCCCGACACGGTGCTGTGTAGGATATCTTTCGTTATCTGGAGGCAAAGCCGTGGGTTTGCATCGCCATTGCCGCGCGCCTGTTTTCCAGAGTCAACTTTAGGTGAGCCCACGATGCTTCCAGCGGTCGTTGGGCTGTTCGTCCATCAGGCTCGGGCCGAGATGCAGCGGGAAGTCAAGTTGTTGGAGACGTATCAGGCCGGCCAATCGCCCCGTCAGGCGTTGGGATGACGCGCGAGGAAGTCGGCGGAGCGGTCTCGTGCAGCGCCAAGGGCAGCATCCTCGCACAGCACGGCCAAGTGCACAGCAATGAGTTGCACTCGTATTATGTACTCACGTCGTCGTCAATCGCCCGATTCTGCAACACCACAGTCTGTCCCCAGCAAGACCGGGGTGCACCACGGTCGGTCAGCAGCAAGGATTCTCGTACAGTGCGCAATCTCGCAAGCGTGCAGCGGGCGAGATGGGCCGGGGAGCGCTGAGGAGGTCCAGAGGTCGAGCGCGTGGCGTGTGCGTCGAAGCCGCGGCATCCACTTCCGCATCCCATCCACCAGATGGCCAACAACAAAGGCCAAGCAAGGCACAAGACGGCCCCCCCCCTTTCGCCCGCCCCCATTATCCTTTTGCGGACCCAGCAAAAGCCATGGCCATCGCCCGTCCCGTACGAGTGTGTACCATGCCAGGATAGGGGAGCAGATGGGTCCGGCCCTGGCATGGTGCCGGTCGGCCCAGCACCGGGGGGCAGGGCCCGACCAGGTACCTCGCAGCGCACCCCACGACGGCCCATTTCATCCGCTGTGCTCCATGTGCTGCGACCCAGTCAGTGAGTGAGTGAGCCAGTGTGTTGCATTGCTAGGAGAAAAGAAACTGCCCCGTCCTCTCCGTTCCGTTCCTTGGCCAGTCGACCGACCTTCTCCTCCTCCCTCCTCTTTCCCTCCCCAGTCGTTTGCGCCGCCGCCGCCGTCGTGATTTATCGTCGTCGTCGTCGCCTCGCCTTCGCTCCACGCCCATTTCTTCCATTCGCGACGCTCGTTTGTCCAGCAAGAGGAACCGAACCGCCTCTCTTTCTCAGCCGTCTCCTTCTCCGAGTCCCCTCGCTCCGGTCCGCATCGACGAGCCGCGCACGATCGTTCATTGTACAGTAGGATCCGCTGCGACCAAGGTGAGTGAGTTGCGACGCGACGTCTCGAGGTTTTGTTTGGCAGGTTCTGTCCTTGCTTGCGCACTGCCGCCTTGCCCGCTCTACGCGGTCGAGTCGGGTCGGCCGCGAGGGCGTGGCAGGAGCTGCCCTGCTCTGCCCTTGCCTCCCGCGGTCCTCGTCCTCGAGCACGGAGTACCTACCTACCCACGAGGACGGCACTCTTCCCGGTCGTTGCCTTCATCTCGGCCGTCCAGGCAAAGCTGCCCTGGCCCGCTGTTGCTGGCACGGATCACCCATCAAACCGCCAAACCAAACCCACCACCTGCCAACACCTGCTCTTCTGCCCTTCTCCTGGCGCGCGCTTCTTTCCCGTCTTCTCCACGCCCTCTCTCCCACCCGATATTGTCCGCGCAATTCTTTCTTGGGTTCTCCTCCCAATCTTCTCCTGCTCTTACCCGGTGCTGCATCCGTGTTCCTTCCCCCGTCACGCTTGCCCGGCGCTCCTGCAACCGGGGTCGCGACGTGCGCGCGTCAGACAACCGATAGGGGCATTGGCACCACCCAAAACCCCGTTCGGCTGCCCGCGACTCTGAACAAAACATCTTGTTCCACAACATCTTTTGAGGCCCAACGACGTCTTTTGGACTGCATCCCATAGGATCTTAACCGCCCGAGCATCACAGTCAGGAACCCTTCCGCTCGATTCTGTCCCTACCCAGACTGCCATCCACCTAGGGCACTCCCGTCTCTTCGCTCTGCATTCACCGCAACCACTGAGGAGCCTCTGCAACCAGCCTTTGACATGTTCTAACACGGTTGTCTTCCAACAGATCACCATGCGTTGTGTCGCGATCCTCTCGGCTATTCTGGCCGTCGGCACTGCCGTGGTCTCCGGTAAGCCCCAAAGCCACCGCCTGTGCCCCCTCCAGGCCACAGCGCGCCGCTAACCGCCTCTTCTCCCGCAGGTGCCACGACTTGCACTGATGATGTCAAGGTCACTGAACCTACTCCATCCATTCCCTGCGATGTCATCGCGGGCGATCTTATCGTCAGCGACAAGGTCGCTGGCAGCGTGAGCATCGAGGGCCCCAAGAAGATCACGGGCAACTTTGACGTGACGAATGCCACCAAGATCGTCGGCATCTCCAGCACCAGCGTTAAAGAAGTCAATGGAAAATTCATATTGAACGGGTGCACGCTACTGAGCACTGCCGATTTCCAGGCGCTCCAGAGCATCGCCAGCATCAACCTGGTTAACCTCCCGCAGCTCCAGACCCTCAACTTCGGCACTAGTGGGGTCACCAAGGTGTCCAATGTTCTGATTGTCGACACCTTCATGGGCAACCTCGACGGCTTCAACGTCGCCGATGCTGACACCATCGACATCTCCAACAATCCCAAGCTCAACACATTCACCTCCGACCTTGTCACCGTCACCAAGTCGCTCAAGATCGTCGACAACGGCAAGGATATGGTTATCGAAATGTCCAAGCTGGAGAGCGCCGGCGAAATTGAGTTCCGCAGGATCAAGAAGGCCACCTTCGACTCACTTAAAAACGCCAGCTCCATCAAAATCAACGACAGCCCCGACCTCCTGACTGTTTCCGCCCTGAACGTGACCACGATTGATGCCAGCGTCTCTCTCATCAACAACAAGAAGCTGTCCAATTGCTCCTTCCCCCAAGTGAAGACGATCAAGGGCGACATGACCATTCTCAACAACACGGCCCTCGTGTCAATGGACTGCTTCCCTAAACTGGAATCTGTCGGCAACATTCTGGTTGGCGGTAGCATGCAAAAGTGCGTTGGCCCAGAGCATTCAGAAATTCGGTGGTTGATACTGATCTGTGATATAGCGTCACGCTTGGCAAACTCACCGACGTCAAGGGCAGTGCTACTGTCACGTCGACGACCGACATCTCGGACTTTTGCAATTTCTTCGATAAGCTCAAGTCAGACGGCAAAATTCGCGGCAAGGAGTCCTGCAAGAGTAACAACAAGAACGCGAACTCTGGTGACAGCACTGGTGGAGACTCCGCGGGCGGCAACAAGACCAAGGAGGACGCTGCTGGTGTCATCGGCGTCAACACGGCAATGCTGGGCCTGGTTGGCTTTGCCGGCATCGCCCAGTTGCTGTAAAGGCTACCCGGAGAGGCGCAAAAGCATATGTCGGAATCGGCGCCGTTCTCTGTTCTTTACGTATGTTTGCCGCTTTTTTACCAGCAGATGGTGGTGTGTTGTGCCTGTAGTGTCGCAGCAGGCTGGGGCCCTCGCGGCCACAAAGGCACGTGTACGCGGGTATAAATGCTAGGACTTAATAATGGACTGTGTACTTGATCCTGTCCAGTGGGCAAGCGAGCCCTTTTGCCTCTGTAACACTGTTTGATTGCCTCGCGACTGCAACGGCATACGGACTGTGGATTTCTCATGGACAGGAGTTTTTGCGCGGCGGAGTGATATCCCGTCGGCCGTACAGTCGCGTTGTCACGACCGTCATGTTTCTGTTTGCAATTACCATTGTGTTTGTTGATTGTGCGCCAGGGGCAACGGGCGCAGGTGGTCAGAAACATTCCACTGCCCTCGGAAGATGAGCACGCGACCCGCAGCACCACGCGCACTGGGTGTTTCGCCAAGGGGCCGCATGGCCGGCAGGGCCGTATTTGTAACTCAAACAAGTACTAGCATATAAGAGACAAGACTATCTCACAGTGGGTATCATTGCATACACGTCATGCTGCCATCTAGATCCATCCCCTCCTTCGAAAGGTCTGATCCCCGGAGAAGAGGGCGAATCCTGCGAATCCTGCCAGGGGGCAGGGGTCTGCTGAAGAACCGTCTATTCGGCGGTGTAAACGCCGCGCTCGAAATTCTCGACGTCGTAAAACTTTGGCATAATGGTGTTGCCGTTGAAGATGCGTCCGTCGAGCTCGTTGACAGCCTGCGATGGCGAGAGGTCAGCTGGTGAAGGTTCATACTGCTTGAGAAGGAGACACTTACTCGAAGAGCGGACACCTGATCGGTGAACTTGATAAAGACCTGCCGAGCGTTCTGATCGATGAAGAGGCGCTCCACACGGCCGTACTATGTAACGGTCAGTATCGGTGCATACAGGTGTTAGATACTGAAGGATCGTGCTCACCTTTTCTCCGCACTCCTCGCCAATCTCCTGGCCAAGGCCGTTTGCGATCTCAGACTGGAGATCAGGCATGTTCTCCAGCATGTTGCGGAGAACTATAACTTCAGACATCTTGCCAAACTTGCCATCCTCATCCTTTCGCTTGCCGCCCAGGATCTTTCCCTTTCCACCAGGCTCAGCCCAGCCGCCACCATCGGCATCCGCCTTCTTACGGCGCTTCTCGACCTGCACACGAAGAGGATTGACGATCCCGGACTCGTTGGCGCCAAGGCCCGTGCCCTTCGTCCATCCGTACTTGCTCATGAGGCGTTGCGCGAAGCCCGCCTGGCCTGGCCGCTTCGATCTAGGCTGTTGATCGTCGCCTTCCTCGCCAGAGCCGAGCATAGTTGGGGAGAACGAATCTCCACCGCGATCGTTAGCTTCAGTAGGCTGTTGTACATTGTATCGCACGGGAGCCCGAGAGATGACCGCACCGTCGGTCGGTGGGGGAGACGGTGTTGCTTGGACAAACTGCGGGGGCGGAGGAGGCGGCGCAGTAGCAATAGGCGGCGCGGGGGAAAGGGAGAGAGATGAGTGAGCGTGCGATGAGGCCATGGCAGCCCTGCGGGAGAATGCATCCTCACCGGTCTGGTCGTCTGGTGAAGGCTTCGGGGGGGAAATCGCGGGAGGTGCAAACGAGTCCGAAGGTGGAGGGGCAAACTGGCCTGTTGACGACTTATTAGAACCATTGCGCAGGCAGGGGATGCAGTGGTTGCTTACTTGGCATATGTCGGCCGTGCTCCTCGTCATCGCTGGTAGACTCACTCCAGCGGCGTCTTCCACGCTGAAGAACAAACTCCCTCCAGTCAAGGACTTCGCCTATCTTCTCATCGCCTTTGACGTACTCATCGACGCCAGTTGGCTTGCTGGCATCATAGAAGCCTTCCCAATTAGTTTCCTGCCGGGCGTCCTGCTGCTGCTTCTTCTTCTTGTTCTTTCGACCGCCGCGCTGGCGTTTCTCACCTGTGCCGTACATCCATTCGTCTTCTTCCGTTGGCGCCCAATCCGCCAGAGTAGTCTTTGCTGCTACGGGAGGCACAGCGCCGGAAGCTGCCCCGGTAGGGATGATCTTCGGCGGAAAGCCGCCCTTGAAGCCCTTTGCTTGCTTCGGCTGGGGGCGTCGAATCTGAGGTTGAAACAGCAGAGCTGGGTTGGTGGTCTTTTTGGCCTCCGCCGACGAGGTTTGCTCTTGCTTGTAGACGACTGGCGCCGCGGATATCGTTCCCGGGGGATTGGGGTCGTTCGGGTCCTCGATGTTATCGTAGAGAGACAGAACTCCCCGAGGAGCGGGAGCGGGTGGTGGGGGGTCGGCCATGATGGCTGAGCTGGTTCGATCAAGCCAAAGCGGCTATGATTCCAGCACGCCTCATCCAGCAATACTGGGACTCTTTCAAAAGGGCTTCGAGGAAAAAAGACTCTGATTTACGTTGCGTATGTCGGTGTCGTTGCCAGACGCGGGTCGAGGCAGTCGCGCTCAAGGCACAGAGGTTGAGGTGGGATGGCTACTTCGATAGCTTGCAGGTGGAGCTCTGGAGCTGTTTGCCGGGTGCAGGCAGCTGCGTCGGGTAAACAGCGGCCCAGGCAGAACCCCCTGGCAATTGCGGGAGCTGCGCGGCGAACGCAAGCTGTAGCCGCCAGTGCCCCTCCAATGACCCCACCAAAATTTCGTCCATCATCCACCCGTCCCTGCTCTCGGCGAGCTCCAACGTCACCCTGAGAAGTCACAACGCTGCCTTTGGAGCAAACCACGCAGCCACCTCGCGCGCCTGACACCCGCATCTAACTCCTTCGCGAGGCTAAACTGCGCGTTTCCACCGATACTCGCGGGCGATTCGAGTCACCTCCCGATCCTCGGCTGGTCGAATCCGAGAGTCTCCTCTCCACATCTCGCCCACGCCGTACATTAACACACAATCCGCGGACCCTCTTCAGCAAGAATGTCAGACCTCGCCAGCCGAATCACGGACCCGAAGGAGGCCGCGACTGATGCGGCCCCGGCCCCGGCGGCCGCGGAGACTCCTGCTGCCGACCCCACCGTTGCTGATGCCCAGGCTGATGGCACTGTCGAAGCCCTTGGGGGCTCGGGACTACATGAGCCAGAGTGGGATGTTGAGGTTTCGCTCAGTGAGCTTCAGGACAATGAAGCCACGCCCTTTCACTCGGCGACTACGTGGCAGGACCTAGGCCTGTAGGTGTCTCCCGTGCTCGGCATTGCTGTGCTTATGAGCTTCTGAACTGACCACTTTGATACCGCAGCTCCGAGACCATCCTCAAGGGCCTCTTGGCTCTCAAATTCCTGAAGCCGTCCAAGGTCCAGGGCAAGTCTTTGCCCTTGATGCTTAGCGATCCCCCGAGAAACATGCTGGCACAGTCTCAATCTGGAACTGGCAAGACGGCTGCGTTCGTTACCGCGATATTGTCGCGGGTCGACTTCAGTCAGCCCGAGCAGCCCCAAGCGCTGGTTTTGGCCCCGAGCCGAGAACTCGCTCGCCAGATTGAGGGTGTCGTCACTGCTATTGGCCGTTTCGTCGAGAACCTCAAGATCGCCCCCGCGATTCCTGGTGCCCTCCCTCGTGGCGAGCCTGTCCGCGCTAGCGTCGTTATTGGCACGCCTGGCACGGTCATGGACATCGTTCGTCGCAGGCAGCTGGATGTCTCGAAGTTGCGAGTTCTTGTCTTGGACGAGGCGGACAACATGCTCGACCAGCAGGGTCTTGGCGACCAGTGCATGAGAGTAAAAGGGTTGGTCAAGCTCGCTTCCCCATATGCACATAGAACGCTAACGCAGGGCCTGCAGCATGCTTCCAAGGGATATCCAGATCCTGTTGTTTTCAGCTACGTTCCCCGACAAAGTCAACAACTACGCGTCCAAGTTTGCGCCGAACGCGCATACCCTGAAGCTGCAGAGAAGCGAGCTTACGGTCAAGGGCATCTCTCAGATGTTCATCGACTGCCCTGACGACAACACACGATATGAGGTCCTCTGTAAGCTGTACGGGCTTATGACTATCGGGCAGTCTGTCATCTTTGTCAAGGTTAGTCTCGGGCGGATGCTGTGCTTGCGTGCTTGACTAATCCGGGCTACATAGACACGCGAAAGCGCCAACGAGATTCAACGCCGCATGGTCGCTGATGGCCACAAGGTCTCGGCGTTGCATGCCGCTTTCGATGGCAATGAGCGAGACGATCTGCTTGCCAAGTTCCGCAACGGCGAAAATAAAGTCCTGATCACGACCAATGTTCTCGCCCGCGGCATTGACGTGTCCAGCGTCTCCATGGTCATCAACTATGATATCCCCATGAAGGGACGAGGCGACAGCGAGCCGGATGCCGAGACGTACCTCCACCGTATTGGCCGCACGGGTCGATTCGGCCGCGTCGGCGTGAGCATTAGCTTCGTCTACGACAAGAAGAGCTTTGATGCTTTGAGCAAGATCGCCAGCGCGTTCGGCATCGACCTGGTTCGCCTTGACACGGATGACTGGGACGAGGCTGAGGAGAAGGTGAAGGAGGTGATCAAGAGGAACCGCGCACAGGCTAGCTACGCGCCCAGCGCTACGGACAAGGCCAAGGCACAGGCGGAAGCGCAAGCAGCGGCACCATAGGTTTGGCCGACTGCTGCGGCGTACGCGAAGAGGCCGGAGGCGCCAGTCCAGCGGGGTCCGCCCGCTGCAACGACATTCAACTACGACTGGTAGGAAGGAGGAAGCCTTGGCAGCCATGCGACTGCTAGTACAGCACTGTGCTGTGCTACGTCGCTGCCAGACGTGGCAGGCATGGTCACGGAGCACCTGTTAGTCGCGAGCCACAGATGCCAAACTCCTGCGGGAGTGAGAGGGGGCGAAACCGCGGAGGATATGGCGACATTACGGACGGATTGTGGAGAGGCCTGAGCTGGAAGCGAGACGTAACTACCTGCCAAGTGCTAGACAGGATGAGGTCATGACGAGATACCATGAAAAAAGAAGTAATCAGTCAACAATGACGGACTGTTGGTCCCCGGGGCGCGCGATTCTGCATGATGCTACGCTTGCTACCAAGTATTGAGCACGGACTCCCTTGTGTTGGGAGCGGAAGGCAGCAGTTGTTGGGGCTCGCTGCGACGCGCCTGCCTCGCGATCCGATGTCTTTTGCACAGCGAAACACACAACACCAGCCGACAAGGGCGACGCAAACAACATGGCCTCACCACGCTTCCACATGGGCAGCTGACCCCGTGACTCCTGCACCTCCGTAAAGCAGCCGACTTTCTCTCTCACCGCCGAGACGCCCAGCCTCCTCAATTGCCTTTCTGGGAATTGTTTTTGCTCAACGCGTTTGCCGGAAAGCGGTGACGGGGGTCGCGAAGCCCCCGGACGTCCGGTGGCCGTTCGGAGGTGGAGTCGTGGACCTCGACAAGCTCGACTCTGTGTCTGTGGCGGCGAGACTAGCAGACTGGACCCCTGCCCGCGGCACCGGGGGCTGGACTCGAGGCCCATGGTCGATGGTCACTCAATGGTGTCTCACAGCACTTTGTACACCATATGGCTCGACGACGACGACGAGAGCGGCGCCGACCTTGCTTGACGCCGGCACACGAGAGAGAGGTCGTGATACTTTCGTATCGTGGCATGACACGGCGACCATCTCGCCCGTCGTTCCCGCCCCGGATGCGGCCCTCCTAGGGTGGTGGTCGTACGGCTGCAACTGCCTAACCAGACTGCATTGGATCGCCCTCGGACGGGTGCTCGACGAGTTGTGACGGGCGAGCCACGTTGCATGGCCGGGTATGTGGTGGCCGCGAAGCTGCGCGCGCACAGTGGCCCGCGATTCCGCCTGGCGTCGCGGGTGACGAGCGGGAGCTACAGTCACTCGACGACTCTTGCTCGGCGGTACGAAAAGCATCCGTCCATCTGCATGGGTCGGTCGACTCCATCGCCGTGCATGATAGTGATCCAGGGTCCCGGGCCCACCCGCCAACGCAGCAGTGGCAGCAGCAGCAGCAGCAGCAGCAGCATCGACGCCCAACACAACCGAGCGTCACCGCATCAAGCACCTTGCCGTTGGCCTGCCTCGCCCACATTGCCTCTGTCGTCGTCGTCGTCGCCGTCGGGCAGCCATATGCCCCCATGTCGTCTCGACGCGGCATGAAGCGACTCACACAATGTCTCGAGAGCCCAATCGCTACGCGACGTGTCGGTCCATGCCCGCGGCGCGGGCCAATTGACCCCAAGCACGACATCCGTCGAGTGGTCACTTGAGCAGGCGACGATGGCCTCTGGGCAGGGATGGCTGTTGATGGGGCCGCGACTCTCGCGCAGTTGCGGGACCGACCCCATGTCTCGTCGTCGTCGGTCGGCCGCGACGACAATCACCACCGCTGTGTGAGCGCACCGGAACGCGCATCCGGCGGCCATGGCAGTCCATGGGCCCGAGCACCAGAGTAAACAGACAAGACAGGCCCGGTGATTTGGTCGCCGCCTCGTCAATGACCTGGCAGGATTCCCACCCGTTCGCAGAATCCTCGAGGCAAGTGCTGTCCTGCATCGCACGCACGAAGCACTCGATCCTGTACAGCATCGCCCAAACACCTCTCGCCTTAGTAAACTGCTGGCTTATTCTTGGACCTCTTCGCAGGCCGCGGCTGCTGCATTGCATAATCCTTGTGTCCCAAGCCCCTCAAGGCCCAAGTCCTGCTCCCAATACCCTGATTGGTACCCTCCTGCATCTACCCGACAACCCAATCCCGCGCACCTGCATGGAGGTCGATAGTATAACCGCTGGCCAGCCCGCCCACTCAGATGGGTCTGAGGTTCCTGCCGTGGACACGCCAGAATCAGTATGGATTTCGGCCCCAACGTCGAGTTCTGTCCATACCGGACGAACTTGTCACAGGTCCAGTACTCTGACTTTTCTAATATCCAGTACTTCCAGCAACCCCCCGACTCCGATGAGGAGGTCTTGGACGAGGAGGACGAGGACGAGCTCCAAGGTAAGGGGCATGCCACAGGCACCTGACAGGGAAAAAGAGACTAACAATACAGGTGGCGCCTTGGGTGAGGATCTAGCTGAGGGCCAGTCACAGCCGGCAGAAGCTCCTACGTTATCCAAGAAAGACAAGAAGAAGCAGAAGAGGGACAAGAAGAAGGCCAAGGACAAGTCAGCGGAAGCAGGCCAGGAGGAGCAGCGAGCCGACCCCGAGCACGACGACAAGAGCGCTGAATCGTCACCAAGCGGAAAGAAGAAGAAGAGCAAGAAGGGGAAGAAGGACCAAGAGTCGCCGCCCTCTTCCCCGGAGAAGGGCAAGCAAACATCTGAGGAACCTGCCGACGACTCCCCTAAGGGCAGCCCATCGAAGAAGAAGAAGGGCAAGAAGGACAAGAAGAGCGGCAAAGGCAGCACGTCCCCTTCGTCGCCCGAGCCTCAGCCTGAGGCAGAAGCGCCAGCGACTGCGTCAGAGCCAGTCGCCGCTGAGGAGTCGACTGAGGGAAAGACACCAGAGGCGAGCGCGGCAGAGGCTTCTCCAGAGCCAGCTTCTCAAGACGCACCCTCTCCCGCTGAATCCCCTGAGGCTGTCACTGAGGGCGCACCCCTGCCTGCTGTGTCCCCCGAGGCTGCTACCGAGGACGCACCCAAGACCGGCGATAACGCCGAGCCCCCAGCCGGTGATGATGCTGCTTCCAAAGAGGCAGAGCCTGCCGCAGTAGAGGAAGTTCCTGTGGAGGGGCAGCCAGCAGACGAGGCACGGCCTGCGGATCCAGAGTCCGCCGAGCCGGAAGCGCCAGCGCCAGCTGAAGAGCCTGCTGTTTCGCCACCTGCCGAGGAGTCAACTCCAGCCGAACCTGAGGCTCCAGTCGAGACAACCCCGATGGAGACTAAGCCGGAGGAAGCTGAAAAGCCCTCCGAGACGGAGGGAGGAGGCGAAGCTATTGAGGCACCTGCCCCAGTCGACATTGTTGAGCCGCCTGCTGCTGCCGAGGAGCAGGAAGAGCCCCCAGCTGCAGCCGAGGATGAGGCAAAGACGGAGGCGCCCGAGGAGGCCAAGCCTGGAGCACCTGAAGAAGCCGCTGCGGAGCCTCCGGTCGAGCCCACTGTCGAAGCTCCGGTAGAAGCACAGCCAGAACCCTCTGAAGACTCCCCTGCTGCGGCCCCTGAAGGAACAGAAGCCGAGTCTGCAGAAGTAGCCCCGGCTGCAGCAACCAAAGAACCTCCCACTGAGCCTCCGGCCGAGCCTACCGTTGAAGCTTCAACAGAGGCAGAGCCAGAAGCGCCTGAAGACTCTGTCCCTGAGCCCGCTGAACTACCTGAGACCGAATCGCCAGACACGACCAAAATTGAAGCGCCTGAAGAATCCAAAGAAATTTCAGAAGAGGTCGAGGCTGAAGCTGTCGACAAGTCTGCCACCGAAACCGACGAAAAGACTGCGGAAGAGTTTCCCGAAGAACAGACTGCCCAGGTAGAGGCCCAGGAACAGGACGTTGCCCCAGCACCTACAGAAGAGGCACCAGAGGATGCGCAGCCACCATCAGGTGATTCGCAAACTCCCGAACCTCCTGTCCAAGACGGCCCCGCGGAGGCTAGCGATCCTCCACAGGCGGACGTGCATACAGATGAGGGCGTTGACATCCCTGCATCCAGCGACGAGGTCCCCGCCGTCGAAGATATACAAGCCTCTCCGGAGGAGCCTGAGAATGAAGCAGCTGAGACAGAAAAGGCTACGGCCTCGCCTGATGTCAACACTTCCGAGGCGCCTCAGCCTGCGCCGGCTACAGGGGAGCAAGCCGCGGAGGCTCCAGCCTCTGACAGCCAAGAGCCTACAGAAGAGCCAAAGGTCCGGGAACCAGCAGCTGATGAGTCTCCCACTGCTGAGGATGCTACCTCGCCCGAAACAACTGAGACCACTACAACTGAGGCTCCTGCTGCTCCCGAAGCTGCTCCCGAAAATCCCAAGCAAGACGACACCGATGCTTCAACCAACGCAACACCAGCACCGGCGGAGGGTGAACAGAGCGAGCCTGCTGTCCAAGAGGCGGCAGCCCCAGTTCAAGAGCCTGCTTCGGAGCCCGGCCACTCGGAGGATCCGACAATCAACACTGAGGAGTCAGATCCCGTGCCTGAGACCACCGACGCCGCCGAGAGCCAAGAACCTGCTCCTTCTTCTGCTCCTGAGGACACTGTCCCGGTGGCACAGGCGGAGAATGAAGCTGCCCAGGAACCACTACCACCACCGCCAGTTGAAGCAGAAGATGACCCAAAGCCTGAAGATGCCCCCACAGACGTCGCAGCAGCCCAAGAGCCTGTGGTTGAGTCAGAAGTCAATGCACCCGAGGAGCAGACTGCCACAACTGAGGATGCAGAGCCAGTGGTCGACAAAAATACTGAAGAAAGCCCAGAGCCAGAAGTCACCACTGCCGAGGTCACAGAGACCGCCGAGGCAGCAAAGAACGATGCAGAGGATGGCGAAGCTATTAAGCAAGTCCACTTTGCGGAGAAAGAAGAGGAAATTGCAGCACCCCCGTCTGCCACTGCCGGTGATGACTCCGGCGACGCAAACGAGGAGGCGAGCGATAGCCAAAGCGCTCCCACAGACGGGGATGAGGCTGTGACTGAGCCTCCCGCTACCCCTGCCACGGAGTCCGATGTCGAGAAGGCACCGGAGGACACCGGTCCTGAATCTGTGGAAGAGACGACTCTTGAGGCAAACGGCTCGGCTTCCGACGATGGGCCTGCAGCGGACGGAGCTGCTGGACCCACGGAAGCAGAGCCTGCTTCGGAGGCAAAGGCCGAAGAGTCGTCTGATGTCAAGGAGGGACAAGAGGCACATCAAGAGACTCCTGCACAGGAACAGGCCACGGTAGAGGAGACCTCTGCGGCGGAAGACACCCCGCAAGAGTCTGCAGAGGTCGACGCTCCCGTCGTAGAGCCCACACATGACGCTCCCAAGGAAGAGGCCGCTGAGGCTGCCCAAGAGCCGCCGTCGGTTGAGCCCCCAGTTGCCGCTGTGGAGGCTCCAGCCGCAGATGAACCTGCTGAGATATCGAGCGACCCCGTTCCTGAAGCAGAGGAACAGGATCCGGACCCTACAGTAGGGGACACAACGACCGCCGAAGACGCACAGCCAGAGACGTCAGAGGAGCCTGTGCCGGTTCTTGAGGCGGCTCAGGAGCCCGCAGATAGCCCTCCAGAGGAAACTCCGGCAGTTGAGGCTGCTCCAGAGGCGGCAGAGGTCAGCGACGTTCCTGAAGCGGCTGAGCCTGCGGACGCGAACGCGGAAGCGGAAGCTGCCAAGCATGAACTCGACGCCTCGGAACCTGCTGAAGGAGAAGCACCGACGGAAGATTCCCCTGCCGACGCTACTTCAGACTCCAAGGAACCTGAGGCGGTTGCGGCAGATGCTGTCCCCAAGGACGAAATGCCTCCGGCCACTGCAGAGGCATCGCAGCCTCTCGAAGCTGGCGCAGAGACGACTGAGGAGCAACAGACCGATGATGTTGCCGCAGCTCCAGAAGAAGACTCTGCAGAGACCAAGACGGCGGAGGATGAGACTGTTGCCACCGCTGTTGAGGCGTCTACCACAGAAGTTGCGCCTGATGAGCCAGAGGTGGAAGATCAACCCCAAGACCACTCTGCACCAGCCGAGAATACAGAAGTCACTCCAACTGATACTGCCGAGGACGGCACTCCGGCTACGCAAGACGACGAGACCCAGAATGTCGCTCCTGAAGAGGCAGAGCCGGAAATCGCCGAAAAGGTTCAGGAACAGGATGCGGCTGCAGAAGCTGATAATGATGAGAAGCCAGACCAAGTCGGTGAAGATGTGGCACCTCCTGCTCGTGAAGAGCCTGTGGAGCCCGACGCTGCAGAGAAGACGGATGGCCCTGATCATGCAAATCCTGAGGAAGGGGCCCAAGAGGTCAGCGTCGCAACTCCGGAGGCAGAGCACACCGAGGCAGAGGCAGCTGAGCCTGCGTCAGAAGAACCTCAGTCAGCAGAACCAGTCAAGGCAGACGAAGTGGCTGTAGAAGGCGAATCTTCCCCGCCAGCTGAGGAGAATGCGGGCGAGAGCACACCCGTCGACTCTGCTGCGGAGGACGCGAAGCCAGACGCTGCTGATGAGGTTCCCGCGCCCACTGCCGAAGCGGCGAGCGAGGACCAAGCCCCCGTGGCGGACAGCGACTCTGCTCCTCCGAAGGAACCAGAGGCCGAGCCCGCAGAGACAGTGGCCCCAGAGGCAGCGGCCGACGCCGAGCCAAAGGCAGCCGAGGAGCCAGCTGAAGAGCCGACCGAAGAGCCCGTTCAGAAAGCGCCTCCAGCAGATGAAGCGAAACCTGCCGCCGCGGACGAGCCGGTTGCTCCTGATGCAGACGAGGTCAGCGCTCAGGTCGACGGCGAAGACGAGCAGGCGCCCGAGCCAAAGCCTGAGGAGCACCAAGACGAATCGGCGCCTGCTGTGCCCAACGAAGAGGCTGCTGCCGCCCCTGTCGTTGACGACGCTCCAGCAAATGAAGAGGCGCCTGTTGCTGAAGAAGGCAAGCCTGAAGACGAAGCCGCAGCTGCTGAACCCGCGGAGTCCCAGGAGGAGGCGCCAACAACTACCGAAGCTCCCGCCGAGAACGCCGCCGCAGATGCGGCGGAGACAGCCGTTGCGGCTCCTGAGCCAGAGGCCAAGGAACCCGCCGAGGCCGCAGAGCCCGCAGAGCCCGCAGAGCCCGCCGAAGCTGCAGTGGAAGCCGCTCCTGCCTCGGACGCCGAACCAGCCCCTGCTGAGGTGGAGACTGCTGAGCCAGATCCTCAGGTTCCCGAGGAAGTTGTCATTGAAGCTGAAGCTGAGACCTCTGCGCCTGTGGAAGAGACTACGCCAATCGAGGAGCCTCCCGCGGTCGAAGAGTCCCCAGCAGTCGAAGGGGAGACTCCAGCAGCGGAAGAAGTCCCTGCAGCCGAGGAGGAGACTCCAGCAACTGAAGAGGCCCCAGCGGTCGAGGAGACTCCCGTTGTTGAGGAGGCCACAGCTGTTGACGAGGCTCCAGCAGCCGAGGAGGAGCCTCCGGCAGTTGAGGAAGTCGCTGCAACCGAGGAGGTGACTCCAGCAGTCGAGGATACTTCCGTTGTTGAGGAGCGCCCAGCAGTTGAGGATACCCCCATTGTCGACGAGACTCCTGCTCTTGAGGAGACCACAGCTGTTGAAGAGGCCATAGCAGTCGAGGAGGAGACTCCCGCAGCGGAAGAAATCCCAGCCACCGAGGAGACTCCCGCAGCGGAAGAAATCCCAGCCACCGAGGAGACTCCCGCAGCGGAAGAAATCCCAGCCACCGAGGAGACACCGGCGGCCGATGAGGTCCAAGCGGTCGAGGAAACGCCAGCGGTCGAGGAAACGCCAGCGGTCGAGGAAACGCCAGCGGTCGAGGAAACGCCAGCGGTCGACGAAGGTCCAGTGGTTGAAGATGCCCCAGCAGCGGAGGAGGAGGCTGCCCCAACTGAAGAAACTCCAGCCGCTGGCGAGGGGTCCGTGGAGCCGCAACAGGAAAGCCAAGCCGAATCTGCCGCGGCTCCCATTGAAGACGCCCCCAAAGAGCTGGCTGAAGATGAGCCAGAGCCGATCGTCGCTGATGAGCAGCAAGACGCCGAAGCCGGAGCGGTAGCCGCAGTCCCAGAAGCCGAGGATGCTCAACCGGAGCCGGAGGCCAAGCCGGAAGATACGACCAAAGAGGCTACCCAAGCCACCGAGGAGGAAGAAAGCAAGGACACCGTCGGGCCTATCCCATTGCCCAAGGAGGAGAAGCACGCAACCCGGTCGAAGAAAGGTGAGGATCCAAGTTCTTTCAATGATACCCCTTTGTGTTTTCAGGAGCGGTCTGGAGACTCCACGCTCCAACCGGTCGTGGATGTCGAGGACAATGGCGTTTTGGCGTTGGATTGCATCGAACACACAGATACCCCCCAAACTGTTTTGACGGCGGACGAGATGGTGGCCCCATCGACCGGAGCAAACCCAGTTGCGCCAATTCTGGAGTCTGGAGAAGAGCCACTTGCAACTGGCAGCTGCGTCGAGGCAGCGCCCGCCGTTGCAGCCGTGGAGCTTCCTCAAGAAAAGGACAGCGCTCCTGGTGAAGTGGAGTTCGCGCAGGAGCCAGAGTCAGACCAGGCTGTTGCCACGGACAAGGAGCTTTCGACGGCGCCAGCGGAAGTGGAGGTACTGGAAGTGGCAGGCCTTGATGAGGTACCAGGTATCGAGTCCAAGGACATGCCAGCCGTTGAAGAAGGACTTGCGAACAACGATGAGTTGCAAAACCTCGACGAAACCCCTAAGGACTCTGAACAGGCAGATCTGAGCGCGCATGACACAGGCGACTCTCAGCCTGTGTCCCCTGGAGACGCAACGGAGGTGGAGGAGGGAAGTGACGAAGCCAAAGCCATCGATTCCGAAAAGGAGCCGAACACTTCTCTTATCCCAGGTGTCGGTGCTGCAGATGCGGCAGAAGATGCCACGACAGAAGGCGATACGATTCCCCTTGCTACTGCGTCACCTCTCGACGAGACCACAACTAGTGACGAGGTAGCAAGCGAGGAGACTGCTTCCCCGCACGCGACTCTCGTCGCTGATGGTGCTGCGGATGCCATCAGCGGTGAGTCTTCAGACAAAGCGCAGGATTCGGCTGAAGTGGAGCATGAGCCCTCAGTCGAAACACCTGCTCAGCTTTCCACCGAGGCGGCAGATGCGGATGTTCCACGGTCCGAAGAAGCGGACGCCCCCGCGGACTCGGTTGTCGAAACTGCGACTCGGGATGAGGTTGACGTCGCGCCCCCAGCCGAAGCTGGCGACGAGCCTGTGCAGGAGATTCACGAGGAGACTCAGGTTGAGTCCGTCACAGAGCCATTGTCGGATCTTTCAGCCGATACCGCTATTGAGACCTCATCAGTCGAGGTGGCCGAGGACAGTCATGACTCAACGACGGCAACTACGTCTCTTGCGGTTGTAACCTCTGGGGAGGTTGCCGTGAATGACCTCGAGGCCTCTGCCGAAACAAAAGTCGAACGTGCAATCGAGCTTGCAATCGAGCCTGCAACCGAACCAGAAATCGAACCCACAACCGAACCTGCCGTGGAAACAGCAGTCGAACCCGCAGTAGACTCTGCTATTGAGCTTCCTGCCGAGCCCCCAGTCGAACCCGCAGTAGACTCTGCTGTTGAGCTTCCTGCCGAGCCCCCAGTCGAACCTGCTGCCGAACCTACTGTTGAGGCCGCCATTGAGCCCGCTGTCGAGCCCACCATGAAGGCTGCAGTCGACCCTGCAGTCGACTCTTCACTGGAGCCCGACGTTGAAACTCCTGTTGCACACGCAGTCGAGCCTGCTGCTGTGACAGCAGTCGAAGCCGCAGTCGACCCTACTAGCGAGCTTGCCGTCGAGTCCTCAGTCGATGGTGCCGAGCCCTCAGTCAATCCTGCTACCGAGCTTGCTGTTGAAACCGCTGTTGAGCCCATTCCCGAACCCACCGTCAAGCCTGAAGTCGAAGCTGCCGTCGAGTCTTCCTCGGCTGAGCCTGCTCCTGAGCCTGTCGCTGAGCCTGCTGTCGAAACGGCAGTAGAGCCCGCCGTCGACCACGCTATCGAGCCGTCCGTCGATGCCGTCAATGATCCCGGCGTTGAACTGGCAGCCGATTCCACGTTCGAGCCTTCTGTTGAGCCTGCTGCCGAGCCGGCTGTTGAAAGCGCAGTCGAGTCTGCGGCTGAGTCCATCATCGAATCTCCTGTCGATCCTGGTGCCGAAACTGTCGTTGAAGCTGCTGTCGAGCCTGCAGCCGAGCTCGCAGAGAAGCCTGCAGCCGTGTCTGTTATAGAGTCTGCTATCGAGCCTGCCGTCGAGGTTGCCGCTGAAAGCGCTGTCGAAACTGCTACTGCTAGTGCTGCCGAACCCGAAACTGAGCCTGCAGTCGACCCTTGTGCCGAGTCTGCCATCGAGCCTGTTATCGAGCTTAAAACAGACTCTGCCGTCGAGCCTGCCGTCGAGTCTGCCGTCGAGTCTGCTGCCGATCCTGTAGCGGACTCTACCATTGAGCCCCCAGTGGAGTCTGCTGTCGAGCCTATGGGTGAACATGCTGTCGAAGCTGCTGTTGAGAGTGCTGCCGAACCTGCAACCGAGCATGCTGTTGAGGCCGCCGTCGAGCCTGCTGCCGAGCATGCCATCGAGCCTGCTGCCGAGCCTACATTGGAATCTACCGTAGTGCCTCAAGATGGGTCTGCTATCGAGCCCGCCATCGAGCCTATTGTAGACTCAACTGTCGAGTCCGCTGTCGAGCCTCCTGTCACGCCTGCTGTCGAACCTGCCATCGAGCCCGCTGTCGAGCTTGCTGTTGCGCCTACTATCGAGCCTATAGAGGACTCTGCCGCCGAACCTCAAGCCAGGTCTACCGTTGAGCCTGCTATCGAGCCCTCAGCGGAAAGTGGTATCGTAGCTGCCATTGACAGTGCCGTCGAACCCGCAACTGAGCCTGTTATTGAGGCCGCTGCCGAGCCAATTGTTGAGCAGGTCGACCAGCCACTGATTGAAAACTCTACCGAAATCATTGAGCCACCTTTTTCAGAAGCACCTGTTGAGAGACCTGCGGAGACACTTGCTGCGCCAAACGACTTGCTCACCGTCGACGGACTTGCAGTGGACCTCTGCACCAGAGAGGCTACAGAAGATGCCGAACCAGAGACTTCATCCATCGTTGAAGTTGCTGCTGAGGCACTTGGTGATGATGCACAGGCTGAATCTATTCTTGTGGATCCGTCTTCCGAGGACGCTGCTCAACCTGTGGTCGACGATGCGACCGACAGCACTCCTTCGGCCCCTGCTGATACTCAAGACGGAGAGGTGCCCTCTGAAGTCCCTGTCGAGCCGCCCGCCGAAGGCGCCACTGATACCGATACTGTACCCGTGGATACTGTGGCCGACGATGCTGCGGAAGAGGATGCCACCGACCGGCCGGAGATCATCACAGCCGTCGAGATCCCTGTTGAGGCCCCTGTCGAGAGTCTAATCGAAGCTTCTCCTGAAACTGGTGCTGAAATCTCCGCCGAAGCTCCCATGGAAGACCCCGTCACATCTACTGTCGAGCCTCCGACTCAAATCTCGGTCGAGGCTGATGTAGAAGCTCCAGTTGAGGCTGCTGCCGCAGCTCCAGTTGAGGGTGTCGTCGAATCTCCAGTCGAGGCTGCTGTCGAAGTTCCAGTCGAGGCTGTCATCGAGCCTATTGCCGAAGCCCCAGTCGAGGCTGTCGAAGCCCCAGTCGAGGCTGTCGAAGCTCCAGTCGAGGCTATCGTCGAAGCTCCAGTTGAGGCTGCTGCCGAAGCTCCTATCGAGGCGCCAGTCGAGGCTGCTGCCGAAGCCCCAGTCGAGGCTGTTGCCGAATTTCCAGTCGAGGCTATCATCGCCCCCGTCGAGGCTCCAGTCGAGGCTATTGCTGAAGCTCCAGTCGAGGCTGCTATCGAAGTTCCTGTCGAGGCTCCAGTCGAGGCTGTCGTCGAAGCTCCTGTCGAGGCTCCAGTAAAGGCTGTTGCTGAAGCTCCAGTCGAGCCTGCTATCGAAGTTCCAGTCGAGGCTGTTGTCAAAGCTCCGGTCGAGGCTGATGTTGAAGGCCCGGCCGAGAGTACGGTCGAAAATGTTATGGCGGACCCGGTCGACACGCCCCTTGCAGCAGCAGGTGATGTTTTAGTCGAGCCCCAAACCGAGTCTACTACTGCGGCCCCCGCTGAGGTTCTCGATGAGGCTCCGTTTGAAGCTGCTGTCGAGACTGCTACGGATGTTGCTGAAGCTGCTATTGGATCTACAGCGGAAACTTCAGTAGAACCACACGACGAGGTTTCCGCCGAGGATCCCAAGGAAGTTCTCGTTGAAGATCATGCCGATGCCGCTACTGAAGGCCCCATTGAGGCTCCCGTTGATGCTCATCTTGAGGCTTCAACCGAAATTCCTATGGAAACAGCCGCCGAGATTCCTACAGAGATCCCTGCAGAAGCTCCTGCCGAAACTCCGGCCGAAGACTCTGTCGAAGGTACGGTCGAGATACCAGTCGAGGCACCAGTCGAGACACCAATCGAGGCGCCAGTCGAGGATCCTGTAGAGGCGATAGCCGAAGTTCCCGTCGAGGCTGCGGTTGGAGCTTCTGAGGAACCCCCGAAGGCTCCGGTTGAGCCCTCGGCCGAGACTACCGATGAATCGCCAGTTGGAGCTCCTATTGAGACAGATGCGGTTCCTGAATCATATCATGTCGTCGAGCCGCCCCACGACGCGCCAGGCGACCTCGGTGCAGCTAGCAACACTCCCACCGAAGATGCTGTCCAGGAGGCCATTCCCGTGGAACTTCCCGCTACCTCGAGCGCAGCTGAAGAAGTGCTTGACGAATCCGCTGCCAATGACAACCCTGGCTTGGATGCAGAAGAGCCCGTGCATGTTCCTGTCGAAGTTGCAGCCATGGAGACCCTCCATGAGGTTACTGAAGAAGACGTTGTCGAGGCTCTAGAAGCAATGGATGCTTTCGATGACCATACTGGCTCTTCTGAGGAACATCCCGCCGCCGGCCTTGCAACTCCGAGCGAAGACATGACTGTCGAGTCTCATCCCGGCAGGCCTGAATCTGGCATTGAGGAAAGCGCCAAAACTTCTGGGGACGCAATCGGAGATCTCGTCCAGGACGCTGTCGAACCGGTCATTGCGGGCCCAGCCGAAGAACTTCCAGCTGACGCCACGGTGGAAACGTCCATCGCCATCGATCCCTATCCATCGGCGAATGAGGAGCCTGTGGTCGATGATTCTGCGGGCGATTCGTCCGAGATTGTCCCAGAAGCCGATTCCAAAACTGCTGTCGAGGAAGAGATGGACGGGGTCTCTGAGGCTCACGTTGACAATGACCATGCACCTATCACCGAGCCTGCTGTGGAAGCCAGCCTTGTCGAGTCCTCAACGGTGGATGGCAACGAAGTGGCTTCTGGGGTCACTTCCGCTGAAGCTGCCCCAGAAACGACAGCCGAATCACCTGCTTCAGTGATCGACCCCGAGGAAGCTGCGCCAGCAACGGCTATTGATCCTCCTACCGTCGATGTCGATGTTGAGGCTCCTGATGTCGCAATACCTGTGGAGCTTTCTCCTGAAGCAGCTGCCCAACAGCCTATTGTTGAGGCTCCTATTGAGGCTTCCCTCGACAATCCTGCAGAGCCTGTGCCCGAGCACGCAGCGAACGATGCGGTTAGCGAGGTGATTCAGAATGATGCAGCCCAGGAACCGATAGACGCAAGCGAAGAAGCTCCTGGAGAGCACATGTCTGTCACAATTGCTTCGGACACCGCAGCCGCTCTCGAACCTCCTGCTGAAGAGCACACAGCGACGAAAACAGTTGAGGACTCGGTTGAGCCTTCCGCTGCGAAGGCTTCAGAAGCAGGTGACCCAATCGACGAGCCCCTGGAGACATCCCTCGAAGCGGTTCCTGAAACTGCCACAGAGCCACATGCAGAACACGACACTCCCGCCACGTTGGTTGAAGGGACTGACCCTGTCGGCGATATTGACGTCGCCGTAGAAGTCCCTGACGAGACTCTCATTGACAATTCAGAGGAGTCTGTAAGCCGCGAGGGCCCATCTGATGCTCTCATCACGTCTACCACTGGTCTCACCGCAGAGACAGTAGATGATGCTGTAGCGCCAGGTTCCATGACGGAGTGCGCCGAGGCAGTTACTGAGACGGCCCGTGAGCTTCCTGTTGAAGGCCTCGTCGTCGATGCCGTTCAATCTTCAGATGGGCGCGATCTCGGTCTTGCTCCCGAAGGCCCTGCCGACGCCGCCACTGACGCTTCTCTGGAAGGCAAGCTCAACCTGGTTGCCAATGAAACTAGTGTCGATACTCCGACTGAAAACCCTGTTGAAGCTTCAGAGATTGGGCGGATGGAAATGGCTCCCCAAAGCGACGGCCTTAGGGAAGCACTGGTCGATGAGCCTTGCTCCCAACGTGATAACGTGGCCCCCCTCCAGGATATAACTCATGAACAGCCTCTGGAGGCTGCCGTCGACGTCTCTGCACCTGCTGAAGTTTCCGAGGTCCCGGATGAGCCCGCATCAATCAGTGCTGCCACTGTCGACGCTGTCGCTGGCGAAATTGGCACTTATGACGAGACAGGTGCAGACGCCCCTTCCGAGGGCAGTGAGCCCGCAGCAGAGGCACTTCTGGAAACGTCAGCTGAGGCTCCAGCTGAGGCTCCAGCTGAGGCTCCTGTCGAAACATCCACGCAAGATGCTGGGGAGACAATAAGCGACGCTGCAGTTGAGGTACACGCGCAGGATGCGGTGGAGAATTCCACTGCGGCGCCTATCGAAGCTATCGCCGAGGCATCTATGGATGTGGCTTACGGAGAGCCTGTTCAAGATCTCGCCAAAGCCTCTACAGATGATCCTGCGCAGCCCCCTGCAGATGCTCTTCGTGAGGCCAATCTTGACAGTCTTGAAGCCTCCGGTGACAGGGCCATCAGGGACTCAACCGAGGCACCGGCTGAGGACACTATCGTGGTATCTGAAGATCACGATGCAGACACTTCCACTGCGTTAGGTGCTGAGACGAGCGTCGATGTCACCATTGAGGCTCCTCTGCCGCAGCCGATCGGAGAGGCAAGCGAGGTTCTCACTGAGGCTTCCGCTGATCAAGGGGATTCTATCGAGGGTCCTACCATGGTGCCCGACGTTTCCACCGATGCTTCCGCGGAGCCAGTAGCTGAGCCCACAGTCGTGGACGTGGAAGAAGTCTCGAACGAGAGCCGAGACCAGACATCGCAAGATGCCGTTGACGACGTCATCGACGAAGATAAGGCTATCGGGGAGGTCCATACGGCTGCTACTGAGGCTCTCGTTGCTACGGTTGGTGAGGAGACTCTTTCCACCGAACCACCAGCAATTGCTTCCGAGACGACGGCTTCGGGGTTGTCCTCCGAACCCGTCATCTTGCATCCTGCTCATTCGCCCGAGAGTATTCCCCTCGACACTTCTGCTACTGTCACCGATGTCCCCAAGACTGGCTCTGAGCCGTCGCTTGAAGCTCCTCCATCTTGTACGGACAGTAGGGTGGAGACTGTCTTGGATTCTACAGCAGATGTTGCGAAAGCCGTTTCTCCTGCGGCTCTGTCCGATTTTGATGCTGACAGTGTTGATGATGCCTTTGCCACTGCATCTACCGGAACGGCTGTCGAAATCTCGGGCCTTGCTGAACCTGAGAGCTTGGATGAGGTCGAGACTGATGCCCTCAAGAAGTCATCAGTGGAAATGATAGTTGAGGCTGTGGCTGAGTCTCCTATTGACCAGTCCATCGAGTTGTCAGTTGCGAGCTTGGACAAAGGCTCAACGGAGTCTCCTGGCGAAGTTCTCGGCGAACAGCCACATGAAACGCCAATCCAAGAGATCCCATCAGGCCAGCAAGATCGCGATGTTACAGGTGATACCGCCGAGGCTGCCGGGGCCCCTATCCAACCTGAGGAGACAACGCAAAATCTTGATGGTGTAGTGGCTCCGCCAGCTGGGAGCCTCACGGCCGCTGAGGCGTCTCCTGATGAAGTGCCAGCTGAGGGCCAAGTCGTGGCCATCGACGTCGAGCAGCCAGACGAAACCCCTGTGCAAAGTGATAACGCAGATTGGGACAAGTCGGACAGCTTACCCGTCAACGTTGCAGCGGCTGCGCAAGTGGACGAACCAGTAGAGGAGCAACCGATTTCGTTGAGCGTGGAAAACCTGTCGCCCAATCACCTCGACTCCGCCACGCCGCCAGTAGGTGAGACAGCCGTGGACATTCTGGATACTCCGAAAGACGTTGTTGAGCCAGCCGAAGATCATGTTGAGTCGGATCCGGTCCAAGTTGAGACCACTGCCTCAGAACCAGCACGGGACAACGATGAGCCTGGCTTAGAGACGCCTTCCGGCGAAGCTGAGATGCCGCTAGAAGAGGCACTAGAATCAACTCTAGAACCCACCTTGGCTGTCGACAATGGGGTGTCTACCGACTCGATTGAAACGGAACCGCTTACCGTGGCCGATCTCCCCAAGGAGCACGACGTTCTTGAGGGGGCCATCAACGACACCCCTGCATCCTTGGAGGAGCAGCCTATTTCCGCTGAGGCGTCTGGTGATAATTCCACTGTGCCCGCTACAACTGGAGAGTCTTCCGAAGAACCCGCCGGAGACACCGGTGGCAATCAGCAAGAGCCAGAAGAGAATGTTCTTGGGGAGACGGTCGGAAAGTCTCTCGAAAGCCAAGCAGAGCCAAGCACCCCAGAGCCACCTGAGAAGGACTTACACAGCCAAACGGAAGAGTCCACGGTGATGCCACAAGTCGAAAGCTTATCACCACCTACTCTCGTGGTCGCGAGTCTCCCTGAGGAAGTACCATCTGCTACAGAAACAGCCACAGAGCCTGTAGAATCCGACCAGCTCGTATTTGTGGATGCGCTGGAAAGTCAGGAAGATGGTACATTGCCAACAGCAGAAAGCAAAGATGGCGTTGATTTGACTCAATCGCCCATGATGGCTGCGCAAGATCGAGAACAGCCTGAGGATGCCCGATCAGGTGACGCGTCAGCTCATCACCTTGAACTGGGCGTTGGAGCCGCTGCTCTCGCGGCTGCGGCAGGGATCGCTGTCGGAACTCTCGCTCTCGGCCAGAAAGACAACTCCCCCAAAGACTCGGTCGTGGTAGACCCAGCCGTCGCTTCTGTCACGGCTGATAAGACTGCCAACATCGAATCGCTGCGGGAGGTGCCGTCTCAAGGCTCGCCACTCCCTGACGGCCCTTCATCGGCAGGGCAGCGTGACGTCCCAGACAAGCCAAACGACAAAGCTGTGGACGTGGTGCAGACATCTCAAACCACTGCTGTGCACGATGTTATCGTCCATGATGCATCTGTTTCTGCACCGTTGGATGCGCCTAATGTGTTGGCAGACTTGGAAAGCAAGGCTCAGTTGGGATCATTGAGTCCATTGTCCACTGAAGATTCCGAGCTTCGAGCGTCAACACCTGCAGTCGTGCTCCCTGACGAAGAGATGGTCGGCCTCCAGCGTCAGCGGACCTTGCGTCGAATGCAGAAGCGCGCGGTTCGAGAAGCCGAAGACACAGTTGCGGCAGCTGTTGTGATATACGCAACAGCCGAGGCGCTGAGCCCTCCGGAGAGCCCAAGACTTGGGTCGTCCGAAGTCGAAGGTGGCAGCGAAGTGCCGGTAACGGTTCAGCAGGATGTTTTGGAGCCCCCAGCCACAGAAGCACAGGATGATGTCCCTCGTGGAAGAAGGCTGCATGGACCTGAGACGGAACTGCGGAAATCTGTTACTGACTTATTTACAGAGGCCAGATCTAGGGAGCTCGGTCCCTCGAGCAGTGACCCAGATAGAGAGCGTCACCGCAAGCACCGACACTCGCAGCACTCGTCGGCCAACTCAAGCAGGAGCCGAGGCGAGGACGGCGACAAGGAAGGTCGTCAACGCTCATCGCACAGCTCCCGCCGCCGCTCGAACGGGGCTAGATCCAGTGCAGACAAAACCCCCCCGAGAACTCCACGACGCCAAGACAGTGGTTACTCGGGGGAAAGCTCCGGAAGCTCGGGCAGGCGACGGAGAACAGCCGAGGAGCAAGCCGATCATGAGAGGCGAAAGGCGGAGAGGGCGCTCAAGGGGAAAGAGGCCGAGCGACGCCAGACGCCAAGCCGGGACCGCAAAAGCAAGGAGGCAGAATCTCCTGTGGATCGCAGCAACAGATCCTCCCGCCGCCAGAGCTACTCCAGCAACTCACGGTCAGACTCGGCCAGGATCTCGGCCACCGTGGAGCGAGAACAGTCGATTGTGCAGCCCGAAAAGCGCTTCTTCGACGTAAAGAACGCTGTGGGCATCGTGGGACACGGGCCGCCAACGCCACCCATCATCCGCGATACGGTGATTCCACCTTCGTCGTCCAAGGAGGCATCTCCACGCGCAGATGCACCTACGGGCTCAAGCAGCACGCGCAGCAGACGTAGCTCCCGACGACAATCGACCGACCAGGCGCGTCCCAAGACCCCCAAGTCTCAAGAGGAACATGCGTCGGAGGAGCAGAAGTCCCCAAAATCATCCTCGTCCAAGACCTCGCCCAAGGCCTCGCAGTCTTCCGGTGGTGAGGACGCCGCCCGCCGAGCCAGGCGCAGCGAGCGCAACAAGGCCGCAGACGGCTCCAAGAAGTCGAGCGGCCTCCGTAGTCTCGTCAAGAGACTCTTTACGTCTTCATAAGGGGGAGGGAATTAAAATGTTATCTTTGCGTTGTTTCCTGTGGAGGGATGTCGTTTTCCTAGTTTGTTTGGTACATGTTTTGGACGGACGAGAGATGATTTATGTATGATGTGTACGAATGAGCTATGATGGGTCATGGGGTTTCACGGCCATGATCATCATGCGCTCATGTGGTTTCTGTATTTCGATGACATGGTATATGATATACGAATGTTTGATGCGTCTGATTTGACCGAGGCTGGAGTGCCGGAGCAGCTGCCATGTGAAGGAGGTCACCCCATGGCGGTGAGGCGCAGTATTTCCAGGATAATGCGAGCGTGTCTCTCAAACTTTGCCTGGCGCCGATCTACCCGTTATGAGGGTTCCATCTCGGGGGATTTAGTTGTTGAGTCTTGACTCTTTGGTTGGTCGAGTCTGCAGAGCCACGACTTACACGCTCTGAGTCGGATCACGTGCCATATCATGTGATGTTACTAGGAAAACCCACGCTTGACTGCGACGCTCATTGGCCCACAAGTCGCAGCCCTAATTTCCAGCCCAATTTGGCAAGCCCACCAAAATTCACGAGGCCAGTGACCGTCCCCCGGGCCGGAAAAGTGCCCCATCACCAGATCGGGGACCGTTTTCGACCTCTTCTTTTTTCTCCCTCCCCTCCCCACCTACCTACTAAAAATCTCCAGGCGCAGGATTCTACCTCTTTGCGTTCTTACCTCTCCTCACTCATAACCAAACGGGAAAAAAAAAACCAGCAGTCGCAATGGCTCCCCAGGCAGTACGTTCACCGTCGTGATGGCACACAAACACCCACACTCGCTTTGCTGTCGGCCGCGCGCGGCGGGCGCGGGCCTGAAATATAGTGCAGTAGGCTAAGTGTTTTTTTTTCGCTACGAGCAGCAGCAGAAGAAGTCGGGCAAGGCCCAGAAGCAGACCAAGAAGGTTAGTTTTCTCAATACGGAATCCCTGTTTCCCTCCCGTTCCCCCTCGAGCTTGTCAGATTCGCATCTGGGGAGAGGGGGGAGTGGGAGCCGGGGAAAAGAGCAAAAATCGGAAGAGGGGAGCGCGAAGGCTGACCGTGGTTTTTGTTGCGCGCAGTTCATCATCAACGCTCAGCAGCCCGCTAGCGACAAGATCTTCGACGTCTCCGCCTTCGAGAAGTTCCTCCAGGACCGCATCAAGGTCGAGGGCCGCACCAACAACCTGGGCGACAATGTCGTGATCCAGCAGGCCGGCGAGGGCAAGATCGAGGTCATTGCCCACAACGAGCTCTCTGGCCGCTACCTCAAGTACTTGTACGTGGTTTTCCTCCCGCTCCCTACCTCGGCTTTCAATGCCGTTGTTTTCCTCTCTCGACCCCCTTGACGCTGACTCCGCCGTGCGCCGACAGGACGAAGAAGTTCCTCAAGAAGCAGCAGCTCCGCGACTGGCTCCGCGTCGTCTCCACCTCGCGCGGCGTCTACGAGCTCAAGTTCTTCAACGTCGTCAACGACGAGGCCGACGAGGACGACGAGTAAAGAATTTTCGTGTGCTTCACTGCGACACGGGAATACTCTCTCTCTCTCTCTCGAAAAAAAAGTCCACACTGCCAAAAAACCCCCCACGCCGTCTGGCTCGAACAACGGGGAGCGCGTGTGGTGGGATGTTTCTCTAGGACGAGTGGGACTGGGGATGGTGGACGATGAAATGTTCGCTACGTACAGGACACACGGTCCGGAATACAACACCACACACACCCCGTTTTGAGTGAGAAAACATTGCTGCTCTTGTCTCGTGTGATGATGCGTTGATGTGTGAAATTGCGTTGCGCACTCTTGCCGTAGCGTGTGCGTGCTCTCGATCTATGTGTGTAATGCCGTGTCTGAATAGTAAACCAATGAAGCCCCATCCGTCGCTGGTATATGATGCCGTCATATCCTTTTGAAAAGCCAGTATGGCCTGGCCTGCCCGTCTCTTCCATCAACGCAGTAAGGCTCTCCCTTCACTCGGCCCTTCTAAGGCAACGTCCTCATGACGCCCTCAAACGCAACCAGCGCCATGGCATTGGCGGGAAACGCCCTCAGGAAGCACGGCAGGAACCCCCTCCAGTAGGCCCTCCACCCGCCCTCCCTCCACACGGCAACGGCGGCGTCCCTCCAGCGGGGGAACCTCCTCGCGCCGTCGCCCAGCCCGCCGCCAAGCGGGTCCGTCATGATGCGCTGCTTGACCAGGTCGCTCGGGTAGCTCGTCAGCCAGAAGACCTGGGCGCTGAGCCCGCCCGCCCAGAAGTTGATGGCGGGCGCCGACAGCGACGTGTGGCGGCGCAGCGCGCGCGACAGCACGTCGTAGCTGCTCCACCAGAAGAAGAAGAAGCCGCGGAAGAGCAGCGTCGCCGAGAGCCCGTGGTACAGCCCCCGCACGCCGTGGTGCCGGTAGATCTTGGCCACGCAGTCGAGCGGGCCAGAGTACAGCCGCTCTGACTTGCGTGCCGCGTACTGGATCTGCAGCCGCGCCTTGACGTGCTCGACGGGTGCGGCGATGAAGCTGACGGTTGAGCCGGCGAGGATGCCGGCCAGGCCGTGGCCCAGCGGGGGCAGATACGACGATCTCGACGACGCCTTCGAGGCATCAGCAGCAGAGGAGGACGACGAAGACGAAGCGTAGGGCGGCCATATCCCCAGCAGCGCCTTGAAGCCGAACCCGGACCCGTCGCCCGCGCCGGGAGCCCACGACGCCGCGCCAAAGACATGCTGCGCCATGAGCCGGCGATACACGGCCAGCGAGCCGAGCATGACCGAGTCCATGAACATCCACCCGACGAGCGGCGGCGTCGCGCCCTTGTACAGCCCTCGCACGCCCTCGTTGCGCACCGTCTGGGCCACGCACTGCAGCGGGCCCGAGAAGCGGCCCGCGTCCGTCGTCTGCAGCCGCACCTTGACCGTGTCGAACGGGTGCCCGACTGTACGTTACCCCCATTGATGTCAGCACTCGTCCCGGCTCCGATAATCATGAGGTGTGTGCCCCGGGGGATACGCGTGGGCTTTGGCTCTACCCCGAGGAGCAAAGCGTGAAGAGAGAGAAGGGGGGGGGGGTCTTTCTCTTACCCGTCAGCTTGGCGATGCCGCTGAACACGCCCGCCACGAAGCCCTTGTAGTCGCGCTTCGACGACGCCGCCACCGGTCGCTCCTGCGCCCTGTCCGGCTTCTCCCGTGCCTCCGCGTCTGAAGGTGCCGACGGGGCTGGCGCGGGCGCGGCGAGCGAGAGTGAAGACGGCTGTGCGGCAGACGCGGCAGCCGCCGCCACAGCCGGAGCCATGATACCCGTCCGTCTGTCTGTCTTTCTATCCGCCTGTCTACCTCAGGTCGACCCCGCGCAAGGTACGGTATCCGACTCTCTGCGCAGGGACCCAAGCTTCGCGCGTCGGTGGGGTAAGTGTAGGTAGGTTTGCCGAAGCTCGCTCCCCTTTTTTCACCGACCCATCTGACGTCGGGGGGGTATGGTGCGGCGCGCTGCCTCCAGCTGCTTCGTGCCTGCGGCAACCGCGGGAACGAAGGAGAGCAAAAATTGGTGAATGGGAGGCGGGCTGTGGTTGCACGAGGTGATGAGTGATGAGTGAGCGCGAACCCGGCCTATGCTTGAGAATGAATGAATGACGGGTGTGGAATAAAGGTGGAGCACTTGGGCTGCGGGATCGGAACCCGGCGGCGTCACACTAACACGAGGGTCCAGGGACAGTCAGTCAGATGCAGGCATGCCGCCTGGGTCGACATTCAAGCCTACATTCATTGAACATCACGCCGACGGCTCCGCCTCTTTGGAGTTGCGACACACTTCGTTTGATTATCAATCACATCAATTGTTCACCCGTTCGTTTCTCTTCTCCCGCTATCGATATATGGCCAAAACACTCCCCTTCCCCCGTCTCAACCTCTCTCTCCCCCCAAAACCAACTCATCGCCAAAACCGCCAACAGCCGCCTGCTACATGACCAATCGACGCTCTGATCTAGAACCAAACAGCCATGAGTCGTATCGTCGTCAAGAAAGGGGGACAAAACGGCCCCCGAAAGCCAAGCAAACATGTGCGAAATGAGACTTCGCATCGCAGGCCCGCCTCTCATGCAGATCGAGCACAACCAGCTCCATATGTGCCTTGTATGTACCGGCAAGTCGCCTCGCCTTTGCAAATTGTAGTCCATTTTCGTCCCTGCCTCACGGGTCACAGTGCGACAACGCCTCAGAACGTGTCCGTGTCCTCGCTTGCCACCGTGCCAAATGTATCTGTCCCCGGATTAGCCAGGTTTCGCACTACGGCATTGGCTTTGAAACTCACCTCGCTTGCGCCGTCTCTCCTCTCTCGCGGCATCCTCATCCGGGTGCCTCGGTGTCATCGCCCGCGGTCCGGTAGGCCTCCGCGTGGGCACACCGAGCGCTGCGCTCAGGTTCCGGTTCTCCAGCTTCGGGCTGCTGCCAGAATAATGGCTGAGATGCGTAGCCGTCAGCGTCCCATAGCCGCTTTCTGAGCTTTGCTGCGCCGGCGGGCTGCTCTCCTTGAGCCGCGCCATGTCCGCAGATCTCGGGGACGTCGGCGACAGGGGGCTGCCGATCGGCTCTTTGGGCGGTCGTGGCGGTCCCGGCGACGAGTGCCAATACTCTGCTTCCTGAGCAGCTGTGGCTGCGGCTGCGGCCGACGAAGTGTTGCTGTGCCTGGTGGTATTCCCGTGCAGCCGGTTGAGGCTGGTGGCCGAGCCCGCCCAGTCTGCCGACCTCGGGGTCGTCGGGTTGTTGCTGTACTCTTGGGCCGATGTCTCCAGGGCTGTTCGGTAGCGCTCCGTCTGCCCCGGCCTGGGCTGCGGATGCTGAAGGTTCACCGAGTTTCTGTGAGCCTTGTACTTGGGGTCTTCCGGTGTCTGGTACGATGTCGGGGGCGGGCCTTCATCTCGTCCATGTGGCTCGGGAACCAGATTCTGGTCCGAGAACCCCGTGTGGAGCTTGTCGTCGTACGGATCGTGCCTGTAGTTGTCTTCATAAGAGGCCAGGCTGGACCCAGACCGTGAAGGCGGTTGGAAGTCGTCGTACTTGGGTCCTCCCTTCTTGCCTCCGCTGCCACGGAGCATCCGCCCGACGCTCGAAGTCGTCGTTTCAGACCAGCGGGAGATCTTGGGCAGCCATCCAGAAGAGCTGCTGGACTTGTGCTTCTTCCCCCTGTCCGTCCGGGGGGTGTTTTCGGCACTCTGTGGGTGTTGGTCGCCCCTGTCCACGAGCTGCGGCGGAGTCTCTGGCGGCACAGACCCGCCTCGCTGGACCTGGTCGGGCCGCCCAGGAGAGAGCAGGTTGGCCTTCATCCTCTCGGCCGACGGGCTGGGGTGATCATACTGATACTCCTCGTCGTTTTCCTCCACGGTGCTGATCCGGTGATCCGAGACCGCTCGCCGTTCCCCCGCGAAGGGCGGGGCCAGGGTCTTGGGTTGAGAGGCGGCCAAATGGCCCGACTGGCTGGCATGGCTGGCAGTCGAGATGCCCTCTGGCTCGTAGCCCTTGTCTTGTTCATACTGGGCCTCCGGCTGCAGGTTCTCGTAGGACTGGCCGGGACCACCGGTAGACACCGGCTGCGCTGTCTGCATCTTCAACACGTCAACCTCACCAAGCAGCTGCATAAGCATGTCTTCGATGCGGCTGAGGTCGCTCGTTCCCTTGGCACCGAGGCCTTGTAACGCCCGCCGCCAAAGGTTCTTCTTTTTGGCCGCGACATCGTCGATGGTACCGGCCTGGGAGCCGCTTTGGATGGACCGCGACGCTGCACCGGGGTACGGCCTGGGGCCGTTGATGGCTTTCTGGAGCTTCTCCGTGTTCTCCACGTTGGCAAAGATGACGTCGTCGCCAGTATCCTGCACCAGCTCCTTCATCTCACGGAATGAATTGCGCATCTCCAGCGCTGCGTTCATGAGCAGCGCCACGATCTCCGTGTCTCTTGCGCTTCTCTGGGCGTCACGCACCATGAGCTGTCCCGTCGTTAGCAAGCAGCCGCTACAGATAGTTCTGCGGAGTTCACTCACATGTTGCATCAAGGCAACAATGTCTTTGTTTTCGATACGCTCAATCCCAGCACCGGTGGCTGCGTCGTAAAACGGAGAAGCCATGCCCTGCGACATGCCGCTCAGATGGCGCGAATGTCCCTGAGGGGAATAGAACGGGTCGTCGCCCAGATTCGCGCCTGTGCCGAAGTCGATGGCCTTGCCCTTCGGCTCAACGTCTGGTGTTCGGACCGGCCCATTCGACATGTAGCCTTCGTCGTACTTTGGCCCGAAACCGGGGCTTCCGGTGTGGAACTGCGCGTCCAGCCCACGGCCACTCAAGATTGTCTCATCGAGAGCCGGGTTGGCGATGGGGCTTGCGTCCTCGTAGGGGTTCGTGACCAGGGTGTCGCGCTTTCGCTCTTCCGACGTTCGCTGCCACTCGTCGAGCTCCTCGGGTTCGTCATGATGCATAGCGGCCATGCCAGCAGCTGCGCCGAGGGCTGCAGCACCGGCGACTTCGGTGATTCCTAGGCCGCCGCCCTTGTCATGGCCGTCGGGATCGTACCCACCAATGTCTCGCTGTGTCGGGGTTGCCCTTCCAGACCAGTCGTGCTCGTCGCGATGTCCATCCAGTCGCTCTTCCACGACTGACGGGTTCGTCTGCAAGTCATCGTCCATATAACCTATCTCAGGCATAGGGCTATTCATGTCGGGGATGCCGCTAGCGGCCATTTTCGGCTGGTCCTCGAAATCGAGCCTGTCCACGCTGTGAGTGGGTGTGTTCCGGGGCTCCCAACCATGCTGTGTCGTTCGTTCCTTGAAGGACTTGTTGCGCGACACGCCAGCAGGCTGGAAAGCCTCGTCCGCGCTGTCCTCGACCGTTGCTTGTCTCCTCCCCTGGGCTGCTTTGAGAGCAGCAGCCGCAGCCCCGACGGCACCGGCCGTAATGGCTGCCTCGGAGGCCGTGGGAGAGTGTCGATACCTGGTGCGCGGCACCTTTCGACCATGCTCGTCGATGTCATACTCCGAATAGTCCTGCGATTGGGCTTGCGACCGGGATCCTGGCGTTGCCGCCCTCATGCTTTCTCCCGCGCCATGGTAGCTATCGGTGGACATCTTATCCGGGCTGATACCCCTGCTGCTGCGGTCCACCTTGCTGTGAAGATCATCGGAGATGGTGGAATCGCGTTGGCCGCTGTAGTCATAGCCGGATCCAGTTGTCATCACAGACTGTTCTAGCATCGAGCCATCCACCAAGGACGCGACTGCCGATTCCACGCCGCTTGGCGGATGGACAAAGTCGGGGTTTGCGCCAAGGCCTCGGACTGCCTGGCCGGCTGCGGTTCGCTCGTTCTCGCTGTGGCCAGAGGCCCGATCGAATTCCCTGCTCCTCATGTTGCTTGGAACCGAGTCTTGAGAGTGGGCCGATCTGACATAGCGGCCATGCTCGGGAGACTTGCCAGGAGAAGGAAGGGCGTTGGGCGAGTGCACGTCGCGAGAGCTCAGGGGGCGCGGTGCTTCGCTTCCGCCTTCAGTGTATCCAGAGACGCTCGGAATCGGACTAAGCCCCCGGGCGCCGGCTTGGTACGGAACATATTTGAGCGGGGGAGGGACGTCCTGTTGGCTGTAGTAGCGATCCTCAAAGTCGTCCTCGGGGTAGTCATCGACCTCGGGCATGTTTCGACTGCGCTCATAGTCGTCGTAGTCGCCGATGGGTACCTTCCTGCCAAACTCATCGGTCTCATACTCTTGCACATAGCCCTTCTGTCCCCGAGGAAGTGCATTCAGGTCGCCGTGAGAAACGTTGGCGTGCTTTGTTCCAAGGGTGTGCTGCAGATCTGCTGGTGTCCTTGCTCTCGTTGGCGTTGACCCGGGAGAGTCCAGCCCACGAGCAGCGTCGTGGCCAGATACGAGCTCTTCGCTGGCAGAGTGAGGCCTGTCGGTGTCGGCCGAAAGAATAGATGTTCGTGTCAACTCAGATGGGTTGATGTCGCTCATGAGCGGCATTGGAGGCGCCGGCGCCATCTCATCATCCTCATCGTCGTACTCTTCCGAATAGCGGTCGCGGCCCAAGCTGCGACTTCGTGCAGACTCAGCACGCCGCCGACGTCGATCGCGCTGCGTCCTGTCCGGGGAATCGGTCTTGTCGTCCATGGCGGACGAAAGAGCCTTGGCTGCCGCTGCCCCGGCGGCGCCTGCTGCCGCAACCTTGAGCAGGTTGTTGCTGCGTTTCGGGGTGGTCGCATCACCATCGTGTGCGCGGTATTCTGCGTCGATGGAGTCGTGGCTCGCGCTGCGCAGCGACGTCTCGTCGAGGTCATGTCGAGCCTCCCGGTTTCTCCTCTCTTTATGCCGAGATGGGTCGCGGGAGTGTTCACTCCGGTGGCCGCCCGAGGACCGCCTCCGATCTGTGGAGACATCATCCCTTGACGCCGATGTGCCAGTCGATGTAAGAGACCCGCGCCGAGCCTCGCGCTTGCTCTGCTCCCGCTTGAGCGCGCTCAATTCGGGCAAAATCAACCTTCGAATAGCGTCTTCGACAGTCTCCAATAACTTTGGGTTGTTAATGGACGATTTGGATGCGCCGGAGCGCATGGAACGCGTGTCGAAGGAGCGGTGGCTCGGAGAGAGATTAGACGACAGGACACTGGAATCCGCGGCCGACACAGTGGATTCCTGGTGACCACGGCTTGACCGACGGCGCGAGGAACGGATTTCGTCTGCCACGGGCTCGCTGACGCTGCTTGTTCTACTTTTAGAACGCCTTTTCCGGTCTGACGACTTTTCCTTTGCGCTGCTGTCTGAAATCTTGACTCTTTCTTTGCCACGAGGCTTGTTGCTGCTGATTTCACCCATGGCGACACCGGCTAGTGCTCCTGCTGCGGCGGCTGCGATGCCGTCGCCAACCCGTGACGGGCTGGCAGACCGCTTGAGCTCACCAGTAGGGCCGGAGCCATCGAGGAAGCTGTCCGTCGGGATCGCAGAGATCTCGGAGGGGTTGCCTGGCTGATACGTTTCGCCGGTAGGGATCAGCGGGCTTGCCGGACGCCGTCGTCGACGATTTCGGTCAATCTCTATATCGATCGGATTTCTCGAGACATTGGACTCCTCCGTCGCCGACGCATACGAGGTCATGCTGTGGGCATCTTCGCCCCCTTCTCCACCGAGCTGAATCTCGCGAGATGCGATTGCCTCGTCGAGAGGTATGCGGCGGGTCAGGGACGCCTTGCGGGTGCCCTTTGTCTCCGTCACCTGGATGTGATCGCCTTTGCTCTTCTTGGAGGGCGTCAGGCGCACGCGCACGCTGGGCTTGCGGTCTGACCCCGACCCGGGCTTGCCCCCCTCGAAGTATTCGATCAAGAGCGAGGTCTGGGAGCGATTCGCCTTGTGGCCACGGGTGCGAATCGTGACGGGCGTGCCGTCCTCGGGAAGCGAGTATGAGGACTTTTCGTCGCCCGGTTTGGAGATGTCGGTTGTGACCTCTGTCGGCGTGGTCGTCTCTGTCTCGGTAGGAGCGGGGAGCGGCGGTGCCTTCTTCTTCGTGTCGACGCCCATCTTGGTGACTGGCCAAGGACAACAATGGCAGCGAGGCCACGGTCCAGCAATGCACCCAGGACGCCGTCTCCTTGGTCGACTATATCGTGCCGACGAGCGGGAGGGTGGAGATGGTCAACTTGGAGAATGCGACCCGCGGCGTTGTCGAAGTGCTTTTGCCGTTGACTGGTCGACGTCAAGACATCCGGGGATCGAAGGAAGACGGGCAGAAGAAAGGTCTGGGACAGGGTCGGCGTCAGCGAGAGACACGGACCAAACACCGTCACCAGTACCCCGGATTGCGGCTCGGAGGCGACTCACGAAGAAACGAGAAACGATGGCGCCGCGGAACAGAAAGGGCCAGAAAAGAATAATTGGGAATGGGACAACACTGGCCAGGCGTGGCGACACTCGGGCAGCGGCAGAAGCAGCAATGCGGAAGAGGCTGGCAGTGGGTTCGGCAGCCGATGAACGACAGCTTGGTTGGATGGGGAGATGGATGGCTTGAGGCGCGGGCTGCGGTCAGTCAGTCAGCCCCGAGCGCAGTGGCAACCCGGGCAACGGGGGTCGGTCGACGGCGCCAGACGAACCAGGTCGGGTCGGGTCAGGTCACCTCGGGTCTGGATCGACGGCCGCAGCGGTCCCGCAGGCGTGGGCGGCGCTGGCTGCAATACTGCGTATGCACGCTGTGAGGGGAGTTGAAGGCAAGGGACGTATGTATGTGTGTCCCAGCATGCACGCAAGGACGGGTGTATGTACGGAGGAAGCGTGTCGCAGAGCCCAAGCTCTCGACGAGGACGTGGTGGCTTGGTGATGGCACCGACGGGACGAGCGAGGACGGGTGGGATGGATGGATGGCTGGGATGCCGAGCTGGGGTCGGGGCAAACCACAAACCACAAGCCAAAGCGGGCGGCGGTTCTGTCCTGATCCTCCTGACGGGGTGGAGATGGATGACGGGGGGCTGCTGCGCGGCAACGTTGGAGCTGGGTCGAAGAGTGGCAGAGGCGGCGCGCGGGAGCGTCGAATCGAGCGTTCGATGGCACCTGCTGGGGCGACGTTTGGCTGGACGCTTCGTTTGCACGGGATTGGTTTGGTAGGGATGAGGCTTTGTTATTGTGCCTCCCGTCTCTCTGTTACCTTGGCCTCCTTCGGGGGGTGTGGTCGGTCGCTGGTGTGTGGTGATGAGCTGGCGCTGCCGACGAGCTGGCCCAATGGAAGCTCTCAGGCCAGGGGGGGGCCTGGCTTAGGTCGTCGGGTCTCACGGGTGAGCTAGCGGATAGGCCGTCCAAGGTGACGGCGGGATTGGGCAGAGGGAACAGCCGCTGGGGGCGTCAATGTGACTGAGAAATCCGGGTCGGCTTTCTTTTTGGCTGCTAGCGCGTGGCGGGAGAGGCGGCTGCTAACAGCGGCCACAAAAGTTACCAAGACGGTGAGGGCTGATGAGGCTGGCGGCTGGTAGCAGAGAGGAAAAGGTACCTGCTCCGCGTGGAGATTGCCCTGTGGACGGAAGCTTTTCAGGTGACAGCAGCAGTGCCTGAGGTGGGCTGGAGCCGCCACCAATCCATCCGAGGAGGGCAGCTTTCCGCCGTGTTGGTTGGGTTGGGTGGTGCAGCGACGGGGCTTCCAGTGCTTCCACTTGGGGGCGCCGCCCCGCCGTCCGGCGGCACGGTGGGCGCAGTTTTCCACCGCGTGGACGGGCTCGCCGGGCTGCCGGGACGGCGCCAATTCACTTACAGTACGATTGGAAGCCCAGCACGGCCATGTGCTCGTCCGTGAGGTAGGTGTGTCTGCCAAACCAGTCCTGGCATGAGAGAGACCTCCCGGCCAGGCTTGACAAGCTCTCATCACCACCTCTCTGCCCCCCACAAAAGCCCCAGGCAAGATGCCCCCAGTCAAACCAGCAGCACTTGTATCACTGGAAACTCCACCTCTCCTGCCTTTCCTTTCTCGACTCCAACGCGCCCGCCCGCCCCGCCAGAGCTCCATCGCCCACCAAACCCACCTCGCCAGCCAACGCCCCGCCAATGGAGTCGCCGCAACGTCGGGTTCCCAGCAGGGGGCCCGGCACCTACAGGGGGCCCATCATCTCGCTGCCGTGGAAACCACACCTCGCCTCTTGTTTTCTTGCACCACGAACCCGAGTCCCGTCAACGGCGGCCGTTGAGCAGGCTCTTCTCACAAGGCGTGCCCAACGAGCAGACGCGCAGTGCAGCACGGACGATGAACCAGATGCCGATACGGACCAAGCACCCTCCCAACGGTCGCCGGCACTCTTTCCCCCCTTCTCCCCGCCGTGCCTCGTCGCCCGGCCCCATCCATCCATCGCATCTGCGGGACCGTTCCCACCGTTCGTCCTCGGCATGGCCAGACTGACGGTAGCGATAGGTACCATCAGAGCTACAACGCCCTCCCTTGCGGCGAACCCTTGGCCTTGGCATCCCAACTGAGTGCCGTGCCGTGCTCTTGGGCCAGTCAACGGCTATCCGGATCGGGGCGTCACAGGGTCCTCGCCTCCACGCTTCCCGCATTCCTATCCATCGGCCGACCTGACGTCGCTTCCCGCATTCCTCATGTCCGGCAACCGCTCGAATCCCAAACGCGGCCTCCACGCTCCATCGCACGCACGCGTTGCGGGTGGGCCTCGAATGATAAAGAGGTCGGTGCAGGATACAAAACAGCCAACGAGGCCCATCCAAACGTGCAAGGTGCATCTGCACAGCAGTCCCAGACCCGACGTCGGCCCTTGCAACCACGGCGACGATGCCAATGTCTCTCACAGACCAACGAACCAGCCACGCAATTCTGCACTGCATTGCACTGCGCAGAGACTGCCGTCCTGCAAACCCGGGCACAGACTTTGCCCGAAGGTTGGTCCAAGTCCCCCCATTCGCCAGGGGGCTCAGCAAGTTCCGCTGCCGGGCCCCGAGGCGGTTGCCACAGTCGTTGCTCCAACATCGCAGCAAGACATGCGTGCAATGGCTGCGCAATAGACCAAGTTCGCCTGCGCCGCCCAGCCCCCCCGGACCACAAAGTGCGCGTACGTGGCGTCCCGTGATCCAGTGCCGCCTTCTTTGCATAGCGCCTTCTCGACGTCGCTCTTCAAGTCACGGTGGTCTCACCAGGCACTCGTAGCGCGCCGAGAACAGCGGCCGCACACACGGACCAGTTGCACGCACGCGGAATCGGTCGCGGCGGTGCGACATGAAGACATCGGAGCCGTGTTTCAAGATTGGCGCGTGCCGACGTCGTTGTCGCACTGAGCTCAAGGGTAAATCATACGGTGGTGACGATGCGATGACACTGTGGTGGTCGGGCCACCGCTCTGGCACGTGGACTCGAATCGTAAGCGCAAGCCATTATACAATTACTTGGTGACATCTGCCCGAAAAGACACAAACATGATATCCGGCCGGAACTCCTTGATCAAACCATACTCGCCAACCTAAACAGGGGGTATCATACTCTCAATGCCCCAGATCTTGCCCCAATCCATGTATAGGCACATCAACTCGCACGCACGCTCGCACCTCTGTCGAGCCAAACGTCGTCTCGTGTGAGAACCAGCTTGCCATACGCGCGTCCGCCCCATACCATATCATATGCTCCTCCTCGACGGGGACGTAGCAACATGTGCCTCAGGCGGACGAGGAACGTACTCGGGCGCCCTCGCCCCCGCGCTATCCATATTCGTCAACTCAGTCCCGGCGCCGTCGGCCGGATCGTAGCGACAGCTGATAGAGGGCGGCTTCTTGGTGTCGTACGGCGGCGGCGCCTCGCCCAGCTCGTTGAGCCCCTCGAGATCGCGGCTGCGGTTCCGATCCGCCCACCTGCGCCCGCCCGAGCGGGCCATGATGTAGCCGCTCGGCAGCAGGATGCGGTCCTCGGGCCAGAGCCGGCGGCCGCTGCCGTCGCCGCGGCCCCGCCGATGTCGCGTCCACACGAACACGGTGAAGCACCCGGCGGCGAAGATGGCCAGCAGGGGGATGACGACCCAGAGGAGCGGCTGCGACGCCGCGCCCCCCTCGGGCCCGTCGTGGCCGACGGGGAGGGTGCTCGTGGCCGAGGGCGTAGGGGTGATGGGCGTGGCCGTGCGCTGGAGGGTCGTCGACGACATGATGGTGAGTGGTGGCGTCGTGAGCTACGGCTCCTCGGGTTGCAGATGAAGTGTACGAGGTAGTGTACCACTCTCGTCTCACACGTACAGAGCTATGGTACCGCACGGCGATGCCGTGGGCACGCACACCGTCGGAGGAGGGGAGGGCTTGCTCAGAGTCGGTGTTGAATATAAGTCCTGTCACAGCTAGTGTCGAGTCTGTCGACCAAACACAGCATGATCACACGACGAGGGCAGGAGGAAGACGCTGCGCCCAAAAGCTGGGAATCCAACGGCGCTCACCGGCACGGACGGAGGACGTCATCCAAGAGCGGAAATGCTGGGTGGGAGTCACCAGCAGCGAGAAGGCGCGAGCGCCGCGCTTCTTATCATCTCTCACAGAGACCGTGTGATGGAAGGTGGCCCAGACCTGGGGCAAAGCTGGGTTGCTGGTTGCCCCCTCGGTGCTCACCCTCCATCTTCTCCCGGCTGCGCCTGCCTCCGTGTCTGCGTCCACGTCCATACGTACATACGTCTAGTACCTACAAACAAGCGTGCGTCTGCGTCTCGCGTCTTGCGTTGCCGGCCAGAACCGGTGGCGACCACACACGCCCGGCAGTCGAATCACGCTTCACACCACCCACCATCCCCGTCGTGGGCAGCATTGCGGGGGCAAGCGGCATGTCATGGACCCCCGGGCGCCGGGACGCAGGCTTGTTCTTTTTTGCGTCTTGTGCCACACGGCCAGGGCGGGACGACCGGTCGACGAGTCGACGACACACCATGAGAACGCACCACCACCACTACCATTTGCGATGAGGGGGAAAACGCCGACGCCCTCTCCCCTCCAAGGACCCCGTGAGCTCGGCAGCCGCCTTCATGCTTCGCGTGGAATTTAGCAAACATGGCGTGCGTGCGTCATCGGTAGCTTGTTTTTGTTCGCCGCCCTGTGGCTGACATGTGGACAGCTATCGCCCGCACATTGTCGAGCTCTCTCGGCTCTCGTGCTCGAGTGTACGCGTGGCTGCGATAAGCCTTCAATAATACCCATTAACTTTTGCTCCGTTCCAACGGGGTCGCGACTCTTGACATGCCCGGCCGTCTCACAGCTGACCTCATATTCTGCCGGAAATGGATGTTGAAAGAGAGCTTGGCGGGGAGAGCTGACGCCCGACGTGGGCGGGGCGGGCTCTGCTCCGCCACCCCCGCTGGAAGCCAATCGGCACAAACCTGGAAAGAGGTGCAATCCAGCACACCACCACTTGCCAAAAGTCCGTGCTTCGCTTCCAGGTTCGTCGACTTCGACCACATCACAAGATAACTTAACCACCACAGCCGACGGGCATCGCTTTCCCCCAGCATCCGACAACAACGCTACGACGAGGAGCAGCAGCTCTGCCTGCAGTCCAGCATCACCATGCCGCGCGCAATCCGAGGTCCGTAAAACCCCGTCCCGTCGCCTTGACTGACCGACTTCCTGGCCGTGACCGCTGTCTTCTGACACCCGGCTTTGCTTCGTAGGCGTGCTCATCGAGTGCGACCCTTCCATCAAGTCCATCATCGTGAATATCGACAGCGACAACCACGACTTCATCATCGAGGACCTGGACGAGGAGCGCGTCGTGGTTAAGGAGAACATGGTGCCCTTGCTGAAGCAGAAGCTCGAGGATGTACGTGCACCAACGACGTCGACGACGACACCCGATCCCCGCGTCCACGGTGTCTTTGCTTACCCTTACCTGTCTGTGTCTGTAGCGTCTCAAGGAGAACCTCCCGCCTGTGGACGAGTCCGGGTCCGAATAAGCCTACCAGTCATATGTACTGCGTGCTACGACATCTTCCCATGGCCGCCTCTACGATTCGGACGAACAACACGACACCACGAAAGAGTCACGGCGTCGAGTTGTTATATCAGGCATTCATAACCACGACCTGTGCTACCACAAAGTACCAGTCTATATACAGCATACAGCCCTCTGCAGTACACCTCACAGCTTCTCAAACGTCGGCCTCTTCTTGGTAAAGGCGCTCGTCATGGCCGCCGGCAGGTCCTGTGCCTGCAGCGCCACCGAGTTCCACACCGTCGTGTACCGGAGGCTGTCAGCCGTGTTGTGCTCGCGGCCGTAGTTCAGCAGCTCCTTGGTGCCCTGCACCGCGACGGGGCTCTTGCCCGCCAGCGTCCGCGCCATGTTCGTCGCCGCCGCGACCGCCGCCGCCTTGTCTCCGTGCACCTGGCTCACGAAGCCCTGCGCCAGCGCCTCCTGCGCGCTGAAGTCGCGCGCCGACAGGCACACGTCCTTGACCCACGACGTCGAGCCCACGATCTTGGGCAGCCGCGCCAGCGTGCCAATGTCGGCCGCGAGGCCCACGTCCACCTCCTTGACGGCGAGGCGCGTGTCAGCCGCGCAGATGCGCACATCGGCGCAGCAGGAGATGTCGATGGCCAGGCCGATGGCGATGCCGTGGAGGACGCAGATGACGGCTACACGAGGGGACGCCCGCAGTTAGCTTAGATAACAAGAAAGAAGTTACAGCAGCACCAAGTTGGAAGGCGTCATGTTGCCTCTCCCCTCGGTGACGCGCGTAAACGGGACGGCAAACTCACGCTTCTCGCACCTCTCCATCTCCGAGATGCACGACTGAAACTCCTCAATGTGCGGCCTCAGCGCCTTGGCCTTGCGCGCCGCATCCAGGTCGCCGCCGTCCCCGCCCCCGGACAGCGGCCCCTCCTGGCTCGCCGCCTGCACGTCCAGCCCGGCCGTGAAGGCCCTGTCGCCCGCCCCGGACAGCACCACGGCCCGCACGCCCGCGTCCTCGCTCAGCTGCCGGAACACGGCGCCGAACTCGAGCCACTGCGGGCGCGCAAACGCGTTGAGCTTGCGCGGCCGGTTGATCTCGACGTGCGCCACGTACGGGTGCGGCGACGTCACGAGGAAGTGCTCGTACTTGTAGCCGGCGAGGGGGGCGGCCATGTTTGAACACGTTTGTCGTCGTTGATGCTGGTGCTGTGGCTGTACCTGTGACTGCTGCTGGTGCTGGCTGCTGGCTGTTGGTCGCGTCTGTTGTGGCTGTTGCTGACGGTCTCTCGGTTCAGTCTGGTTTCGATTTCCGCCTTCCTCTCGACTTATATATGCAGAATCAGACGCACCGTGGATGGGATATTGGAAGCGGGCGTCGAGCGTGGTAAATTGAACAGTCGAGGTGATGTCTGGTCAGAGTCTCCGCGGCGGCGCATGGTCGGCTCCGGATGTAGCTTCAGATGCCGAGGTCCTCCTGCCGGCCTCACGTGTGTGGGGCGACGGCCATGGTGCGCCCGCCCCCGACCGCGCCGCCTGGTATTTCTCATCACTTCCGCTCCCGAAACCGAGCATGGGCCGATGATGATGATGAACACACGGAACATAATTGAAATTGGACGGCTCACTCGTCCGACAGATAGTTCTGGGCGCTCACAACTGAACGCGCCCCACGAGCACCATGAACGCCCTCATCCACTCACCCTCATCGCACATCTACTCGGTTCTGATTGCTTGCACAGTCAGTCATACGAAGCAGCTTGAACCGCAAAAATGCATGTATAAACATGGCTCAAAGCCTAGACTAAATTATAATTTCGTGTCCCTTTGAGCCGTGGTCTTCCCGGACCAGACACCGATTGCGAAGCAAGCTAAAACACGTCTCATCTTATACAGTCAAGCAGTTACTGTCACTGACTGGGGCTTCCACGCGCTCCTGCTCAGCCTCCACTCCAAGGAAAAGAAATAGTCTTCCTGATTCCAGCGCGCACAAACATCTTGGGGGAAGGCCGCCTCCCCCTTAAACAAACAACCTCGCGTAAGTACCACCTTACAGGAGCAGGGCGCCAAGCAGGGTGAAGCCTAGCGCCAAGCCGGAAACGATCATAGGGGCCTTGTCGATGCCGCCGTGGACCGTAGTGCCAGCATTGTCCTTGTCGCTGGAGCCGCTGGCCGTCGGGGAAGGCTTGCCACCAGTCACGCCGGCGGTGGAGGTGCCGCTGTCGCCGGCGTTCTGGGAGCCGTCACCTCCGAGACCGGGGCCCTTGCCGGCACCGTCCTTCATGTACTTCTGCGCCTGGCTGGGCATCTCAGGAACCATGGTCGGGTTGACGTTCCAGCCGGCATCCGAGGTCGGGCAGTCGACAGCGTGCGTCGTGGTGGCAGCACCACCGGATCCCGTGGGCATGGGGTTGGCCTTGAGGGCGCTCTTGTACAGGTCGAACTCATCAGACTTCTTGACATCGTCGCCCTTGAGAGTAACGATACCGAAGTCGTTGTCCTCGACAGAGTACTCGTACATGAGACCACCAGAGTAGACGCCCGTCATCTGGTTGCTCATGAGAGCCTCCATCTCCTCGAACTTACGGGGGCGGTTCTTGATGCAGCCCCACTCAGACAGGCTGTAGCAGTTAGCAGGGTTCGCAGGAGGCAGCGCAAGCCCGAGTAGTGCTTACAAAATCGGGAGACCGTAGTCGGTGAAGTTCTTGACCTTCTGGTCCCAGCCGGCCGTCTTGAAGTCGCTGTTGCACCAGGAGTAGTCGTTGAAGGCGAAGAAGTCGGAGCGCATATCATCAGAGCCGCAGTTCATGTAGAAGGCCGTCTGCATGCGGTTGGAGGCCACATCGGCAGCCGAGTAGCCGACAGGAATCTTGCGGAGACCACGCGAGTTGATGTAGTTCTTCATGTCGCGAGTGACGGCCTTGACATAGGGAGCCGACTTATCGGTATCCTTCTCGTCGTTGATAACTTCGTTGCCCGAGAAGAAGGCGAGGGTGTTGTCGTACTTGGCAAACATCTCGACCGTGGCGAAGACGCTCTGGAGGTACTTGGTGTTGTACGAGGGCCCAGGCTTCAATCGGTTGATGGAGTACTGGGGGTTGTTGACATCGAGCACGAGGTAGATGCCAGCATCGTTCAGGGCCTTCATGCACTCATCGTGGTCCTTGGAGTTGTCGACGGCGTAGACGCGAATAGTGTTGACGCCGAGGTCCTGGAACTGCTTGATGTCGCGCTTGCACTGCTTGGGGTCGGCCAGGGGGTCCTCGTTGGCCGAGGCACCGCCGGGCTGATAGTCGATGCCACGGATGTAGAATCGGTCCTTGCCAGTCCAGAAGGCTGCGCATTGCGGGTTAGCACGCGGCGGGTTCGAAGGCCGGGTAGAGCGGAGAGGACTGTACCATTGCCAGAGGCAGAGACTGTGGGCAGGTTGGCGCGCTTGTTGGGGGCCTGCTTGCTGGTCTTTGTGGGAGACGCGGTAACGGCGCCGAGGGCCGCAAGGGCCGAGACGAGTGTGTATCCCTTCATTATAGCTCGATGGGAGTACGGGTGCAAAGATACAACGAGATCGGGCTACAATTGAGAGTTTGTTCGTCGGGAAGAGTCGACGCGGAAAGTCGCGGAAGCGTGTATGAATGAATAGCGAGATGAAGCCCCGAGAGAATGGAGGGGGAGGGCGGAGAAAAGGAGCAAAGAATTAGAGTGGTTCTGGAGAAGAAAAGGTCCAACAACGAGGGAGTCGGACTTGAGTCGGATTAACAAGAGAAGGAAGTCTTGAAGGGGGCCTGGAATGGAAGGAAGGGGAGAAAAGAAGAGGTCGCGAGAGGAGGGAGGGAGTCGCGGGTAGAAGTGGCCAGGGCGCCGTTGGCCGCCAGTGGCTGCAGCGGCGGGGCCAGCGGGACGAAGGTGGGCGGGTGGGCGATGGGCAGGGGGGAGGGGGGGAGACAAAGAAAGAGCCAGGGCGTGGCTGTCTTGCGTTCAGTGTCTTGGACTGGCTGGGTGCTGTCTCTTATACACATCTAGATGTGTATAAGAGACAGGCGATGGGCAGGGGGGAGGGGGGGAGACAAAGAAAGAGCCAGGGCGTGGCTGTCTTGCGTTCAGTGTCTTGGACTGGCTGGGTGAGATGCTGGGCGGCAATTCACACTGTACGACCAATTGACTTTGATGGACCGCCTGCTTGGGGTACCACTACGAAACGCAGCACCAGCGCTGTCCACCTCAGGCAACACGCAGGACGGCAGGGGAGCATCAAGGAAGGCAGGCAGGCAGGCAGGCTGACAAGGCACGGTCTGGACGAAACCGGCAGATTTCTGGGCGGGACCCGTGCTTCTCACGCAGGTTCCTTGGCCACTTGCTTCTCCGCCCTCGTGTGCACTGCACTGCACTGCACTGCACTGTACTTGGTACACGAGTGGACAGGCCGCTGGCAATGAGACGCGAGCCGCCGAGTCAGAATGGGACCTTCGACTCAATCAACGCCCATCCGCCGCCAACAAGACCAACAGCCAACGCAACGACACCGCCGTGGCCGTGCACCATCGACACTTGTCGGCGTCGCACCCCACGGGCCGATTGACTGGCAGCTCCCACCCCCAGGACAGGAAGGCCCCTGCCGCTGAGGCTTCCCGAAGACGGATCTGGTGTTGGACGGGGGATGTGAGCTGCAGGTAACACGCAGCTGGGGCTGGGAGTGATTGTACGAAGTACGTCCACAGCCTGCAACCTAGGAGGAGCACCTACTTCCAGTGGCTGTTTCCATGCACGACAGCTGGAGGAGCCTGCTGCCACAACCAAGCGCCGCTTCCCGCCCCGTAAGCTCCAGTGGAAGGCCCCCTAAGGCGCATCGGACCAGACAGCAGCACTGCCCCTCCTCTTGTTCCCCTGAAACCATTATCCATTTAGTAGCTTGATTGGAGGTGGGAGTGCGCCAGGCGTGATCGCCACACTGTATGGGCCCCCAAATCTCGCGCACCCCCCTTGCCCGGCCTCCCCTAGCAGAACTGAAGCGCGATGAAGCTTGTCCCACAACCTTGGGCCACCTCTCCGCCGCCACTGCCCCGTATCCAACCAGACCGGAAGAGACGCACACTCCATCACCTCTCGACACCACCACCTCGACAGGGGCCGCTCGTGTTCCGCTGCACCGCCTCGCTCGTGTCATGCGCTCGAGCGACTCCTTACCGTACGGACTGCGGACCGCCCTTCGGATACAATCCTACAATGCTACACTTCCTTTGCAGTACTGTTTAATACAGCACAGCACGAAGCACAGCCCGCAACATGGGAAACTTGCCGCCGAGGGCCCGCTCCCGTGCGATCCCGTAGATGGATGGCTGGTTACGCCAGCAAATGGAAACGCCTACGGCGTGGCATGAGAAAGTGAGGGAGCCCGACGACGCGTCCACCCCGACCGTGCACACCCATCGCCCCCAGCCATTCACAACCCCGTGTTTTTCGACGCTGGAATGCGATTCCAACCACGCGCCCGCTATTGTTAACCGCGCCGCACCGCTGCTCCCGCCTCGTCTTTTGGGCATGGTGCAAATACCGATAGGCAGCTTTAAACGGGACCCGACGTCATGACGAGGGTTTTCCAGCACCAGGGTTTCGCCCTCAAACAAGCGCTGCGGAGGGTCCCCTGCCACAAGATGCCAGGGCACATGGGCACGTCGCCAGAAACCCATACCGGCCAGGCGCTTGGAGGGAGTGTGCGGCGAGATTTTGGATGACGGTTTGACTGATGACTGTCAAAACGACTGCCCGTCTCCAACCCCTCCCCTGTCCCGCCAGTCTTGCCGCGCGACGACTGTCGTGGTTCCAGGCCAGAGAATCTGGTTTGCATCGTGGGTCTCTTTAGCGGGATCGTCAGGGGGCGCTCGACCTTCCGGGGTCAGGGCCCTGTCTGCAGGGCCCCCCGCCCCGGCACCGCTTGGTTGACGACGCCGTGGGCAAGACAGGGGAGATGAAAAGCGGGCATGGGTTGCGCCATGGAGCTCGACGATGCCGTCGGCACGGGCTGGGAGTTCAAGAGCAGATGCAAGTCACGACGCTGCACTTGACTTTGGCTCAGACGATGCCAGATGCCGTCCGCAGAATTCACACAGTGCTTCCAAAAGCTTGGAACCACGGCGCGACGAAGCGCGACGAACAAGTGCCGGCAGCCTTGCATAACACGTGTCAAGCAAACGTCTTTGCTCTGCGTTACCCTCGTACGATGGTCAAAATGCGTGTAACGCATCAGCAAAATTATTTCTATTCATGCTTGTGCCACTAATACAGGGCCACCCAAGAGTGACATCTTGGCTCGCACCATAAATACCGAGACATCAATCCGGCCACGCGACCATGGCGGGCCGATCGTGAGGCCCCAGGCATCGAAGCCGACAGCTTTCCGCCGCAATCCTATCCATGGTATGCGCCGACGGAACTTGAGCGCTGCCAGAGATGAAGGCGGCAGCGCATCGTCTGCTCATTTCGTCCCATCCCAGGAGTTGACGGGTAGGTGGCCCCAGGGGTGCCCAGCGCGTGCGCCCAGGCCGCGGGTTCCTCAAGTCTTTCCACTTTTTGAAACTGCCGCCTTGTCCTCGACTCCCCGTCGGCAACGCACAGCGGCGACAATGCATAGAGCTCGGCGGGAGCACGGCTTCTCATGCGGCGTGTTGCGCCCCTGGAATCTCATGAAGATTGCCGTCCACGCGTCGGGCGATGCACACGCACCGCCTGACGGTATGGCGTCCGATTCTGAGATGAGGGACATGTCGCGCTCTCCGTCTCGCTACGTAATTGCAGTCTGGCAGTTGAATGTAATTGCCGCATGGGAAGAATACAGCAAAAATTACAAGTATATATTAGCCGCCAAGAGGCGAAAAATAGTAGATTGGTTTTATCAGTTATCGTTGCTATACAGGGCCGATATCTCGAGTTGTCGACATCCTATTGGAAAGAGCAACCCCAAAAAACACTCTCTCTTTCGCTCTCAACGTTATGCACAAGATGAGACTAAACCTTGCTACTATCCTGGGCCTCGCCCTTGGGCTCTGCAGTGTCGCTCACGCGTTCGACGCGGTCCTGACGGTGAGTTCCGGATCTGGCCCACCCTGCATGGAGCAAAAACCACTGACTCTGCTCCTTTTCTTTGCCATATCCCCAGACCTGCGACCCGGAGACGCAATTGTGCGACATCGGCCATCCAGTCGTCAAGGTCCCGTGTTGTTCCAGCAGGGTAAGATAGATACTCACTTTTTCCTGGTTGCTGCTGTTTGTTCGCGAGCCTGCAGGCGCAAAGCTGCAAAGATGAGCGTGTAGTATGGAAAGCTGACCGCGAGGCGCATAACCAATGTAGTGCACTGTTGAGGGCGGTGGGTGCTTCTACGACCGCGTGGACAACATTGCGACGTGTTATTAGATTCCTAGGTGGTGGTGGTGGTGGTGGTGCATTATCCCATGCCGTTGGCGGGGGCGTATCGGTTTACCTTGGCGGTAGTTTATGCGTTGAAAAGTTAAAAAGTACAAGTTGCCATTTATTTCATACAGACGTACATATACTACGGACAGCGTCATGATCCCCCGGAGGGGTCTTCCTGTTTACTTGCTAGTGATTCTTAAGCGTGGCGATCTGTAGACGACCAGGGCTAAAACGTACACGTCGCGGGCATCTCGACTCGATCGATACTCTCTCTCTCTGACTGCTCTCCCGCGCCGCATTCGTTCGACGAAGCAGATGGCCCATCTATCCTCCACGAAGGCTGTCCCGTCGGCATGCGCCTCCCCCGGCCGCCTTGGCTTATGCGGCGCCGCAGCATGGCTCCATTGACGGGCCCGGATCCTCTCGGCCGGATCCTGTTGTGCGGCAGCAGCATCTTGGGACAACGCAATGGCATAACAAGCGGATTCTCGGGCTCGCTTGGCATCCATGCAAGCCCATCAGTCGTGCAGAAAGTAATTTCGGAAACACACCAAACGCAGCACGTGGAAGAGGAGGTCCCGACGATATGCTACAATCTGTACTTCGTACATACGATCACTGTACACGGATGCGGCAGTAAAGCGGACAGAGTGAGCAGAGGAGAAAGGCTCCGCCATGTAAATTCAGCCAAAGTGAAGAAGAAAAATAGTCGCGACATTGGGCCGGAGGGGCCCCGTGTCTTCAATGCGGCTCATTCATTCCCGAATCTCGCGCATGGAAAACACGTCCCATCAGTCATCATTCGTTGGGCACGTCAAAGATGGCCTCGACGCCCGTCCAGTTGCCCTTGGCCCTCTCCTCCCAGTAGCCGTCCTTGCCCGTCTTGATCTTCCACACCTCCTCGCCCTCGGGCGACTCCTCTGCCCTGACGAACCAGCGCGGCTTGTGCGAGTCGCCGCGGTCCTCCATGACGCGACGTCGTGCGCGCTGGGCTTCCTCGAGCTTGTGCTTCCACGTCTCCGCCTCGTCCAGGTTGCCCTGCTCCGCCATTCGCTGGTCGGGTCGCAGTCGGCTGTCTGTCGGCGCGAGCTTGCCCTTCTCCACGTCGGTGATCTCGTTGAGCGTCGCCGCAAAGAGCGTCATGCCGTACGTCTGCGATGCGTTGTCCACCAACGACCCGGCCTTCCACACCTCCTCGCTCGCCGCCTTGCCCGGCCCGACGGTGCGCAGTCCGCTGGTCCACGTGCCCGCGAGACCGCTGCCCGTGTTGCTGCCGTCGGGGCTGAACGTGTCGACGTGCACATCCTCGGCTCGACCGCCGAACATGCCCTTGCTTCGGAACTCAACGCTAGCCTTGTGGCCAGTGCTGTCATTGACCACGTGCATGGTGCCCACTGGCTCAACATACTTCTCGCCCATGACAACGTTGCGCAGGAACATGGTGGCGATGTTCCACGAGTAGAATTCGTCGCTGCCGTCCGCCAGGCGTAGCACGATCCTGACCCGGCCATCAGTTGTGATCTCTGCGCTCTTGCCCCAAAACTTTTGGCCAGGCGCGGGTGACTGCGAGAATGACCAGTTGGCAGAGTCCGCGTGCATGGCCAGACGGACCGGTCTGTGTTGCACCTTTTCCACAAGGAGCCGGAAGCCTCCAGGGATCTCCTTGTTCGTGCGCACCAGTTCAAACGTCTCACCGAGCAGCGGGTTGAATGGCTTCCGAATCGCGCGCTCCTTAGCACGACCGTTGCTGAACTGCGAAACGGCAAAGGCTGTGACAAACAACAGGCGCTCCGTCGGGCTCTTTTGTCTGGCGGCCTTGTCCAGGAGCTGCGCATATTCGAGCTGTTCTGCAACTTTCTGCAGGAGCGATGTAGGCTCGTTGGCGGAGACCGGCATGCTAATCGTACTCAGGTCTTTCCCAACATTCTTGCGGACGAACGCGATCAGACTCGGCGGTTGAACCGTGGCGGGAGGAATCTGAGTCCTTCTCGAGACAGGCTTCTCTATCGGTAGTGGCAGCAGATTCTTCGGCTTAGATGGAAACAGGTACCCGGCCCCGTCGGGGCCGACCGGCTCGTCGTCTTCCATCGATGAGATGGAAGAGCTGTCTTGCGTGTCGACCTCTTCCTCGGCATCCGTGTGCGTGGATTCGTCCTCGCTTCCGTCAATCTTCATGACAGCAGACTTGGCGTCCTCGGCGTCAAAGAATTCGTCCGTGGATGTCGTCTCAACGCTCATGCGCGAGGCACCGCCGGCGGATTGCGGGATGGGGAGGCGCCGCCGCTTGCTGTTGGAGATGAGAGTGGTAAACTGGTTAACGACCGCGTCAAGATCAGATAGCAGTGCTTCGCAGTGGTCATGTATCGATTTCTCTTCTTGAGCGGCACCACGGGACTTGCGCTTGGCCTTGCTGCCGTTGACAGACGCTGTGCTGGCCGCAGGATCTGGGGACGGCGAAGGTTGCTGCAGAGTCGCCGACGACAGCGCCGACGCGCTGGACTTGCGCTTCCAGAACGGCTTCTTCTCCGGCGGCGTGGCGAAGTAGCCGTCTTTCGCCTCGTCGGTGGACACGGCAGAACCAGGCGAAAGAAACTGTCCTGCAGGGGATGGCTTCGGCAAGCAGGCCACTTCCTTTGTCAGTCGTCGAAGCGCATCGCGCGTGCCGACGACACGGCTGACCAAAGTCTCCACCTGCTGCCATTCGACATCCTCGAGCCGGTTGTACTCCAGAGCAGACTTCGCGGGGATGCTGTTGATCTGGAGCTTGGGCTTCGCGGGCTGCTGAACAGTCTCTACACCTCTGGCGACGCGGCTGGCTCTCTCGAGAGCTCGCGCCCATTCCTGGAATTCCTTGTCGTTGGGGGCTCTGAGATGCCACACCTCGGCGCCGGAGTCGATGCTAATTTCTCGTCGCCGCTCATCCGCAGCAATGGCAGCCAGACTGAGGGGGATTGCGCCACGAAGGGCTGACGAGTTGCGGTTGTAGTAGTACGATAGAGTGCAAGTCGAGTAGTCGAGCGAGAAGAAGCGGCGGGCGTAGCCCTGGCCTTTCTTGCGCCTCCTCTTGGACAGGGTGCCGACGTGGTAGGGCTGCTGCGCGGTCGTGTCGCTCCTAGCCGACGTACCTGTAGCAGCTCGTGCTCGGGCGTTCTGGCTGTGAAAGCTATCGACAGAGGTGGATGGGCCGGCCTCGTTGCGGGGGCTGCTATGTTTACCAAGGCTGGTTTGGCTCGATTGTGCGTTGGGCATCTGAAGATTGGGAAGGTGGTTCGCGGTCTGCGGCGCAACGCCAGTGGGGTAGGTGAGGACGACAAAGGTAGCAGTCTTGGACGTCTGCTTGGAAAAGGTGTTGTCGAAGACGAGGCCGTACATGCCGCCCTGGCCGTGCGGCACGTCGTAGGTGCCCATTGAGACCTTGTCGGCCTCGCATTTCCCGTGCCATGCTATGGGTATAAAGCCCTTGCTTGTCAAGAGGTCCTGCGCAGTCGCCTCCTTCTTGAAGCGGCCGGACTTGCCGTCGGTGACGCCCTGCGTCTGGGACGAGTCGAGGAACTGGCCGTTGGAGGCGAGGATCGTGGTGGCGCCGCTGCCGGGGTGCTTGACGATGCCAAAGTTTCTGCAACGAGGCCGGTGAGCAGCTGATCATGCGCTGGGGATGTCTCTATGCGTACATTGACTTCTTGTTAGGTTGGATGCTCCATGACAGCGTGTTGTCGTCGTCGACGTTGACCCAGCGGACAATGTACGACTATGGCTTCAGTCAGCGCCCGAACGGCCACAGTAGTCGGTCCGTATAGCCCAGCCCTTGCCGGGAACAAGGTTCAGAGGAGGAGAAGGGCGTTGGAGGTGTACGTGCCTTGCTGTGCACCTCGAGCTTCTCGATGCCGGCCATTGTACTCGCGCCCAGCGGGCGGGCGGACAGCGACGACGAGGGAGGCGGGTGTACGAGATGCTGGCGACGTTCTCTCTAAACTCGACAATCCATAGCGACCGGGCGAGTTATTCGGGGTGCCGCGAACATACAATGGCGATGGCTGAGCCTGTAGACTGGTGGGAAAGCTCAAGCGGCTGAACAGATGGAGAGCGGCTGACAGGGCAGGCGGACAGGACACGATCAGCAATATAACCTTGCGGACGGAGTGGACGTGACGTGCCCCGTGGCGGGGACCTGGAAAGGCCGCGTTTGGCAGCGCAAGGGCCGCTGGCGCTGCCCAGCTCCATCCGCTCAGGCACGGCGGACGGCGGGCAACCACTGGGAGCGCGCGCTGGAGGGCTCCATGGCGGGGCCACCCTCCTGTCCCCCCTCCTGCTGGGCCAGCCTGGCAGCCGTCCATCTCGAGGGCCGCAGCGCCGGCGGCCGGACCCTGAGCCTCCTGAAGGGGGGTCGGGGCGTATCCAAGTCGCCGTCCGGGTGGGACGCCGCGGCTGTGCGATGGTGCGCCTGCCGGACGTTCACGTGGCAGCTGGGCTGGGCTGACTGACTTGCATCGCCTCGTGTCGTATTCCTCTGTTGGTTGGCATTACTTGTTGACCGGTAGGTACCTGGCTTCGGTACTGCGTGGGCCAAGGTCGCGGCGCAGTGATGCCTGCCTGCAAGGCTGTTGTTGAGCATCCTCATCGTCGTCAACCAGCATCATCAGCGCGTCGGTATTCCACACGCTGTCCAGGGTCGGTGATGCACGGCGCACGAATCCGAATCCCGTGGAATAAGCTGATATCACGACTACTAGGTATGTACGTACATATCAATGAGTCTACCCAAGGTACCTACCCACTGCTCGCATCATCACAACGGCAGAATTGCCGACAGTTCTGGTTCTGGACGCGGCCGCCAGTCTCGTCAGCTCCCACGTCACAGGGCGCCAGGCATTGTTCTCGTCGCTGCAGGCAGGGAGGGAAATGTCCGAGTTTCCACCCAGCCCGCCCTGCCGGCCGGCGCCTCCGGGTTGGAGCGCGCGACTTCCGCCGTCGCCGACGACAAATGTCGTTTTCCCGATTCTCTCCGCTTCCCTCGGGCTTCTGTGAGCCCGCCATGTCCGCCGAGACTTCCTTGGTAATGGGACACGCGATGATGGTCCAAAGAGGCATCGCAATGACGTCTCCAGCGTGGCAATGCCGCATTTTGTCGCAAATGAACCGCCAGTGCCAGTGTCCGTGCTGTCCTCCTTCCAAGGTTGCCGCCGCTCCCCGGGAGGAATTCGTCGCGTTGAGCGACCTGCAGACAGCAGTGCGAGTCTGCTGCCTGAGGTTATAAGAAGACTGAGATCAGATGGAAGACACCACGAACCCCAATTTACTGTCGTCGTGTCGCCTCGTGGTTGGGTTCACACTTCCCCGCGGCGGGCGCTGCCGCATCCTCAGCGTTGAGCAAATCAGTCACACGTCCGGGGCTCGTTATGTGACAGGCTCATTGGACCAGAGCAAGGTATTTCAAGTGAATGAACTGGGAATTGACAAATTGACCCAGGTACCTGCCGAGGAGGTAACCTGTCTTTCATAACGCTTGGTCACCATCTTAGCAAGTGCTACGTCGGACCGGAATCCAAGATTGGCGAATGGAGTCTTAGCAGTCCCGCGACATTCGACATCGGGGCATCGTCGCGGCAAGCACCTTAATTCTGCATCGACTGCTCGATCGGCGTGGGCCAGCGATGGCGCAGGACATTTGGCAGCATGTCTGGCATCTCGGGCACGCGAGATTGAGTCCAGCCTGGCCAGCAAATGGCCCGGCCCTCGCGCACAGACAGGATGAAACAGCAGGGTCCAACGATATCGGATGGAATGCGGCTGTCGCTCTGGGGATGTCTGGCGATGGCTGACTGACAGGGCGTCGCATGGCCGGTACTTTGGTGCTTGCTCACCTCGTCCACGGGGGCAGGCAGCCAGATGCACACACGTGGGATCATCCCAGGGCCAAGCAAGCCTCTACTTCCGTGTCCTCCCTACTTGGACCGTGTCCTCGACAGCGGCGTCCGTGCAGGCGACGGACGGGAGCAAGTGCAGCGGGTTGTCGTCGTGGTCGGACCAGCCCAGCGCAATTGGGATCAAAGTATCGCGAACGCCCGTCAACTCCACTGGAGCCCTGGAGAGGTGCCCGCCAAACGTCTCCACGCGCTAGGCCCCGAATCAGCAGCCCTGGACCTGCCAACCCCACTGTGGCTGCGCCCGTCCCCTGCTGGAGTCGTGCTGTAGAGTGCCCGTAGACCCTCTCCGCTGGAACACCACCAACTCTCCACGACGAACCGTCCCCTTTTCCACCGGCACCACAGCCCTCTCTAGTGATTCCTCTCCTTTTCCCGCCAGCGCGCGCATCCTCTGTCGCGTTCACAGACCATCACGGTCGTCTTCTTCGTTCCTTTCCCTTCCGTCCTTCCGTCCTTCCTTAATCGGCCCTCTTTTCCCTCTCATACCGTCCTGCGTTCCCGACATGGTCTTTGCATAATCGCTCCGCCGCTCTCCCGCTGCCCAACGGTCGCCTCCATCTCGAAAGCCTAATTCGTCACTCAACGGTCGCCCGACATCACGCGCCTCGACCGAGGCGACGACCTCGACGCCCACAGCCGCGCCGACGACCCGACGACGTTGCCATGTCCTCAGCGTTGAGCAAGCGCCAGCAGGCGCGCAACGAAAAGCAGCTCCAGGAGCTGGTACACAGCGTTCGCGGGAATAACCAATGCGCCGACTGCCACGCCCCCAACCCAGGTTCGTGGCATCCTTCGCCCCTCGTTTCGCCTCGCACCACAGTCGATAGTTTTGGCTGACTCTTTGCGCCTGTAGCATGGGCATCATGGAGTGTACGTTGTCTCTCGTAGTCGCCTCCAGTCCCCACCGCTTCCGCCCGGTCACACGAACCGTGGCCGGCGTCCCCGACGAATCTGCTAACCATGGTTCCTGCAGCTCGGCGTCTTTCTTTGCATGCGGTGCGCCTCCATCCACCGAAAGCTTGGCACGCACATCTCCAAAGTCAAGTCGTTGAGTATGGACAGCTGGTCCAACGAGCAGGTCGATGTAAGCACCGTAGCCCCTCATCCGAACCGGCCGTGTGTGTGTAACTGGCAAGCTGACCGCCACGGCAGAACATGCGCAAAGTGGGCAACACCGTGTCGAACCAAATCTATAATCCCGATAATAAGAGGCCACCCGTGCCTGTCGATGCCGACGAAGCCGACTCGGCCATGGAACGATTTATACGTCAAAAGTACATGCACAACGTCGCCAGCCAGTCGGCCAAGCCACGAAGCCAGCGCTCCGACGAAGGCACACCCCCACCGCTGCCGCCCAAGAACTCGACCAAGTTCGGGTTCAGGTCGGCAACATCCATATTTCCGCTGTCGTCGCGGGCCAAGAAGGAAGCAAAGGTGGCAGCTCTAGCCGAGGCGACGCACAATGCCTCGTACGACCCGCCAGTGGCCAACAAGCCATCCAAGGTCTTTGGTGCGACTCTAGACTACGATGGCCCCGACGACTCTGATAAGAAGCTCGCCAAGCTTCAAGACATGGGATTTCAGGACAGCCAGCGAAACGCAATTATCCTGAAAGGTGTAAACGGCAACTTGGACCGGGCTGTCGAGGCTCTTGTACGGTTGGGTGAGGGTAGTAGGACATCGCCAGCGCCACCTATGGTGCCTCCGCGAGAGAACAGTCTGCGGGCATCGAGGTCTCTGACGCCGTTGACGTCCAAGAACAGCGGACTCGGCGCGGGCCTCACAGTTCCACAGCCGTCCACTCATGACCGACCAACAACGGCCTCAACGACCTCAACCTCGACCAACCCGTTCGACATGCTGACGCCTGCTCAGCCCCAGACGGCACAGTCGACGGGAACCCTGCACAACAAGAACCCGTACGGAAACGCGCCGCTGGCAGCGAACAACCCCTTCGGCCAACCCTCACAGCCGCTGGATGCTGTCAGCCAAGCTTTCCAGGGCCTGTCGGTGACCCAGCAGCCGCAGAGCCTGTTCCCTCACCGCACGGGGGACGTGGGACGACAGGCGCCTCAGCAACCCCCGGCGTTCCAGCAATACATGTCGCCGTCGGCGCCGTCGAGCCCCTCAAACTATCAACAGATGAACTTCCAAAGCAGCATGACGTACCCGCAACCGATGTCGCACCCGCAGCAGACCTTGCAAACGAATCAAACGGGTTACAATCCCTTCTTCTCCCAGCCGTCGAGTCCGACATCAGCAATGTCTCAGCAGAGCGTGTCAGGCGGGACGGGCCAGATGCAAGGCGGCCTTGCGAGCAACCCGTTTGCGCGGTCTCCAACTCGGATAGCGTCACCCACTCTGGGGCAGATTCCGGAACAAACGCAGACGACGTTTCTCACCGCCTCACCACAGCCGCTGCCCACGAACACAAACCCATTCTTCACCAACGCGGTGCAGACCCCGCCGCAGCAGGGGGGTGCCAACCCGTTCGGCCAGCAGCAGGGTTACGGACAGCAGACGAACGGACAACAAACATACGGACAGCAGACATACGGCCAGCAGGCATTCGGCCAACAGGCATACGGACAGCAGGCGTATGGTCAGCCATCGTACGTTCAGCCATCGTTTGGGCAGCAACAGCAGCCACAGATGCAGTACCAGCCACAACGACAGAACAAGGCGTCCATCATGGCATTGTATGGACAGTCGTATCAGATGCCCCAGAGGGCTGCGACATCGGATGCAAACCGGCCGGCGCACCCCGCCACGATACCGGAAGACCAGGCCGTGTACACGCAGACGGCCGCTCCGCCATTGCCGTTGCCTACAGCGGTGCCGTCGCGGAGTGCGTCGCTCCCGGTGGGTGGAGGCACAAACCCTTTTATGAGCAACGGTGCCACTTCAGCGGCACCAGATCCCTTTGCGTCGAGTCGGCATATTAGTAGGGAGAGCATGAACCTGGGCATGGACATGGCATGGACCAACGGCCGGCATAGCCCCGATGCATTTGCAAGCCTGAGCGCACGACATGTATGATGGGGTTGTACATAACGGACGGCCGCGAGGATGGTACTGTAGATTTGCGTAACTGCATCGTGTAAGTGGTAATGTATGATACCTCCACGTCGAGCTTCGAACCTGTGTTGCGCTGCGAGTGAATCATTGCGTGTGTTAGTGTGAACGTCTTCGCGGCACACGGGTCCCATCAATGTGCAGTGCCGTCGCACAGCGACTTACGCCGGTGCAGATGCCGGCAGGCTGGGTGGCCGAGGTCGCCGCGCCCGGCGGGCCTGGACCGGAGATGCGTGCCTGCGGTGAGACACTTGCGGGTTGCCGTTGTGTGCGACGACGAGAGCGTCATCGTGGATCATGTTGCACTGCACAGTAAGTTGTAACCGTAGCGCCACCTGATGACGGCTGTTGTTCTCGGCGACACGGCAGCGACGACAGGGCGAGGTACGCACGACAGAAGCAATGCCCAAGAGGGCACTGGACGAACGACAGGCTGACTGACTATCTGGACGGCCGCGACCGAGGCCATCTCCGCACGTCCACCGCCAAGTTGTCGGTGCTCTCGTGGAGGCTTCGGATGGAGCATGCCGCGCCGTCACACGGCGCCCGGAGCCCCGCTGGACGCCAGGATATGGCGTTTGCGCCCGCCTGGGACGGGCCAACGACGGCCTCGAGCGTGTCCGGAGGTGCGCCTTTCACGCCTCTTGGCGGCGAGGGGGCCCTGCTGCGCCGGGCGACAGTGCACGCCTGGGCGCCGCGGACTGTACGGCGGAGCGCCAGGCGCAGCCGACGCGGCGCGCCCCGTGGCGGCGCATACAGTGCGCCGTGCGGCCCCTCGGCCTGGCTGGCACTGGTAGCGCTGGCCCCCCCGCTTCCTCCGCCGCAGCCGGCCAAGCGTCGCCACTGGGGTGTGACTCTGGAAGGGTCGAGGTCCCCATGTCTCAGCTGACTGGTCTGAGCCGTTTTCTTTCCCTTCCCACCGCCTTCGTCGCCGACCGCACACGCCATTTTCCTTTCTCGCACCTCACCATCGACAAACGAGAACACACAACTCTCCACGCACTTAAGCAGCCCGCTTCGCGCACCCATCGCCTCCCGACGCTCAATCAGCTTGTGTCCGCTCTACGGTCCAGGAAATTTTCTCCTCGCACGCCTTCTTCGACAGACGCGCACCCGTCCGTCCACGTCTCTCCTCCGCAGCCGCCGACTTCTCCACTTTGAGCCGTCGCCTCCCGCCGCCGTCCATCCTCGAGAAGCCCATTTCCAGACAGCAATCGTGGAACATCGATAACAATGGCGCCCCTGAGTAACCAGAATTTTAATTGTAGTAGTACCTATGGCGAGGACGTAGTCTCCAAGGTCAACGTCCTTGCCTCCTGCTACATCGTCGACTCGGCCGCCCACCTCAAGGGCCTCCACTACTGCACTACGGGGGTTGCAGGTATGCCTCACTCGCCCGTCGCCCCGAAAGACTGTATCTTCTGACTAACCCTCGACGCAGGGGCGGAGTGGTATTCCTGAGGTCCCTACCTCAGGACTCCCCTCCCCACCAACAAGCCCCCCCCTCGCCGCGCTGACCTCGTCCAACGAGCTCGCCCTCTTGCCCAAGAACAACGGCGGCAAGAAGCGCGACAATCCGGGCCGCCGCCCGGGGCGACGAGGGGGGGCAGCACTCGCGATCAGGGAAGAATGTGAGAGATTCTTTTGCGAGCCCATGAAGACCGTGTTCTTTGGTGAGAAGAACCTGTCGATGTATGGCTCCGGCCTGTCAGGTGCTTATCTGCAAACGCCGCCGCCAGAGGACCACATCGCGGACGCCCTCCAGCGCCAGCGCGACGACCTCGCCGCCCGCGGCTTCGAGGTCGACGCCTGGATGGAGGTCTGGGACTATGCCGGCGGCGCGAGCTTCCGCGCCTTCGTTGCCGACGACGGCAAGGAGAAGTCCTTGTTTGTCTTCTTCGACGTCGAAGGCGCCATGGGGCGAGACCTCAAGAAAGCGTGAGTCACACTCCTCTTCTCGCTGGCATACTTGCAACTGACGTTGTTTAGCCTCATGGCTCTCATTGAGCTCGCCGACGGTCCCTTGGACTGCGCCCACCTCGTCACCTGCATCGACCGCCGCATGCCTGCTGACGAGGCGCTCGCGCTGTCCAAGAGCCTGCAGTGGGTCGGCTTCGAAATGACGACCCTCGACCACTGGGCTGGCGACTTGGACGTCACCAGCAAGAAATGGGTGTTTATGGGCATGGAGCTGTAAGAACGCTCGCCGTGTCCACCCCTCATTCGCTTCATCTTTGTACTGCGCGCAAAAGCCGAGGCGTCGAAAGCTTGAGAGTTTTGCCCATTTTCTTGTTTTTTTGTTCTGCGCAATGCCAGGCTCTGCATTAGTGGCACCAGATCATCGACAGCGAATAATGCTCTTCTTCGTCTGGGTTACGGGATAGTCTGGCGTTTTGATTTCCGCTCCGCTTCCATGTACCTTCTTTCGCTTTTTCCCATCATGCATCAGTCGACGGGGCGCTCTGCTCCCCCAAGGTCGCTGGCGTTGGCAGTCGTTGCTGGTTGTCATAGTCTAGACACGGGGCAGGACACACGTCCACCATGGATGGCGGTGTTTTTTATCATGCGACGAGTCACCTGCGATAGCTCCAGGAGAGAGTAGCGAAGAAATTGAGAATAATCCGTCCATGTAAATGAACATCTTCTAAACGTGACTGCCGCCCGCCTCCTCGTCTACTGCTTTTCTATGCCGTGGTATCCAAATCGCTCTCAAACTGCCGCACCAGCAGCCCATTTTCCTTCAGATAGTCCTTGACCTGCTTGACCGTGTACTCGCCGCGGTGGAACATGCCGGCGCCGAGGGCGGCGTCCGTCGTCGTCTTGTCAAACACCTCCTCGAAGTGGCCCGGGTTGCCGGCGCCGCTGGAAGCGATGACGGGGATCTTGACGGCGGCCTTGACCTGGTTGATGAGCTCGAGGTCGAAGCCGCTGTTGGAGCCGTCCTTGTCGATGCAGTTGAGGAGCAGCTCGCCGCAGCCCATGGCCTCGACGGCCTGGGCGAGCTCGACGACGTCCATGTCGCGCGTCTCGCGGCCGCCCTTGATGGTGCAGGCGTACCAGCAGTAGGCCTCGCCCTTGGGGCCCGGGAACTGCGTCTCGACGACGCTGTGGCGCGTGGCGTCGAGCTTGGGCACGTAGACGCGCTTGGGGTCGACGCTGACGACGACGGCCTGGTTGCCGTAGGCGCGCGAGATCTGCTCAATGGCCGTGTTGCCGAAGAGCTTGCGGCCGAGCGAGTAGTACTCCTCGGCGGCGATGACGGCGTCGGAGCCGATGGACACCTTGTCGGCGCCCGACTTGAAGTACATGGTGGCGATCTCGAGCGCAGACACCTTGGTGCCGTCCGTGTCGACCGTGTCGCGGATGCCGCCGCCGATGGTCAGGGGCACGAAGACGGTCTGCGACGTCTGGCGGAGGACCTCGAGCATGGGCAGGTCGGCGACGGGGCAGTCGCGGAACGACGTGATGTTGAGGAAGGTGACCTCGTCGGCGCCGTCCTCGTAGTACCGCTTGGCCATCTCGACGGGCTTGCCCAGGTTGCGGACATTGCGGTCGTCCGACTTTTCGCGGACGTCGTACTGGTCGCCCTTTGTGACGACGAGGTCGCCCTGGTCGTTGGCCCGCACGTCGAGGCAGGCAATGACACGGCGCGTGAGGCCGTCCTTGAAGTCCGGCGCCACGGCGTCCAGCGCCCCGTCGACCGCCTTGCCGAGCGAGGCCGCGCCGGCGCCGGTCACAAACGCGCGGAGGGTCCGCAGGCCGGCGACGCCAGACTTTTCCGGGTGGAACTGCGTCGCGTAGATGTTGCCCTTGGCGACGGCGCCGACAAACGTCTCGGAGCCGTACGTGCCCGTCGCGACGGTCCAGCCCTGCGCCTCGAGCTGGCCCCTGACGTACGGGAACTTGTACGTGTGGACGTAGTAGTACTTGGACTCGGGCGAGAGGTCGTACATGGGCAGGCCGCCCGTGCTGGCGCTGTTCCAGCCGATGTGCGGGACCGACTTGGCCGAGTCATCGAAGCGCGTCAGGGAGCCCCTGATGACTCCGAGACCGGGCACGTCGGGGTCCTCGACGGAGCCCTCGAACAGCGCCTGCAGGCCGACGCACACGCCCATGAACGGCTTGCCATCCTCGATGTGTTTCCGGATGGCCGGGAGGTAGCCCGCCTGCGAGAGCTGCGACAGGCAGTGGCCGAAGTGGCCGACACCGGGGAGGATCAGTTTCTGCAGGGTAAGTCAGAGTCAGTACGGCGAAGCGCCTGTCGTGCTGCTGCTCCTGGGGGGGGGGGGGGCCGGCGCGCGGTGTATTTCGTGAATGAATCGAAAAGATAAGACGAACCTCTGCTCTGGGGACATCCTCGGGCGACCGGACCCAGTCTACCTCGTAGCCGAGCTTCTCGATGGCGTTGACCAGACTCCTGATGTTGCCGGCGACATAGTCCAGCAGGTGAACAGTGGGCATCTTTGCCCTGGCTGCCTGCCCCTCTTCCTCGGAAACGCGGTGGTGCGGGTGCGGTGTCACGGAGGCAAGGGCCAAGATAGTAGCTGAGCAGACAGAAAGCTATTCTCGTGCGGAGAGCGTCGGTTCCAAAGTGTGTCCTGTAGAGAGTTTGCGCCGAAGGAGAAGGAGTGAGTGAGCGGCAGACCGGGCGGTTGAGAATCTAGTGAGTCAAGAAATGCCGTTGCCCTGAGCCTTGCGATTGCGCGGCGGCGCCGGCCAGTGCCTGTGGAGGGGTCCAATGGCGGGGCCTGCGCCCAGGTGGTGCACTACCCCACTATCGATAAGGGCCCTTGCGCTAGGCCGTTTTCGCTTCGCCCAGGTTCCTCCAACAAGCTTGCTCGCTGCTCCAAACGCGCCCAGCGCGTCTCCAACCTCGAAACTATACCTCTGTTGAGCCTCGACAGCGTTTCCCGGGCATGCGCAACCGAATCTAGCGACGCCAAACACACAAGTACCTCATGATCTATGAAATGACGCCGTAAAGGCATTCGGTCGTTTCCTTTAAAAAGGTCCACGATGCACAGGCCAAGCAGCCACTGAGGTCACCCTGGTCTTAACGCATCTCTCAAGACCATGTTGCCACGCTCGACCATGGACTCTTCGACAAAGCGCATCTTCACCCCGGACGAGCCGGGCGCCCTCGGCCTTGACGAGGTGCTCAAGCAAGTCGCCCAGGACGACGAGGATGAGTGGGAGTACGAGTATTCCACCACGGAAACAGAGGTTGTCGCGCCGGAAAATTCCAAGCCGCCCGGGCTGAAGGCTGACTATTCACTCAGACGTATTACCTCGCCCTTGACCTGTCGTACCCAGAATTCAAGGAGCGCACAGCCAAGGTAGCGCACCACAGCCGCGGAGGCTACTATAAGAATTGGCTGGACCAGACCACGGCGGGACCCAGCGTTCAAATCACGCGAGACAGGTCGAGTAAGGATAACGGCCTTGACGACGATGACAGTGACGAGGAGGCCGAGGGAGGCAACGACGGCGAAGACGACGATGATGGCAACAATGCCGACGATGATGACATGCCTGTGGATCCCCAGCTCACGGCCGCCAAGGGCAAGGGCATAGACACTGGGGATGCGGTGTCGGAAACGCCCAAGCCACCACACCGACGGGAAAGCAAGGACCGCGACGCCGGCGAAGAAGAAGCCACCGAGGAGGACAGCATTCAGATCCTCGACCTGCATTCCCGGAACCCGGTCATCTCATACCGAGGACGGGTGTTTGAGGGGGAGTGGGCAGAAGTCATCGGAACCGAAGCCATCCTGGCCAAGCACGACAAGGCTGCGCCGCTGCCGGCACTTCGAAATCTGCCCGAGGACATTGACATCCTTGGGGCGTGTTCGTCGCGAATCATGACGACGGAGAAAGTCCCCAAGCCAAAGGTGCCCGAGGAAGACACGCTCGCTGCCATCCGCGAGGAGTGGAATATCAAGATCCCGCCGGGCAAGGACAAATCGGGCGAGCGCGCACACCAGATACGCTTCCTGGAGAACTTGATCGCCCTCAAGAAGAAGAGAGGCGATCCGGACCAGGTCACTGTCTACGCGGTGGATGGTGAAGGCAAGGACTGGAACGACAGGAAAGGACCCGACTACAAGCCGAGGAACCGGAGAAAGCCCATCAAAGCCGAGGGCGATGCTCAGGGGGACGGCGAAGAGCAACAGCCAGCGAAGAAACGTAGCCGACCGGCTGGTTCAGAAAGCCGCCGGGCCAGGGCAAATCGAAGGGGTCGAGCCGGCAGACTTGGCACCGCCGACATACACGGAACTCTTTCGCTCTCCACGCCTACGCCGAGTCATTGGGACAACCTTGGACGGCCAGCGGACGGGGGTGACATCGAAGAGCAAGTGGGTGAGGGCGCGGGAGACGACGACGAAGTGGAAGACGTGTCGATGACAGGGTACGAGTGATTCCGTTGGTGCCACAGCAACCAACGGCAATATGCGAAACGCGGATCATGATGAGCATCAAGGGAAATGAAGTCGAACGGTTGTGAACAAGCTTTCGCGATTGGCATGGCACAAAACAACAATACCAAAGCCATGCAGCACCATTTTGAACCGTTTGTTGGGTCCCTACGGAGCACGCCGAGCACGTGCCGGTCAACCAACAGGCAAGTGGCACGGCACGGCAGTTGTCGAGAACGGTGGTTGTTGGTCGTGGCATGAGCCGCAGGGCGGTCTAAAGGGACAGGGCGCCTCGGGGACAGGGCATGGGACCGGAAGTTGAGCGAGCGCAGCGAGACGACGACGCGGTGGATGCTGCATGGGCTGGCGCAGCTGCATCAGGCCAGGCGGGCGGCTCAGATGACCCGCCTCGAATCATTGGGCCACGCGGCCAGCATCTGCACAGCGATGTGGCTACCTACTGGCTACGAAGGTGAATGGCGGCGAGTCGGCACCCCCCGCGAGCGTGGCCCACGAGGGCGAGACATTTATTACTTGTTGCTGTACGGCCAAAGCAAGGCGGCGGGTGGCCGTCTGGCGGTCTGGTGATGGCCTCACGTTGCACAATGTGTGGTCGAGCAGACCCTGCAGCGAGTGCCGAAGGGGGCAGTCAAGCGACAGGCGAAGGGGACCAGCCTTGCAGATCGAGGCGGTGCCAAGAGATGGACGCTGGGCCATTCGGCGTCGCCATGTGGCATGCAAGACGACGATGGTTCGCCCGGCGGCGCGCGCGCGTGGAGACGGCAGAAGGACTGGGCTTGGGTTGTCGGAGATGGGCAGACGGGGCCCCCTGGGTCTGGTATGTACGAAGTATGTGTGTATCCCGGGATCGACGCAGCAGACTCTGCCTTGTCTGTACTGGGGACCTGGATCTATGGAAGAGGGTACCTGGATGCGGCGCGGAGGCATTGTACTTGGGATGCCGCATTCAAGCGTCGTCAAGTGAGCAGAGGGCGATGGCGCCGACGTGCGTGGGCCTGGCATGACTCTGTGTTGTTGTTTGATGCGTTTTCGGGGCGCCCTGGTCTTGATTACTGCACGGTGCTTTACATGCCCGCTGCAACCCCCAATAAACCGCTACTGTCACTGCCCGCAGCGCTACTACTGCACATACGGCGGGCGGGCAGTCCCAAGATTCCAAAGACACCGCGTCCGTGCCCCCACTTTTCGGTGTCCGAAGGTCCGGCATGTTTGCAAGGCGGGTGCTTCGGACACGCCAGCTCACAAGCATGTGCAAGTACGAGTACGAGGGCGGCGGGCAGCCCATCAGCACTGAATAAGGGCCGTGGCAAGGCGCAATGGGAGTCAGCAAAAAAAAGGAGGGTCGCGCGGACTTTCCCGCTGCGCGCCGCGAGCGAAAAACGAAAAAAATAGCTGAACGGTTTTGTGACCGTCTTGAACCACGGGCAAGCAAGACATTGGAACTTCCACTGCAAGAGTCAGCCTGCAACCACGACTGCCAGCCACTGCGGAGCGGGTACGGAGGGGTGCACCAGGCCGCAAGCCACGCTGGGCGACGTCAGCCAATCCACTGCGGGGATGTGAAATCCACTGCTGCGCCGTCGGCACGGGGCCACGGCAGGCTGGCTGACGGACGGGCGCTGGACTTTTGCAACAGCGTCTGAACCTGAATGAATGGGGGGCCCAGGCGGCACCAGAGTTTGGGGTATGGGTACCAAGTACACGGGCAGAAGGGGGGTCCCTTCTCAAGCCTCTCTGCGCGGGGGGTCCTGCATGACTTGAGTTTCCCTGGATATTTTGATTTCCGTGCACTGCCGGGGGGGGGCGCTTGTGTGCCATGTGTGCCCATGAATGAGGTGAATGTACGTGGACTGTATTGACGGGCACCCGATTGTTGGGCGATGATACCCCCCGAGGTAGCAGTCAGTCGACGCCCGCAACGACGGCGGGCTTTGCGCGACGGACGGACGGACGATGAAGTGTCCGATGAATGGGCGCCCGATTATGTCGCATTCGTGTCCTGTCCGCCGTGTTCCACCTCCGACCGAGGCGGGCAGGGCTGCGCTGCTGCGGACATAGACGAGTCTGGCACTTGGCAGTGCTTCGCAGGGCGCGCATCTCGCTGCAGGTCCCGCCCGGATGATGGCCGCTTCTCTTACCGCATCCAACCGCCAGACGGTCACAGGCCGGTTTCCTGTTTGGGCCAGCGCGAGCCGCCCAGCCCAGGCGGTGGAGCGGCGGCGGCAGGCCGTCAGATGCTGGGCCGCAGCGGGCGTGTCCAGACTGGGGCTCCCTGGCGTGGCACCGCCGTCCAGAAGAGGAGGGCGCCGGAAGGCTGCGGTGCGCTGGTGCCGTGCGCCTGGGGTGTGGGTAGGTGGTGGTGGTGCTGCTGAGGGAGGGGACCCTTCTTTCGATCCGGGCATCCATGGCCCGCGCTGATGCGCTTGGCTGGGGCCGGGCTGGGCTGGGCTGGATGGCACCCAGGCCCGGGTGACACGGCAAGGTCAGTGTGGTAGTGGCCGCCTGAGGGTTTTGGTCTCGGGGGCTTGAGTTCGCTGGAGCTGGAAACTCAGGCTGCCGCGCCGCGAGTTGAGGCGGCAAGGTACCTCGATACTCCCGAGATCCTTCGTGGTGCAAGTCCCCCCCGGGTCTTCCACTGGGCAGGGCGCTGGGGGGCACTCACTCACTCGGGGCAGTGACATCAATCCGCGGGCCAGTGGCGGGGGATCCGGCCGGTACCTCGCCTGGTCGGCGGGGCCGCGTACCCCCCCTGGTACCGGTACATCCGGCCCAGACCCTGACTGGCTGGCTGGCTCCGTTGCCGCAGCCCTTCCCTTCCCTTCGTTCCTTCCTCGACTCGAGACTCGGGCTCGACGGCGCCTCAAACCGCTTCTTCTCTTGACTTGCACGCACGTCTGGCACTGGCTTTTTCTTCTTTCCCTTCCCTCACCAGCAACACGCCGGACCGCCCACCTCGTCCGCCGCCTTCCCTCTCTTCCTCCCTCACTACCTACCCGCTCACCGGCCGTTTCGCAATCCAACCCCCATCCGCCCTTTCGTGATGCACATATAGCTGGCCTATTTTCTCACCCGCCCTCCCCGAGCGCCTTTCGGCCCGCCCTCCGCCTTACCTCTCGCAGATACGACCAACTGGCCCCCGTCCGTCACGGCTCGGCTGGCTCGGCCAACTTCCTTCGTTTACCGCCGCAACACCAAACGGCCCGTCGAGGACCCTGCCTTTGGCCTGCCTTCGCTTGCCATCATCAACCTCCTTCGCCCGCCCGCCTGTCCCGACTCTGGTTGCGCCTGCCGGCAGTTTATCGGGACTTGGGCCCTCGAAGCAGACTCTCTGTCTGGTCCCCTTCTCTACTCCGCCGATAGTGGCTTATATACATACCTGTTTACCTGACCTCGCCCCCACGTTGGACGCCGGCGCATCCACGACGACACCCGACTCACACCGCAGGCCACGGCCGCATCACCACCGCCGACCATGTATTGGGTCCGGCGAGGCACCATCCTGGTGTCGCTCTTCCTCATCATCTCCTTCGTCGCCTGGTTCGTGCCCCGCGCCCTCGACCCCACCAGAGTGAGCCCGGAGCGAAGGGCACGCGACCGCCTCTGGGTCAACAGCAGCCCGTACTTCTGGGACCGTCAACTATGCCGCTGGATCAGCGTCTGCGGCCTCAACCACCTGCGGCGTGACCCTGCCGCCCTCTTCAACCCCAATCCGCCCGCCGGCGGCGACGGCGACGATGACGATGACGCCGGCGACCTTGTCTTCGGAGAGCTTCGCCGCCGGGCGCTTGCCGCCGACGTCCCGCCCCGGTCGTGGGAGGAGCCCGACGACTCTTCCGAAGACTCCGCCGGCGGATTCGTCCGGCAGCGACCTGACATGAAGCGCAACCCTACCGAGAGACGCAAGATACTCAAGGACATACCCGACTATGTCACCAAGTACGCGCCCCTCGTCCACCTCTACTCGGGCGAGCAGTTCTGGCCCTCGGACATCCGGGAACACATTCAGCACATGAATGTCTCTGTCAACGGCGAAATGCTCAATCAAACCAACAAATGGACCCTCAATAACCTCAACCAACTCAACGAGCACCGTGGCTTCGTGGTGTTGCACAGCCTTGACGACGTCGAGACCCGGCCCGATTGGCTCCACAGCCACTTCAATCGACCCGGCCCCTTCCCCGACAATGGCGACGATGGCGACGAGCACCCCGTCGTGGACGACGACGACATGCCCGTGTACCGCAAGGAGCCCACCAGCTGGTTTGATGTCGACAAGCAGCATCCCCTGCATCGTATCGCCGATCCTCGGCCAAAGACGCACCGGCAGCGGCGCCGGTCCGAGCCGCCCCGCATCGCGCGCCGCGGCCACAAGCCCGATGCCGACGGCTACTCCAAGGCCCCTGCCGTCCTTGTCATCGTCGACAAGGGCTCCGGCGTCGTCGACGCCTTTTGGTTCTTCTTTTACTCGTACAACCTCGGCCAGACCGTTCTGGGCATTCGTTTCGGGAACCATGTCGGCGATTGGGAGCACTGCATGATCCGTTTCGAGAATGGCGAGCCGCGGGGCATTTTCTTTTCCGAGCACGAGGGAGGCCAGGCGTATGCGTGGGATGCCATCGAGAAGCGCGGCGTCCGCCCCGTCATATACTCGGCCGTCGGTTCGCACGCCATGTATCCCTTGCCCGGCGAGCACCCCTACGTCCTGCCATTCCGCATGCTCAAGGACGTGACGGACAAGGGACCCATCTGGGACCCCTCGCTCAACAACTACGCGTACCACTACGACTACACCAAGGAGAATCGCTGGGACACGCGCGACCCCTGGGACGACAAGGTCAGCAGGGTCGGCAAAACTGAGTCGCTCGTCCCCGCCGCGTCCAACCCAGATGCGCCCACGTCGTGGTTCCACTACCGTGGCCGCTGGGGCGACGAGGTCTACACCCTGGCCGACATCCGGCAGTGGCGCCTCTTTGGCCAGTACCACTACGTCACGGGTCCTTCGGGCCCCAAGTTCAAGCACCTGGACCGCTCTAAGCTGTGCCAGAGCTACCGCTGCCGCATCCTCTACAAGATCGACCCCAAGAGGACCTGGTACTAGCTTGTGGCAGGAAAGCTGTGTGTGGCTTGATGCCCTTTGCCTTTTTTTTAGACCAACACTTGCGGTTCCGATTGTGATGAGTTTGCACGCATTACAAGAGAGAAAGAACGAGATACCCCCCAAGAGCGCGAGTATCGGAGGAATTTTGATTATGGATTTGGGCTTTTAGAAAGAAAGGCGGCGCGCGGGCTGCTTAGACGACCATTGGGACATTGGAGTTGGGCACGTTGGATGGAACGGGCGGGCGTCTTTTTACGAATCTGGAGGGGAGGGCGCAATCCTCGCGGCGCTGCCTCCAAACGATCACTCTTTTCCTCACCTTGACTGACGGTGGAGCACTGGGCTGGCACTTGGATGTTGATATCCCCCCCTGACACGACTTGTGTTTTTGCTTTTACGAAGCTGCTCAGCTTCCTCCTTTTCTGCACCCGCATTTGCACACGAGCTGTATGTATACCAGCGAGGCCCGCGGGACCGCGCTCATAGAGGGAGGCGAAGCCAGAGTTGGATACTCTTGCATGACGTTGACGGTTGACGAATTGGGAATACACGAGCTGTTTTCCAAAGCCATGCGGCTGGTCCTAATCGTGAACGAGTGATGGGCATGTGCATGCGTGTTAAAAGTCAAAAGTGGTGTCTCTCTTTTGTAGGAGTGTAGTCTTGTAGATGTTTTGTACACATCGTACAGCTGCTGCGCCTCTCCGAGCACCCCGTCCCAGCCGCGGCCACCTCCTCGGTGGTCCCTCATCAGCATTCGTCCGCACCTCGCATAGGACGCTACCGCCTCGTAGTAACTCTTCCTCCCATCCCGTCTTCGACAAGCCCACCGCCCCGGCGACTGTGACGACGACGACGACGACGACGACGACGACGGGCCGCACCCGGAAAAATGCTGCGTCGCGTGCTGCATTAAGAGCCCAAAAAAAAAAAAAAACTTCCCAGCGCCATATCTGTCTCGCATACTTCGTAGCGTATATCGAAAAGAGAAACAAGAAAGAAAAAATGAAAGGTAAAAGCAGCAAAGCAAGAAATGTCCAAAAAAAAAAAAAAAAAGCTCCGAAAAACGCCGCTTTGCTGATACTTCCCGCAGACGCCCGCTCGTGTATACAGACAACCTCCGCATGTACATCAAGAAAGATGAAAGAGAGAAAATAGAGATGGACGTAAGGATTGGAATCGAGGGTAGAGGGCATAGCACAATGCCAGGCTTGCGCTTCGACTTGGATGTCTTGACCACGGAACCATGGCACATCGTCAGCGTCATAAGGGGGACGCCGACTCAGTTCTCATCCTCGTGGATGTCGAAGCCCGCGCCGTCATCGCCCTCGGGCCACGCGTGATTCGTGCTAGGGTACTCGGACGGTTGGCTGCTGGCTTCGCTGTGCTGGCCGTCGTCTGGCTGTTGGATGGGGTCAATGTTCTCCCCGTCCGACAGGCGGTCCCGGGCCCGATCCTCGATGCCGGGCCAAGGCTCATCCTCAGGCAGCTGCCACTGCTGTGAGTCACCCAGAGGGGGAACGTGAGTCACAATGTCCTCGCTCGTGACGCTCTCATCCTCCTCTTCCTCGTCGCCGTCAACGTATGATTCATCTGACGCGCTCTCGTAAATGTCAATGTGCGCGAGGGGGTTATCATATTCGGGGAGGTATTCCGTGGCCGTGCGTGCCACGCTGCTGCTCCGTACGGGGCGCAATTCCTGCAGCGGCGCATTGCTGTAAGGCGTCGCATAGGCAAATGGCGTCGTGCCTCGGGGCACCTGCCGGTCGCTGAGGCCCTGTGGCATGGGGCTAGGCGAGGCCGTCCATCTTGGTGTGAAGCGGTGGTGGCTTGGAGATCGAGTGCGACGCCTCTTCATGACTCCGGCCTGGGACATCGCTCTGACGCTAGGGGTGGACCGTCGGCTCTGACCGTACGACGCAACGCGGCGTTTGTCGACGGTGGGAGAGCTGCGGGCCTGCGCAGCAACCGGCAGTGACGTCGTGCGGATGTGAGGCGGTAATGAGTCTCGGCGGAGCATCGGCATGGGAGACTGGATGCGCTCGACAGCCGGGCTCATGGATCGCCTCCACGAATGATTGTGAACAATCAGGGGCGACATGGACGCACGAGCTCGCTCTTGTCGCATGCTCATGGATGTATGCGCGCTTGGCGGCTCGTCCAGTTGCTCGCTCCACGACCAGTGCTCCTCCATGGCATCCGCTTCAGGCACCTCCTGCGACTCGGTGACGTCCTGGTAGACCCGATTAAGCTCTCGCACTCTCTGCCAAGTCCAGCCCGTCTCATAGGCCTGGATGTCCTGGAGATATGCGTTGGGATGGGTGATGAACAGCCGCGGCTCGGAAGACCTCATCATGACCGAGTTCAAGAACTGGACGTCCCACAGACTGGGGGTCATCATCTCGGCCGGGCTCAGAAAGCGCAGGCGAGAGTCCTTGTGAATCTTGCGCAAGGGTACCCAGTTTTGCTGGAGACCAAGAAGTCTCACAAACCTGGGATCGGTGGAGTGCATCCGCGGGCGCATCTGCATCTCCCGAAAGACGTTGCCAAAGGCCGACTGAACCGCAGTCTGGACGCTTCTGTGGTCGGGTGCTCTGACGGCTACCTTTTGGATCAGGCCGCGGCTACGTAGCCGCTTGTCGACGACGCTCGTGTTGCCGCACGCCCTCGGCAGTAGCCATTCCGCATCGTGCTCCGCGGCGGCCCAGTCGTTGGGGAAGGGGGATTGTGAGCGCCGTGTCATGGTACTGTGCGTCATGGGAAGCTGTGTCCAATCGTCGTTGCTGAGAGTGGCCGATTCAGGCTTGAACTGGTGGATAGGCTGCCAGAGCCTCTTCAAGGGGAAGGGCAAGAAGACGACTTCAACCTCCCAGGCGTAGTTGGGCGATGGGAGGTAAGATTGGAGATGCGTGACCTGGGCTTGAAGCGACTGGATTTGACTCATGACGTCCTGAGAATGAACTGCGGACTTGCCGGTTGTGCTGGTCGATACTGACACCATGCTCTGCGTGGCGGCATCCTCGTCACGGCCGCGACGAACGTGGACCACGCTGGCATTGTCATTCGAGAACTTCTCAACCTCTTCGACTCTCGTTTCCAGTTCTGTCATTCGCACGTCCATGTTATCCCATCGTTCGTGCCAGTCGTCGTGGAAGGAGACAGTCTCCAACTTGTCGAGGCGCTGCCCGTGGTCGCCGACGGCATCGGCCAGCTGCCGAATCATCTCTGGCTTGACATCCGATGACGCCGCTGCGGCCCTAGGCTCCGTTTGAGTTGCTGTTCCGGGTCTGGACGCGGCCTCATCCTCGTCGCCATGGTCCACGAACTCAAAGGTCTCCACCTGACGAGCGTGCTCCTCGGCGACGGAAACCAGCTCCTTGGGCTGCTCAGTGGGACCGCGTGGCTTGACTCCCGTGGCACCACTTAGTGTCTGCAGTCCCTTGCCTGCGAATGGCCGCAAATACTTGGCCTGGTATGACGAGGTAGTAGAGGCGGTCTGCGACGGCAGCAGACACTGAGAAGGGATGGGAGGCAGCATATTCGCGCTCGCAGGAGTCGGCGATTGGAAGACATCGCCCCAAGCCAAGGTATCGGGCATGGATCCCGGGGGTTTTGCCTGGGTCACCAGGCCTCCAGACTGCCGGTTCTCCTCCTGGGGCATGTCGTGGATGAAAGAGAGGGGTCCTGGTCCGAAACTGGAAAACTCCATGCCCGGCACGGCAGGCGGTGTTTTGAGGGATATTCCTATGACCGGGCTCAACGGCTCCCGTCCGGTCCTGGGCCTTTCATTTTCCTGTCCGGGGTTGGGAATGTTTACCTCGGCGGGCGGTCCGTCGCGGTCGCGAAAGCCTTCGTCGTGGAAGCAGGCATGATGGTTGCACATGCACCAACCGGACTGGTCCATGACGGGGCTCCCAGGAGCCTGCCGCACCCAGAAGCGACGACATCCGCACTTGGCGCCGTTTGCCCCGGGCGTTAGATCCACAAAGTTGCAGCCGCCGCAGGGCAGGCTCGGCGACATGGCGCCGCGCGCCGGGGCCGTCGCGTCATTGTATATGTCGAAGAAGTTGGTGGCGGGATGGGACGGGTCAAAGGGTGTCGCAGCCATTGGGATAGGTCGGACGCGACCATGCTATGAGATGCTGAGGGCGTCGACGGGTCAAGTTGTCGCGGCTCGATGGCAGGTTGAAGCGCAAGCACGTCGCGTGTCGAGGGCTCGCGAGACAAGCGGGCCCGACGGGGTCGCACGCGGCCAGAGCCGTCTAGTTCATCGCACTGCGCGCTTGGTTAGCATCGGCCTCCAGCCGTGGTGAGAAAGACGCCGGATGGCTAGCGATCCTCAATCAGTGAAGGCGACTGACCCTGGCTGAGGATGGAGCGGGAAAAGGACGCGACGAGGCCGAGGTGGGCAGGGCGGCGCTTAAATACGGGCGCCGAGGATATAAGCCGGCTGTCCAGTCAGAGCTGCTGCAGCGGACGCAGGCTCTGTGGGTAAGCAAGAGATGGTTTGAGGATTGGCATGCGAGCGTGGGCGCGTGCGGTTGCTGAGACGAAGTGAGGCGAGTCGAGATGCAAGGTCGAAAGAAGGTGGTGGTGGATTGGACTGGGGGGGTGAGGGTGAAGAGGAGCAGCGAGAGGGACTGGGCCGGGATGGATGGATGGACGGATGGATTGCGGGCCCGCCGCTGGAGCTGCAGGTGCAGGTGCAGGTGCAGGTGCAGGTGCAGGTGCGCTGTGCCTCCCCTTCCCTTCTGGACCTGATAATAAACACCCATCCATCCATGAGCCGGCACCGAGACTCTCTACTATCTACCTCTCTCTCTTGGGCGCCCCACCAACAGCAGCCTGTATCGGGAGCGCCCCCCGGCTTCACTCACTTGCTGCTGGAGCTTCCGCGAGCTTGAAGCTGCGGCATGTCGAGGTGCACTTCGTACAAAGTACACGCGTGGCCCGCCGCAACCACGAACGGCCGACTACCCTGCATCGCACCGCCCAGCGGGTATATCTCGCACGCAGCAAGTGCAGGCTCCTCGTAAACGTCAAACCCGGCAGCCGTTGAACGTCCTTCGGGCGCGCCTCTGAGAACGGGTGGCCGATGCAAAATTCCAAGGTCCCATGGCCCCCAATCGTCACGACGGGGAGAGGCAGCCGCCGTCAGCAGGCCGTCTGCCTCACTAAAGGACCACCTGGGCCGAAGTACCGCCCGTTCACGACAGCCTAGGTAGCTCCAGCTCACACCACAGCACGCAGCGCAAATGGCTGTCCGCCTTGGTCCGCGGCGCACGAACCTCCCAACGAAGCTGCATGTCGTCGTCGACGTCAGCACGCCATTGTCGGTCGTCGCCCGTCGAGTCACGCCTACATGAATACCTCCCCGCAAAAGGTTGACTGGCACACACACGAACTTTGGATGCCTCGCGCCAAGTTCGTCCATCCGTCCATCCATCCACCGTTTCACCACCGCACACCACCTCCCTCCCTGTCGGCATTTCATCGTCCATGTTTCTCGTCCCTCAGGCACCCGTGCCGCCGCCCAACCCTGACGACCCCCATCAGGCACACGTCTTTACGCGGTGCGCGACCCACCAAAACGCCCCCGCCGTCGACCCGTCCCGCCCAATGGCGGCACTTAGGCCCTCTTCCCCGCGGCTTCAACCGCGTCGCGGGGCGCCTCGTTTTTGCCCCGGCGGGCCAGGCAGGCTCACCTCTGCGCGCCATGCTTTTTGGCCTGGCCTGGCGCTCGTCACTGCACCTTTGCCTGCTTGCTCCCTTGGTCTGGGTTTGTACACGTCTGTCTGACTCAACGGCGGTGTGTCTCGAGCGAGCCCCCGTCCCCTTCCTCCCCTCCCTCATTTTCATTTTTTATACCGCACGCCCGTGAGTCAAGTCAAGCCCATCTGGTGAGGGGGCCAAGTCAAGTTAGAGCCTGGGCCTCTTTTGGTGCCATTTTTGGCAGGGCCGTGAGGCTGCCACCAGGCCCATTGGCTGCCGTCCGTCATTGTGGATGGTCCGTTCTATGCTGCTGCAAGCTGCACCTTGACAACTGCTGCGCGTCTGCAACAAACCGCCGCAGCCCTTTCGCGTGCCGACAGCGACTGCAACGGTGAGGCTGCCCACGCGAGCGGCGTTTTCTATCGCCCCGGACAAAACGGCTGGCTGTACGGAGTACAGTTGGGCTGGACCGTTGCCGACAGGTTCGCGACTTCACACTGGCGTGCACGCATCCTGGACCGACGGCGCACTGCTCGTCCCGACGCCATATCCGACTCAGGTACTTCGTACTGTGTTGCTCCGACGTGGCCCCTAGCGGCCTCTCTCAGGGTCGCCATCTTCATGCCGACAGGGCTTTTCGCGTCACGGCTGAGTCACGAGCAGATCCAGGCTCACTGCATGATGCCATTCATTGTACCTGGATATGTGCTTTATATGATATGATGCAGCCATGTACCTAAACTCGCTCTAAATCATGAACCCGCCCGTCCCACGCTCCTAAACAAAGATCCCGAAAACATCATGTTGCGTGTTGTACAATGACGACATGCCGCCGTCGGTTCGCGAGCATCGGCCCGGCCATGCCTACACCTCGCCCCAGCTGCCCATCGGCCCATGCGGCCCTGCAATCGACCCAGTCCCCAGCGAGCCGCCAATGTCCCAGTAGTGCCGCGACGAGCAGCTACTCCTCCGCGCGGACCGTCTCGTGCTCTGGCTAGCGCAACTGCTGTGATGCCGCAGCGCTACGGGACTCGCCGGCCCTGTCGCTTTGAATGCCCGCCGCTCGACGGGTCGAGAGCGCGCGATGAGCGGATGGTGCTGCCGTACCCGCGTCATCTTGGCCGTGCTGTCCTGCGCCGTCGGCGTTCCAGCATGGGATCCAGTCGAGGGCGTCGAGCCCTTGGACCGTGACGTAAAGCGCGAAATGAGATACCGGAACACCAGCTTGACGTCGAGACTCCTCTCCCACTCGTCCTTGGTAAAGGCGTTGTCCATCGGCACGTCCTCCTTGGCCACGCTGGCTTCGTCGCTTCTCCGGGTGGGAATGTTGATGGGCTGAGATTGTTGGTTTAACGTCGGTTGAAAGTCAGGCAGGGACGGCTGGGTGCGACGCTCGGGTTCCGTCACCTCTACTGTCTGCGGCCCGTCCACGGACTCGGGTATGACGGGCAGCCCGGCATACGGCAGCGGCATCTGCTGCACTCTCGAGTACGTCGAGAACGCGCCTGGATGGTGCGACAGCTGGCTGACCAGCAAGCCGAGCTCCTGCGACAACCTCTCCAGGATCTGAACCTGCCAGGTAGAATCGCCCCCCATCTCCGAGGAAAGTTGCCCGCCCAGCTGCGACGCCCGGGGAGTCGTCGACAGCTCGTCATCTTCGGGAAGAGTTTCACCCAGCAAAATGGAGAGCAGCCTGTCGTCGATTCCCAAAAGATCCTTGACAACCTTGCGCGTGATTCTCGCCACGATGCCCTCGGGTGGACCCACGGACTGAATGGCATCCTCGTCATGCCACGTCATGTTGTCCGACTCGCCATCAACTGGTCGCTGAAAGCGGTGCATTGATGCTTGCGACTTGCGCCTCCGCCTCGTTTCCCGCTGGACCTCGTCCAGCAATATGCGGCTGTGCTCAAGGCGCCAGGCCTCGATGCGTAGCCGCTTCTCTTCCTCCTGGTGCTGGCCGTACTCGAACTCGACGTGGCCGCGGTCGAAGCTGTCTAGCCTCCGACGGACCCTCCGAGGGTTGAACCTCTCAAACTGGTAGATTTGGTCCTGTGCCTCTCGGCTGAAGACGGGGCGGTCCAGGCGAAAGGACCCGAGCCCGTCGTGTGCAGGGAGGACAGGAAGGGCCTGCGGGCTCCCGTCATGAGAGTCCGCTTGCGCACCAGGAATAGATCGGAATTCGGGTAAATGGCTGTCTAAGCTGTCGAGCTCCGTGTCGTCCTCGACGGAGACGTCGTCGATGGCGGAGAAGGAGGCCGACTGCCTCGTATCCGTGTGTCGCGCCGATCTGGCGACCGTGTTGAGGCTCCCGAGCTCACTCAGACGTGAGCGTCCCGGTGTAACGAGCGAATGCTCCGATTCGCTGAGATAGGAGGTCGTGGTCACGTCGGTGGGCGGGGAGAAGAGCACCCAGGTCTGGGACTCCTCCACGGGCCGCTCAGACGATGGCCGGGCGTGAGTGGTCACGTCATCGCCCTCGGTGGTCGGCGGGCGGGCGACCCGCTGGATGGCCTGGCGGGCTGGTTGCTGGAAAGCCATGATGGTGATGGCCTTGCCGCTGCGACAATGAGGGCCGACCAGCGATGCGTGTTTTCGTGTCGATGCGGGCGTAGGTATGGTTGGGGGGAGTCTGAGGTGGCCGCCGGGTTCGGGAGATGGGAGGGGCCAGCGGCGACGCTATATGACGGTGCAGCACTGCAGTGCCGCGCTATCGCTAGATGGAGTCTGATAAGAGCGGCTACCTCGCCTCGCCCGCGACGTCCCACGTACGTTAGGGTACCACGCACCACTCTCGGACGAGTCGGAAAGCCGGGAGTGGACCGAGTCGCTTTGGAGTGGCCTGCTCCGTCAAAAGAGGACGCAACGTAAGATGCAGGAAGGAAAAGGAGATTCCAGAGAAGGGGGGGCGTCGCACCGCCGGTTGGTGCTGATGCGAGAACGAGAGAAGCAAGGCAAGGTAATAAGCGCGAGAGGAGAAGGGGGCGGGACCAGCGGATGGACAAAGCAAGCAGCCTCCTCCCTGGGGCCAGCGGCGGCGGCGACAACAGCAGCACGCACAGATGGACTGGTGACGAGATGGTTGGGCGGACGAGACAGGACAGGGCCCTTCGCAAGGTTCCCGCCCGGGCACGCCTCATGTTTGTTGAGGAGCGCCCGGCACAGTGCTGCTGGTCTGCCACTGACGAGAGGTAGGCAACTGGGCGGGCAGCTGGACATTGCCCGCAACCCGCACCCGGTCTCCAGGCCTGGTAGGTACCTACAAACGGGCTGCCCAGCGCTCACAGGGCGTCGCCGCTCACTGGCGCATCTGGGACATGCGCCCCCGACCTGCCCACTCACAGGCGCGATCAGCGGGCGGGGGTGGGTGCTCGCGTGCTACGTACCGCCCATCCGCTGTCTGGGCCCCGCCGTCTGCTGCCCGCCTTGCCGCCGTCTGGTCGGCTGGCTGGCTGGACTCGCGGACCCTGGCTCCGCCAGACGTGTGTCTGACACAATCCGCTCGTCTCGCCTCGCCATTTCCGCCCTCCCGCCTACTATCGCACCTCGCCGTGTCTAAATCTCATTTGGCAGGCGACCACGACGATGAGCCCGCCCACCGCCCAGATACGGGAGGTCCAACACCGCGGCACGTCGGGGTCGTCGTTCCAGCGGTGTGCGCGCGCATATCATCTCCTGTCCCTCTGCGCAGGGCCAGGTTGTACGAGTAATATCATGATTTCATGGTTGACCCTGCAGACAGACAGGCGTCATTTCGTGCTCACTGCCCAGGTGGGCTGATACCCGTCGGCTGCCTGCGCTTCCACTCTAGTTCACACCCACTCGCGGCCACATGGCCCTCTCTGCGAGCCTGGCGTTTCCTCGAGCGCCCTTTGCACACGAGGGTGGCTTGACCCCAGCGACACATCGTTGGGGCTGCTTCGCTTCGTTTGCCGGCTCTTATGCAGGTCGCTATGATGCCATCGAGACATGCAGCCGTCCGCCGCCCGTCCCTCTCGTCGTCCTCCGGCCTGTTGCCGTTCACGCCTCGTAGCCCCCAGCGTCCCCTGCATAGGCTATCAACGCAACAAGGTTGCAGTGACCGAACCACCCACGGGTTGTGGACGGATCGGGCGTTGCGAAGCCATGACGTACTACATGTGTATCTCACTCAGCGCTTGCAAAGTTGCTTCCCATGGTGTACGAAACCGGGCCGAGATCCGGATGCGCACAGCGCCCAAGCGGTGGAATCACCGGCAAAAACTCGTCGAGAGAAATCGGCCGGGTTATGAAAATGAAGTATTTGGGGGTTCCCAATGCCCTGGTGTTCGTGCCTGTGACGTTGGTCACGATCCTGGGCGACCCCGAGTCATGTGCGACAGATCCCGGATGTCGGATCCGTGCTCGTACCGCCGCGCCACGGCTCGGCCCAGAAAGCTGCAGAAGCAGTGGCGAACGGCTCACTAATACGCTGTGCGAACGCGAGACCGAACCAGGCTCTGGCGATGCTCATTCACGGATGGTTAGCGAACCTCCTACGGTCGGATATTTCGGCTGCAACGGTAGCAGCAGCCACCAAACCGGTAGATATCCGGTGCAGGCATCAGGCAGCAAAATGGAGCCATGGCTCATAATCACGGCACAACGGTGCCACAGAGGTGGCAATGCAAGATGGCAAAAAAAGGAAGCAAATTCATGTACAGTCCAGGCGCTTAATGCACCAAATCATCATTTGATTTGCCGAGCAATCCCCTTGCAAGTCAAGAGGTCTTTATCTGACATGCCGATATGACGCCAACCATAACCCAATGCCAACCCAACAACCGCTTAAGCCTCAGACTGGAAAGCCTCGGGGAAGCGGCGCATGTTGTACTCGAGAGGGCCGTGGTTGCTGAGGAACTGAACGTAAGCACCGTCGACCTTGACGCGGCCGGCAGCCTTGCGCTCGAGGTAGTCCTCGCGGCGGAGAGGGGTGAAGCCCCAGTTCTTGGAGATGATGATCTTTTGGCGACCAGGGAACTTGTACTGCGATCGTCGGAGAGCCTCCAGGGCGAGGGCACGGTCTAAACACTCAGTCAGCTTCTGCTTGCCCCACGGAGACGCTTACGGGGAACGTACTGGAGTCGCGAGTGCGGACGCTCATGATGATCTGGCCGATGTTGACACGGGCGACAGTGCCGTTGGGCTTGCCCCAGGCACCACGCATACCGGTCTGCAGTCTATCGGCACCAGCGCACGACAACATCTTGTTGATACGGACGACGTGGAAGGGGTGGGCGCGGACGCGCAGGTGGAAACCCTCCTTGCCGGTGTGCTTGACCAGGTACTTGTTGGCGCAGATACGGGCGGCCTCGAGGGCCTCGGAGCTCAGCTGCTCATACTCGTTGGAGACGAGGTGGATGCAGAGAGGGAAGTCGTCGACGTTCGCACGCTTTCGGCCGAGATCGAAGATGCGGATCTTGGGGTCAGGGACACCTCGGTTGAACCGCGACTTGGGGAACGGCTGTAGGAGAAGAAGGCGTCAGCGAACATGATCTTGGTCGGACATGGTGACGACATCGTCACTCGAGACTCTCATTTCCAACTTGTTCGTCCAGCCGACGAAACGTTTTCGAGTCGAAAATGAAGCCCCGAGCATCGCGGAAAGTCGTGAGGGAGTCGGAATCTCACCTTGTTCTTGCAGTAACGGTAGCAACGAGCAGGACGACGCGCCATCTTGTCGGATTGTGCTGATCTGTCCGAGAGTCGGTGATGTGTTGGGGGGGAAGATGCGGCCAGCGAAAAGAAGCGGACTGCCTGTTCTTCAGACTGCGCACCACTTTGATTTCAAAGCAATGTTGGTCAGCCCGGCGGTGGTGCCTGTCGCTTAAACCGCGGGGCTTTAGGGCTCAGCCAAACTCGGCGATCTCGTCTCATTGGCGCGTTGGGCCAGCCCTGCCCCGCAATTCTCTATCCACCCGAAAATCAGAAAACTTAACCACCAAGTTGCGACGAGCTTGTCTTCGTCCTCTGCATCACCCAGCATCGTCAATTTTCGTCGTCGCCAGCCGCCCAATACCGACACAATGGCCCCTCAGAAGAAGAGCAAGAAGGATGCCAACAGCATCAACTCCAAGTTGGCGCTGGTCATGAAGTCCGGCAAGGGTATGCTTGCGCCCGCTTGCTGCAAATGCAATGGCTGCAATTGCAATTGACACCCGTCGTTAACAACTCGCACAGTCACTCTCGGCTACAAGTCTACGCTGAAGAGCCTTCGTTCCGGCAAGGCCAAGCTGATCATCATCGCTGGCAACACTCCCCCTCTCCGCAAGAGCGAGCTGGAGTACTACTCCATGCTGTCCAAGGCCCCCATCCACCACTTCGGCGGCAACAACGTAAGTGCACGATATTTCTTTACCAGCACGATGCCGGCCTCGTCAGGCCTGGCTGCTCTTCGCGAGCAAATCTCTGCTTAGCAAGAACCAAGCGTTCTTTGCGACCTACCCAGAGAAAAAGTCGTCTCGACTTTGGAGGGTTCACATTGGCTTACTCTTTACCCTGCAGATTGAGCTGGGCACCGCTTGCGGTAAGCTCTTCCGTTGCTCCACCATGGCCATCCTCGATGCCGGTGACTCCGACATCTTGAGCGACCAGCAGGCTTAAGTTCCCGCAAGGGAGCTCTGCATTTCTCGGCGTTCGGGGTAAAATGGGTTCACGGGCACTTGAGGATATACCAGTCAATGTTATGCGATCACGAGAGACACTTGATCAGAGGATCTTTCGGCCGTCCGCGGCCGCAAGCCGTTCCTCTCTGCCTGTGCTGCAGCTACTCTAGGAATAAGAGGGCTGTTACCACTGGAGATGGTCACCTCGATATTAAGAATAAATCTGATGACCTTTTTACTCCCCGCCATCGATACCGCCCTTCAATGTTCCGTCTCACTTGTGAATGTTGCCTGGGCAGCCCGTCGGTCGTGGTTGGCATGGTTTCCCTTCTCTGCAGGAGGCTGGTGCCCATGTCTCGGATTCCCTCGTGCAATGTTCCATGTGCGCGTGCAGTTGTGAGTGTTGGCAAGCAATGACCGTCATAATATCATGTCCTGGCAAGCCAATCATGCCCTAGACTTCAATAACAGTCGAGGATTCAGGGCGTGCTCAAGCAGTCGCAATTTCGACCATGCGCGTGGCAGTGATGCCGCTCAATCTCGCTGGACGATGAAATGTCAATGCGAGGCTGCCAGCCAACCTTTGTACCGCAAAAGACCGGCAATCCAGCGGCGGCAAAGCCACGAGGAAAGACTGAGCCGCCAGTCTTTGGTCACTTCTCATGAGCAACTGCTCGGTAATCGGATGTGCGGGCAGACAAGATGAGGGCCGCGAGGCCCCCAATTTCCTGAGGTTCTGTGGTAACCTGCAGAAGGGAGTTCGGAGTACAACATACATGGGTTTAATGCAGGGCTGATGCACATGACATGGAGCCATGATGAGCCGCCGCCACACGGGTCGGGAGGAGTTGGACGTAAGAAAGAATATCCCATGGGTTCTTTCTGCCGCGTCCGTAAGCCAGCATTGCAGGAGTCGCCCGTCAGCCGCTGGCGATCACAGGCACAAGCAGCTCCCGAGGCACTCCAGCCTGCATGTCCGCGTCTGGACGCCTTGCAAGTCACCATCTCATCATGATGGAGGGTGGATGGGTGGGTGGCCCCGGGCAGTCAACAGGGCCTGGGCTGAGGGCAGGCCAGGCCAGGGAGAGCCAGTGGAGGGTCCCGCATCAGGCCGCCTCCGCGACCCCGACTATTTCGAGAAGTCTTGGGGGCCTGAGATTAAGCCCGGAGGACGCTAGCTCCATCTGGGCTGGCACCCCCCTGCCCTGGGCGGACTGGTGATTATAGGGGGCCTGCACCAAGCGCCCAGCGGCTGGCTCAGCGCTGGACTGGTGCAACTGCAGGGTGGAGGGCAACCCGCAGGCGGTCATCCAGTCAACCGGAGGAACCTGTGACTGGGCGCTGACAATCCTCCATTCCGTAGCCCGCGGACCCTTTTCCTTCCATCAACAACAAAGCAATAACCCATACATATCTTCAGCAGCCACGCAGCCCGTCAGTTGCTGCATGTTTGCTCCGTGGTCGCCTCGCCCTTTCATCCTCTCCTCCCGCATCGCGCCCCCGGGCCCAACGCATTGACGCGCGGTTCACGAGTCAGGTGGAGCTCAGGCACCTTTGAGTCGGTGGGCAGGCGAGACGGGACAGGCCTTGTGGCATCTTGAACAACAACCACCGCTGCCATCGACACATGCACCTGTCCTGCACTACGACTGCAACGCTCGACCGAATACTGCTACCCGCATCCTTACCGGGGCGCAACATCAGTAGCGCCGCGTACCACTTGCCTGCGGTTTTCCCGTAGCCCCCAAACAACGCACGTCCCGGCGCAACCCCTCCAACAAGACCGAGCGATATGTCAACGTCGGTGTCCAAGAAGCCGCCATCTGGCGGTGTAGGGCGCGTGTCGACGGCCGACAGCGGCTCCTCCTCGCCGGGCACCTCGCCAGCGCGCAGTGCGCAACGGTCGTCGACACCAACGGCACACGCCCGAACCCGATCCGTTCGAGGCGGCGCGCCAGTGTCGGCTCGCGCCGCCGTCGCACGTCGAGACAGCAGCGCCTTGGGCAGCGCCGAATCCGATGCGCGAGCCGAGAACGCCTCCGCCGTCGAGGACCTCCAGCAGCGCCTGGAAAAGGAAGAAAAGTCATCCGAGCAGTACAAGAAACAGGTCGACGTTCTCCAGTCCAAGCTGGACGACGTGGTGAAGGAGTCGGCAAGACTAGAGGAGAAGGTGCACGAGTACGAGGAGCAGCTCGAGGCCCTCAGGAATGAAAAGCGAGATGCGACTCGTCAGATTCGGGAGATGGAGAACATTTACGAGGCGGAGCGAAGCGCGATCCTCAAGGAGAAGGAGGAGCTGGCGAATAGGGAGGAGGAGATGCAGACCGTCATTCAGCGGCTCAAGGACAATCTTGCCCAGAGGAACAACACCGATGACGACGGGAGGCCCTCCAGACAAAGTATGTCCTCGCCCCGCGGGCAGATCTCGGCGCCCGGCCACCCAGAAGCCGTTACTGACTCTCCTCCTGCAGCAGCTAGCTCGTCTCCGTCGCTCGACGGCGGCAGCTTCGCCCCTCCATCATCCCTCCACCGCAGCGACTCCCGGAACAGCTCCAAGCTCATCTTGCAAAAGGACAAACTCATCGAGTCTCTGCGGCTGGAACTCGCAGAGGCGCAGATCAAGCTCGTCGAATCCGAGAACCAAGGCGGCGGACGGCTTCAGGAAGTCGAACGTCTGCTCATGGAAGCACGCATGGCCAACGCCCGGCTTATGGAAGACAACGAGAGCTACCAGTTGCTCCTCCAGGAGAGGACCCTCAAGGGCGACTTCGGCCAAAGCGACTTCAGCTATATGGGTGCCAGCGCCAACCAGGATGCCCTCAACGCTCTGGAGGGCAAGACGGGCGGCTCGAGCCTCGCCGACGAGTTGTCCGATGCTGCAGCGGCCGAGGGCGAGGGCGACCGCCGCCTCGAGGCCGAACTCAAGGCCATGAGGGAGCAGAACAAGGCCCTCACGCTATATATTAACAAGATTATCGAGCGCCTGCTTCAGCACCAGGAGTTTGAGCACATCCTCGACCAGTCGGGCGATATCAAGGCGGCAGGGCCCGACACGAACAAGGACCTCCCTGCGCCGCCGGGCGAGAAGCCCCTTCCGAGCGGGCCATCTCTGCTGCAACGGGCCAAGTCGATGGCCGTGGGACAACAAAAGCCCAAACAGCGGCCCGTTTCGATTATGCCCGTCTCCAACGCGGCGAGCTCTGCGCACACCGACCCGGAGACGGCCCCGAGCATCCCCATCGGGAACCTTGGGCGTTCTGCCAGCACGAGGCGGTCCAGGCCGCAAAGTGATCAGTTCACTGGCGCCGCGAGCCTCGTCGGCCAGATGTACAAGGGCCCGGACGGTCCGGCATCGCCCACCCTCGGCAACCCCCGGCACTCGCACTCGTTCTTCGCGGGCCGCGCCTCGAGCGGGAGTCAAGCTCCCTCCTCCTCGGGTAACTTCCCGGGCATGAGAAGCGAGACGTCCAGCCTGAGCGGCGACTCCAACAACGACAACGTCTCGACGCCGCCCTCCCAGTCGCCGCCCAGGTCGCACAGCGACAAGGGGACGACGTTTTCGGGCGCGAAGCCTCGGCCGCTGCGCCTGGTGCAGGAGAACCAGGACGTGGTTAAGGACAACAAGCGATCGAGCTGGTACTCGGGATGGAGCTGGGGCGCCAAGAAGGAGGACTCGGCGTCGACGGCGCAGGCGCCGCCCGCGGGCAGCACGATCCCGGAGTGATGATGCCTTTTCCCCCCTCCCCTTCCCCTTTTTTTTTCGCTTTTCGGTCCCGCGCGGATACAGTACGGGCTGGGGTGACGTTGATATGAGATATCTCGGGCACATGAGAGGGCGTCTGGGGCGTGTAGACTCATCTTTATTTCTTCACGGGCAGAGACAACACACATTTTTTTTACACCGTCTTTGTGACTGTGACCTGGGACAACGGCGGGACGGTTGGATAGACCATTGTAAGGAGTGAGCGGATGGGAGGAGGAGGAGAAGGGGGGAGAAGAGAGGGACGGCGGCGCGTACTAATCGTGGTCTCGTCGTGGGTTCGTGGGAACCAACAGTGTCTTTTTGGCCGGCCACCACCATTGGCATGTACGATTTTTACGTCACTACGGAGTATTAGATGCATCTCCTTTTTGGCTGAGTCAAATGGTAGATGATTGTATGTATGCTCAAACACTCGGACCAGACTGTTCCCATGATTGATCGATTGCTTGCACACTCACACGTCGCGAGAGACTGGTCGTTCCCATGCTATTTGTCATTGGCAAGTACCGGGTAGGCAAGAGTGATACCCCGTCATGACATTGTTCTTCGATGCAGGCATCTCGACGCCAGGCAGACGAGGCAAGTAAAGCCTCTTTCTGGACCATGAGGACATGTCCGCTTCGGGAGCAGATGCCAGAAAGAGCAGCAGCAGCAGCAGCACCATAACCCCGGGGGAAGTCGCCACGAGAGGATGCCGTCTCGGTCCTATAGGATCGCTCCCGCGCTCTCGGGACGATCACGACAACGGCTGTCCCCGCGGATGGGAGTTTTTGTTTTCAGCCGCTTGCTCAGTCGGCAGCACTCCCTCCTTTGTCATCCCCGCCTCTCGGCCGTGATGGGGAAGCGGGAACTTCGCGACACCACCATCCGCGTGCAGCGGGAGGAGGAGGAGAGACAGTGACGGGCAGGGAGGGAAGGAGGCGACTCACGAGGTGCCACGACGGGGTGGTGGTGCGCGCGTGTGCGGCGCGGCAGCAGTCCGCGGTGACGCCTCCGTCTCGTTGGAGAGGGTAACGAACGACGTGAACAGCAGCGGAGCCGATCAGACGTACGCGTGCGCGTGTACTGTATGCACGAAGGGAGAGGTAATCTCACGACGAATGGACAGAACCCCCCCTGTCTCTTATACACATCTAGATGTGTATAAGAGACAGCCCGGGGATCTGTCTCTCTTTGGGATGCGGATCCGGATGCGGATAACCTTACTCAGGTCTACGTGCAGGAGGACGACAGGCTGGCGCTGGGTGGTGCTGGCTCGTGCGTGGGGAGATCGTGTGTGTGTTAGATAGTCTTTGAGTACCAAGTACGAAGCGTGTCGTGTTGATGCCCGACGAGCAGCTAGTCCTGCTGCAGTTCCAACCCTGGACAACAACATTGAATCACGCCGCAGGTCTTACGCACGGGAAAGGCTCGGATGGTATGGCATTGGCACCACGCAGGCGCCGGCAGACTTTGCATCTTTGCCACCTGTGCCGCAAGCGGGATATGTCGGTGTTTCTGGCTGTGCCGTGCAACAGACTACGCACGTACGTAGTTCCCAGGCAAGGGACACATGCATGGTGATGGAGCGAGCCCGGCCGGCCGAGAGAGCACAGGCTCGGAATGCCCATTCGGAGCATTCAGTGCCGAGGAAGGGCGGTTGAGCCGTTCCGGAAGCTCGCGGGAGCACATGATGATGCGCGTCCTCCAGGACCCTGCTTGACGGGTAGCACTACTGTTCCGTACGACGGAGCACTCGGTTTCTTCAAGAGTGCCACGACCGCGCGCTCGCTTCGCGGGTCGTGTTGGCCGGCGGCGCAGTTGGGCGACAGTGCGGGAGAACGCATCCCCACCGGCATCCAGGGCAGGGAAAAGCCAGGCCCAGAGAAGGGGACACCGCCTTTGAGGACGGGCGACAACTCGCAAGGTCTGGAAAGGGCACGCCGTCTTCCCCGCCCGGAAAGCCGGCTGTTGATGGAGACATGCGCAGGAACCCGGAGCTATGCCACAGGGCCCCCGGCGCGTGACCTGCACGGGATGTGCAGCCCAGGCGTCGTTGGGGCCAAAGAGGAGCGACGCTGACGGTCTGGTGGCTGCGAGGGCTGTCCAGCCTGTCGAACGAGGGTGCGCCGGCCCCAAGGGTGGGCATTTCATGCTGTAACCGTATTTAGTGTGCTTGATGCAGACGAAGTACAGCCAGGGAAGAGGTTGACAGCATCACCAAAGAGTTTCAAATACATCGTCACGGGGGCGCGGGATCGCGCAGACAACAGCCGAGATGGTGCTCTCAACGTCCAGCATGCATCTTGTGATGGACGCGAGCGGCGCGGTCAACAGAACGCGCGTTCGAGGACGGCCCGCCTGCAGCCCAACCCGTGGATGGTGGGCGTCACTGGTCTGCCGGGACGGGAGGCAGGGATGGGCGCGCTGCGCTCGCCTCGCGGGTGCCTGTTGTTGTTGTTTGCTCCCGCCCGTCCGTGGAGAGGGCCTCGCGACCAAGGGGGTGCAGGGTTTGGCTGGAGGCGTGTCACGCTGTGAGAGGCTGCTGGAGAAGGGGCACGACGCAGCTCAGGCCTGGTCCGTGACGGCTGGCCCCCTCCCCAACCGGTGCTCCGTCACTGGCTGAGGGTCGTCTTCAGAAGCGTTGAGCGGCTGGAGCTGGTCTGCCCAGGCCACCGGGATTCAATCGCTGCCCATTTGCAGTATGCAGCAGCGATAGCACAGTATGTACCCTCCGTACGGAGTACAGGGCTGCCGGATGCTGTGGGCTGACATGCTGCTGACCGACAGTTTGAGGGAGATCCGAGGTTGGCCGGCCCCGTCCTGCTGCTGCTGGCAAACAGTATGTACAGCACAGTACAGTATGTACGGAGTATGCAGGCGCTTCGATAACTCTTCGGGTTCCAACTCGGGGCGTTTCTCGACCCTGCCGCGCAGATACGTGCATGCAGCGCCCGCAATCAGACCGATCGTGGAGGCTCCGAGTCTCTGGGCTCCCTCGGCTTCTCATCGTTGTTGATCGCGATGCCACAGCCATCGAGCACCTGGCCGCCGGAGCATATGCTGCGGCTTCAGCCCCAAGCAGGTTTCGAACCAAGTAACCGGCGGGCCACAGCATCCGCCAACCCGCCAGATTGGGTCCTGGCCGAGCCGTCGTGTGGGTGCGGCGTGTGGGGTGCGTCGTCCGCTGGCCGCGTGCATGACCGGCCGGGCAAGCCAGGCACCACCTCGTCGTGACAGGGAATGATTGTGCGCCTGCAATCATCGATCCCCGGAACCACGGTGATCCTGGCAGCTGGCGTCCCGTGACATCCGGCAGCAGTTTCGTCCGTACGAAGCAGGTTGTGTTTGCTCGCGTCCAGTCGTCAGCTCGCACCAGCTATCTTCTTGACGGCCACGACAACGGCTGAGACATGAGATCTGGCTGGGACGATTGCGCCGAGGTATCGTGCCACCTCTACCTTGTAGGGCGACCACTCTCGGGCGTTCCCTGGCGAGCGCGATACTGAGCTTGCTGGCCTGCCAGGCCGTGGGGGCCGGAGACAGGGGGCTTCGTTGCATGGCGCCGCCTCTTGGGTCGACGCGAAGATTCGCACTCGTGGACACTGAGCCCATGTCCCAGCAAAGCTGGCCCCTTGTCGGTGGACGTGCTGTGATTTCATGACCGCTACTTGGGCATCTGGGCACAAAACAACCGGGAGTCTGCTGCGTCGTTGCATGTCTCTCCCGGGAATGCGGGTGCGGCTGCCGATGGGCCATGCCAGCCAAGCTTAAACCAGTCCGTCCATCGTGTTTGTTCGCTCGGGCGGGTCATGTGGATGGCATCTCGCTCACCGTCAGTCTGGAGAAAGGAAGGCACCTACTCGGGGGTGTTGAGGCCGCATGCTTTTCGATGGACCCATCCAAGCCATGTCGGCTGTTGAGGCGCTGGCTGGCAGTCGAGACAGAAGCGTGCTGGAGAAACTCTCAGCGCGGGCGTGTTTGCTGGACCAGAAACCATGGTGGATGAGTGGGCACGGGGTTCCAGTGCCTTCGGTCAGGTCGTCGAGTACCGATACTTTGGCATCCACCATAGGATGGGCGACGCCGAGGTGTCTGTACCGGGTGACGACAAGCTCCTTCCCCTCTTGCGCGTCCTTGGCTGCGCCGCCCTGTAACCTTGCGGGCGCCGCCCTGCAGCAGGACGAAGGGGCACGGGCACGCACCACAACAGGGTACCTGCCTGGTACGCAGGTAGCGGTCGAATGACGAGGGCCACTCAGCTTGAGACCTGAGGCGGTAGGTACAGCTCGAGTACACGTCAGTCGTCGCGGTGCGTGACGGGACGGATCCCTGTCGCCTGCCCGCCTCAAGTCGCTTCCATTCACCGTCTCTGCCGGGGGAACCTTGAAGCCTCGGGCCCAGTCGTGCTTCTGGAACCAGAAGGACGGGCCAGGGCCTGCCTTCCAAACGTCTCGCTGTGTGCCGACGCTCGGTCGTCTCTCTTGGTCTGTCTCTGCCTCCCTCCCACCGGCGCAACAGACAGAACAAAGGACCTCCCACCGGCTCGTTCCAGCTGCTTCCACGTACGTACGTATTGCCCGCGCGCCACTGCTGTCACCGCGAAAACAACATCACGCCGCTCGGCCGCCTCCGATCTCACTGGGACGGGCAGCGCACGCAGATCCGGGAGAGCGCCCAACGGCACCTCCGCGTGTGCCTTGTCCTGCCTGTAGACTTCGCACGGACGGCCCCGCGCCGAGCAGCCACGGTGCGCACAGTGCCCAGAGGCGGTCGTACGGCGCGCGGCGGGTGGCCTGCATTACCTCACACCTCGCACATCGCAGTCACCACACCTCGCGCGACGACATCATTCACCTCGATCCACCTCATCGGCCCCCTCCTCGAGACTCCAGCCCGGCGAGCACCTGGCCTGGCTGGCCCCGTTCCCCCTCCCCATCCCGGCGGCGAAGGTAACTACACGCCGGTCCGCCCCAGTCGCCTCCCCCCCATCACACACCTACCACAGGACAACCTTTTGACGGCGAGCCAGCCCAGCGCCCGCTCGTGAAAAAACAGGGCCCCCGGGGCCTCCACTGCACTGTCCTGCACAGGACGCCCTGCCCGGCCCTGCCTCCAGTGTGTCGCCGCAGCGCTGGAGCGACCTGCCAGCCCGCCCCGGGTGTGCCACCGCACCGCACCGCACCTCAGCGCCAGCACCCGACGGGCACCTCACCTGTGTCATTCCCTGCGCGCTAAAGCCCCAGCGGCCAATCGCCCGACGTCACCCCCCCGGCGCCCCTGCTCAATCGCTCGACTTCCCACGTTTCCTTGGCCCCAGGGCTTCTGCAGCCAACAAACACCCCAACACCAAAAGACCCCGTCCCTCCCGGCGTCGTCTGCTCAGGCACTCTTCGCCATCCCACCTGCATCGCACTCCACGCAGTCACGCACGGCCAAGCCTCAGTCGCTCACGTCCAGACCGAAGCCAGCGACCTGCCGAGGCGACACGCACCGCACCGCGCCGCGCCGTACCGCAACGCAACGCATCGGCGTTGGGCATCACGCTCGGGTCTCTTCGCCGATCCTCCCCAGACTGCATCCATGACGAGCCACGCACAATGACACTAGCCCTCGACCTCCATTGCCAACAACAAACCCACTGAGCCATGCAGCGCAACGACCCTCCCGCACCCACGGCCAAGACTCCGCCCGCCGGTGACGCTGCCCAAGCTGCCGCGCCGACCACGGCCAGCACCATGGCGAGTCAACAGGCCGCCCCCGGCGGCTCCAACCTGCCGTCTGCAAATGCGCCCGTGTCCAGCGTACAGACCTCGAAGCAGTCGTCAGCGGCCAACTCCAACTCCCAGTCCCCCATAGCCTCCCGAGACGGCTCTCCCGCTCGAAATCCCCGAAGGAGCTCGTCGACGCAGCGACTCGGCAGCGCGACGCGCTCTCGAAAGAACAGCCAGCACGACCCGAGCCCATCGAGACCTGCCAGGACGAGTATCCCCGAACCGACGTCAGCGCCGCGTGCCCTGTCGTCCACGACACCAAGTCTACGCCCAGCCAGCAAGGAGCCGCAAATACAGGCTCCCACGCCACAGAAGCCGCCTATAGTACAGGAACTGAGGGACAACCCCAAGTGGCCCGTCTCGCCACGCATTCGATCGCCGCCGCCGCAGTTGGCCAAGTCAAGTGCTGCGGCCGCTGCTCGAAGAAGCGAGCAGGAGCCGCCGTCTATTAATGTCCAGAGGCCAACTCCGTCACCCCATCCTTCCGACTCCCAGCTGCCAACACCAGAAAGCGATACAGATGAGTCGCACATGCAGTCGGGTATTCGAACTCCGGCTCGCGGCCCCCTGGAGACCGTGCAAGAGGTCAGCCAGAACAACTCTCCGGCGCACCCCCGCGACAACGCACTGGTGGAGCATATCAAGGAGAAACTCGGCGGCGTCGACCCTTACGCGGACGCTGCGCTGAGCGATACTGGTGCGATGCAGAAGACCAAACCAACCATGGCCGGCCTGCAGGCCGTGGGCGATGCGTCCAAGGCTGAACTGAGGAGGCCGACCTCGGTGCCCCCTCCGCTCGTCTCCCGGCAGTCGAGCGCCATGTCGGCGAAGCAGTCGAAAGCAAAGCCCGAGGGCTCGACGCAGAACATGACAGTGGAGACCGAGACTGTCCCCAGCGTCCCTCAAGTAGCGCTCACTGCAGGCCAAAAGTCGGAAGGCGGCAACGGCACACTCAAGGCAAAACCAAGCACGGAAACAATCAAGCCGAAGAAGGAGAAAAAGAAGCCTACGCGAAAGCAGCCGGCTGTCAGCTCGGCGACAGGTAAGGAAACTCGCGGCTAGGACGACAGACTGGTTGCTGACGAGGGTAATAGGTTCCAAGGCGGACATTTTCGAGGCCAAAATTGCCAGCGCTGTCGACGAGGCCAACACGTCTGATTCGGAGGAGACCTTTGTGTATGACTCTAACCCGCCAGACACCGCCGAGCGGTCAAACCGGCGTTTCCATTCTCGAACCCCAAGCGCAACATCCATGGCAAGTCAAGCAGACCGCCAAAATCTTCGATCCATCTACGGCGTCATGCAAGACGGGAGCCACGGTTCTGGCCACCCTCACGGCCCGGTACCGAAAAAGAGCATGAAGTTTGTCAACACTTTTAACGGCAACGCGAGCGATAGCTTGACTCCTGGTGAGGAAGACGGCAAAGGCACTGGGCGGAGCGCTGGTGGTTCCGCACGAGGCACTGTGCGCCATCATCACCATATTGGCAGATGGGGTCGTCAGCCTGGCAACGGCCATGCTTCCCTATTCGACAATGAGTCTCCATTCCCCAACGCCGCGAAATCCAAGCTAGGGAGCAACACCTCGCGGAACTCGTCTGGCCCACCCAGCCCTCGCAACTATCACTCGGCCCGTGGCCACTTGAGCACTAAGCGGTCCAACATGCAAATGTCTTCGAGCTACGACTTGGATGACACGACCGGCGCCGACGACGAACGAACTCCGCTTCTTGAGCAGGGCCGTTCTTACCGTGGCGGACGGAACAGGCGCGGGCCGCACAACCTGCGACAAGCCGAGTCGCAGACATATACGAGACGATCCTCGTATCTGAATCGTTTTGCCGCCTGTCTTGTCCTGACCATGATGTTTCTCTTGGTCATCACTGGCGCCATCGGGTTCATGTTCGCGACGTCGCAACCCATGACCGGCATCGAGATCGTCTCCATCACAAACGTGGTGACCAGCCAGCAAGTCTTGATGTACGATCTCACTGTCAAGGCACACAACCCCAATATCGTGGTTGTAACCATCGACCACGCAAACCTGGAGATATTCGCCAAATCGGAACATGCTGGCACCGACTCGGAATGGAGATCACGTGGCGCAGATGACGTTCGTGCTCGAGACGATCCAGTCAACGACCCACCCAAGGGTCCCGGTGAGGGCGATGATGGCGACTCCAGGCCAAACGTTCTACTCGGGCGCATCACGGAGTTCGACAGCCCGCTCACATTTGAAGGCTCACTGTTTCATCAAGGCAGCTCGACATCGAGCGCCGAGATGCAGCTGGCCAATCCTGGAAACGACACAACAGGTGGTTCGGAACGGTGGGAGCGCATTTACCAAAACGAGTTCGACCTCATCATCAAAGGGGTGGTCAAATACAGCCTTCCCCTTAGCGCTCATGTCCGCAGCGCCACGGTATCCGGGCGAACGACGGTCAAGCCCAACTCGGCCAACGATCCTTCCCATAAACCCAACAACACTCTTTCTGCCGTTTCTTGACAGCATGATGCCCTCCGCAGGCATCCTTCTCTCCTTTGTCTTTCTTGGTCTTGTGTAGCTTGAGCGGGCGTGCATGGCATCTGAGGAGTGTTGGCGTTGAAGGCATCTCCATACCACATCCTGCGGGAGCGGTCGAGATGTAACACTCTCGCGTTTTCTTTTGCTTCTTTTGGGTTATAGACAGGCCGGAACTCACCGAACCCGACACGCTGCCTCTGGGGCGAACCAACATGGTTTCAGAGCTCCAAAGCATTCACGGGTGGTCTGCCTCCGCGCCGAACGGATCAATCTGACGGTACAGACAAGCAAGCTGGCGAAACAGGGGAAAACACAGCATACCAAGCGATAGAGGCGTCATAGCACCTTTTACTTTTTCCAATAAAGTGGAGGTCTCGTTTGTTTCTACTCTGAGTGATGATAGATGGGAGGAGAGGGGCACCTGTGGTCTGTAACTTTAGCGACCTGACGACTAAAAAACGAACGATGAACAAGTTTACGGCCGCGACGATGAAGGAGTAGCTGGATGGCCAGGCAGGACGGTGATGGATCAGTTTGTGAGAATGGGGCCCTGGCAGTCAGACTAGAGAAGGTAGCTGGTTGATGAAGAAAACTGTGCCAAACACTGCGAAGCCCCTGTCTTTTAAAGTGCAAATTTTGTTCATCGAGATGAAGTCATGCTAAGTCCCAGAAACGATGGCTATGTAGATCCCGTACTTTCGACTCCCCGATGACACGCCAAAACGCCGCCAACCCTAAACCGCACGAGCCCCAAGGATATGGCATCTCTCATCAAGTACGCTCAAACAGGCGTGGCGGCTACGAAAAGTGGATGCCCTCGTTATTGAAGGCCCAGAGAAGCCGCAAGAAGTCGTTTTCGTCGCACTTGCCGGCACGCTTGTCGGCCAGCTCCGTCTCGTCCTCGAGGACCTTGCGTATCTTCTCGCGGACGAGCTCGGCGACCTTTGTCTTCTTGCGCTTGCTCTTGGTCTTGGCGGTCGCGGCGCCGGCGGCGCGCAGCTCCTTGAAGAAGTCGGGGGCGTCATCGCCGTCGACGTCCATGCCCTCATCGTTCTCGTCGGCGGGCGCGTCGCCACCGTCCATGTCCATGTCCTCCTCGGCCGCATCGCCGCTCTCGTCGTCGACCAGGGAGTCGTCGACGGGGACTCCGTTCATGGCGCACCAGGTGCGGTAGTTGCGCTCGACCATGGCGAGCACTTCCTTGGTGCCGAGCCAGCTCGCGCGCAAGGTCTTGTTCTTGCGCACGAAGCAGACGCGCAGGAGGCCGTCCCACTCGTCCCAGCTGACGTTGGGCCGGTCCTTGCCAATCTTGGGCTCGATGCGCACGACCGAGGACTCGACCTGCGGAGGGGGGCGGAAGTTGTTCTTGCCGACCTTCATGACGTGCGTGATCTTGGCCCAGAACTGGGCGTTGACGGAGAGTCGGCAGTAGAGCGCGTCGCCGGGGCGGGCGGTGAGGCGGAGGGCGAATTCGCGCTGGAACATGAGGATGGAGGTGCGCGGAGGGTTGGGCATGGCGAGGAGCTTGAAGACGAGGGGCGAGGAGATCTGATCCCAAGTGTAAGTAGATGCGCCTTGGGCAGGGGAGGGAAAGCAGGGGGGAAGCACATACTTGATAAGGGGTATTTGAAATGCAAACATCAAACGCTGGCAGTTCCGTCTTGATCACATCGCCGAGAATGACCTCGAGCTTGCGCTGCTCGGGCTTTCCCTGGACTCGCTTCGTCACTTCGGCCGCCATTCGCGGGTCCAGCTCCACGCATATGCACTTCTTGGCCTTTTCCAATATCCGGACCGTCAAGTTACCCGTTCCGGGGCCGATTTCGAGGACGGTGTCGGTCGGCTTGAGGTAGGCCTTGTCGACGATGGCGTCGGACACACCGGGGTTCTTGAGGATGTGCTGGCCGAAGTTGGTGTTGAACTTGAAGACGGTGTTCTTGGCCGACCCGGCGCCTCCCCCTGCGCCGCCACCGCTGGGCCGCTCGTAGGGCGTGCTCGACGCGCTGCTGCGCTTCGCTTGCTTCGTCTTCGCCATGGCTGCGGGATGAGGTGGACGAGGGGGCCGGGCGGTATGAGGCGGTGGAGGGGCGGATGGTGGTGAAGTGGGAAACTTTTTTTTGGCGGCCAGGGCTATCGATAAGAGAACCCGCCCTGTGCCAAGTTGAGGCGTCACTGGTCAAAACCTTTGGCATTGTAGCGTCGACACGCCACCAAATTCGCACCAGTGCTTAGCTTGCCTGACACCCTGCTTGCTCAAGAGACAACTTCACCCGCGCCTGTCCGGCAAGGCAACAGAGCCCGCTGCGAACCTCGACAGTCGGGCCGTCACCAACTCCCACCACACATCGCCAGCGCGACACCGCAACCATGTCCGGCCGACGCGACTTCCTGAGCCAGCCGGCTCCCGAGAACTACGTCGCAGGTCTCGGTCGCGGCGCCACGGGCTTCACAACACGATCCGATCTTGGCCCGGCGCGCGACGGTCCCAGCGAAGACCAGATCAAGGAGGCGCTGGCCAAGCGAGCCGCGCAGCTGGGCATCGCGCAGGACGGAAAGGACGGCAAGAAGGGCAAGGACGACCAGGGCGACGACGCCAACGACGAAGCCCGATACCAGGACCCCGATAACGAGGTGGGCTTGTTTGCCGGCGGCGTCTACGACAAGGACGACGAAGAGGCGGATCGCATCTGGGAATGGGTAGACGAGCGCATGGACCGGAGGAAGCGGCAGCGAGAGGAGCGGGAGCAGGCCGAGCGCGAAGAGTTTGAGCGCAACAACCCCAAGATCCAGCAGCAGTTCTCCGACTTGAAACGAGCGCTGGGTACGGTCACGGACGACGAGTGGGCCAGCCTGCCCGAGGTTGGCGACTTGACAGGCAAGAACCGAAGAAGCAAGCAGGCCCTGCGCCAGCGGTTCTACGCGGTGCCGGACAGCGTGCTCGCGGCGGCGCGAGACTCGACCGAGATGGGCACGACAGTCACCGACGACGGGACAGCGACGGGACGGGAAGGCGGCGACGGGACGATGACCAACTTTGCCGATATTGGCGCGGCCCGCGACAAGGTGCTCAAGTCGAGGCTTGAGCAGGCGTCGCAGAGTGCCGGCACCGAGTCCTCGGTGGCCGGCAGCGCCTCGACCATCGACCCGCAGGGCTACATCACCAACCTGAACAAGATGCAGATGAACGGGCAAGCCCAGGTCGGCGACATCACCCGCGTGCGGGAGCTACTGCAGTCCGTCGTCAAGACGAATCCCAACAACGCCCTGGGATGGATAGCCGCCGCGCGACTGGAGGAGCTGGCAGGCAAAATCGTTGCCGCGCGAAAGACCATCGACAAGGGTTGCGTGCAGTGCCCGAAGAGCGAGGACGCCTGGCTGGAGAACATCCGACTCAACCACGAGTCGCCAAACGCAAAGATCATTGCCCGCAAGGCCATCGAGTCGAACCCCAAATCTGTCCGGCTCTGGGTCGAGGCGATGAACCTGGAGAACATTCCTAGCAACAAGAAGCGCGTTATCCGCCAGGCGCTGGATAACGTGCCGAAGTCCGAGGCCCTGTGGAAGGAGGCCGTCAGCCTGGAGGACGACCCCAGCGACGCGAGACTCATGCTGGCCAAGGCCACGGAACTCATCCCCCTCTCGGTCGATCTATGGTTGGCCCTGGCGCGACTCGAAACCCCCGAGAACGCGCAAAAGGTGCTCAATAAGGCTCGTAAAGCCGTCCCGACATCGCACGAGATTTGGATTGCGGCCGCGCGGTTGCAGGAGCAGCTCGGCCAGGCGGACAAGGTCAATGTCATGAAGCGAGCGGTGCAGGTGCTAGCTAAGGAATCAGCGATGCCCACGCGCGAAGAATGGATTGGCGAAGCCGAGAAGTGCGAGGAGGAAGGGGCAACAGCCACCTGCCAGAACATCATCTTCGAGACGCTGGGCTGGAAACTGGACGAGGACGACGACCGAAAGGATATCTGGATGGAGGACGCGCGGGCGAGCATCAACAGGGGCAAGTACGCAACTGCTCGGGCCATCTACGCCTACGCCCTACGAGTCTTTGTGCACAGTAAGACTATGTGGACGGCTGCGGCCGACCTGGAGAGGAATCACGGCACCAGGGACGCCCTCTGGCAGCTCCTTGAGAAGGCCGTGGAGGCGTGCCCGCGCAGCGAGGATCTGTGGATGATGCTGGCCAAGGAGAAGTGGCAGGCCGGCGCCGTGGACGGGGCGCGACTCGTGCTCAAGCGCGCGTTCCAGCAGAACCCCGACAACGAGGACATTTGGCTGGCGGCCGTCAAGCTCGAGTCGGACAGCGGCAACGTGGACCAGGCGCGCAAGCTGCTGCAGATTGCGCGGGAGCAGGCGTCGACGGACCGGGTGTGGATGAAGAGCGTGGCCTTTGAGCGCGTGCACGGCAACCCCGAGGCGGCGCTCGACATGGTGCTCACGGCGCTGCAGCGATTCCCCGCGTCACCAAAGCTGTGGATGCAAAAGGGGCAGATCTACGAGGACCAGGACAAGATAGGCCAGGCTCGGGACGCGTACGCCACGGGCGTCAAGGCGGTGCCCCGGTCGGTGCCGCTGTGGCTGCTCTACTCGCGGCTCGAGGAGCGGGCGGGCCTCACCGTCAAGGCGCGGTCGGTGCTGGACCGGGCGCGTCTCGCAGTGCCCAAGAGCGCGGAGCTGTGGTGCGAGTCGGTGCGGCTGGAGCGGCGAGCCGGCAACCTCCCGCAGGCCAAGTCGATGATGGCGCGCGCGCAGCAGGAGGTGCCCAAGAGCGGGCTGCTCTGGGTGGAGCAGATCTGGCACCTGGAGCCGCGGACGCAGCGCAAGCCGCGCAGCCTCGAGGCCATCAAGAAGATCGACAACGACCCGCTGCTGTTCGTCGGGGTGGCGCGCATCTTCTGGGCGGACCGCAAGCTCGACAAGGCGCAGAACTGGTTCGAGAAGGCGCTGGTGCTGGACCCGGACTGCGGCGACAGCTGGGCCTGGTACTACCGCTTCCTGTGCCAGCACGGCACCGACGAGAAGCGCGAGGAGGTGGTGTCCAAGTGCGTCCAGAACGAGCCCAAGCACGGCGAGGCGTGGCAGGCGGTGGCAAAGGACCCGGCCAACGCGCTCAAGACGACCGAGGAGGTGCTCAAGCTCGTCGCGGCGGGGCTGGAGCAGTGAGGCCGCCGGCCGTCGCCCAGGACAGGGGAGGACAGAGAAGGACATGGCTAAGGTCGCGCGGGCAAGACGGGGGGGGGGGGACCATGGAGGCACGCTGACGCTTTTGTTTGTAGTAGTAGTATATCAACCATGCTTAGACGTTGGGGCGGAGGGGCCATTGGCACGGAGTTGGGCTGGGATCGTTTTTCGTCGCAAAGGCAGTCAGAGGGCAGAGTCCCCTGTCGCAAAAACATCAAGTAGACAGAATATTCAAGCGAGCAAGAAGAAGAAGAAGCAAAGTGAATTGACCTATCCGCAGTACACCGGAAGAAACAACATGGTACATACATACATGGCCCTCCTCCCCTTTCCCTCCCCTGGGCCGTCTCTTACACGTCGCCGGACATGTATCGAGTTGGCGCGACGCGCCACACTCTTCGCCCACCTGCCGCGGTAAAACACCCGCTCTCTCCATCTCTCGCCAATTACCAAAAAGACTAGGGCGCAACAATTGCTTGGGGGTGGGGGGGGGGGAATAAGGATGGCTGTTGGGCTGCCAGCTGGTCCGTCGGGGCCCGGTCGGTTGGTCGTCGGGGAGGAGAGGGAGCGTGAGGAAGTGTGGCCGGGCCGCCCGTACGCAGCAGACAGACAGAACAAGGAAGGAGTCGTCTCCTCTCACTTGTTGCCGCTGCCGAACCAGCTCGAGATGCCGCCCTTGGCCTTTGCGGCGCCCTCCTCGACCTTGTGGTCGAACTTGTCGACGGCCTTGAGGGCCTCTGCCTTGGCGTCCTTGGCGTACGCCTCGGTCTCGCTCTTGAGCTTGGACGCCTGCTTGTCGGCCTCGGCCCACTGTTGCGCGCGCGCAGGACTCTCGTCAGTCATTGAATACGCTTCTCACTCTTTGCCGTGCCGAGCCCACGTCTCTTCTTCAAGGTAGGGTAGGGGTTGAAAGATGACGGAGTAGTGGGGAGAGAGAGAGACGTACAGCCTTGTCAATCTTCTCGCCGGCCTGGGCGCCGTAGCCCTTGAGCTGGCCCTCGGCGTTGGGGGAGCTGCCGGGGAGGTGCGACTTTACGTTGGCGGAGGCCTTGTGGACGTCGCCTGTGTGTCCCATTGCGCCGTGTCAGTGACATCATCACATCCAGCGAGAGGTTTCGGCTAGTATGCGCGGCTGGAGGCGCTCACGGGCGCGCGCGCGCGCGCAATCGCGCATGGTTGATTCCAAGGGGGTGGGAGGGATCACGCACTCTCAAACTTGTTCTCGGCGGCCTTTGCGTTGCCGCCGGCGCTGTAGAGGTAGTAGCCGACGCCGCCGGCGGCACCGAGGCCGAGGATGAGGGGCATCCGCGACTTGGACATGGTGGGCGATTGTTGCGGGGGAGAGCGGACGGGTGTTTTACGGGAGACGAGGGGGGGTCGTCTGATTGAGTAGCTGCTTGGGCGGCAGGTGTGTTGAGGTTATTGCAAGTGAGGAGGTAGACGATGGAGGATTGGGCGGAGGGGGAAGGAAGAAGAAGAGGAGGAGGAGGAGGAGAGAGAGAGGAGGAGAAGGTGGTAACGGTGGCGCGCGGAGCCGGAGCTTGGAACCGGTAACTGACGGCTAACTGCACTGGAATGGGCTACCTTGCCTCTTTACCTCATGATGGGGATGGGCGGCCCAGACAGACAGCTTGGAGCTAAACAGCCTCCTGCCACTGCCACTGCCACTGCGTTGACAGGCCGGATGGCAGACGGGGGACAGGCGTGGATGGATGGCTGGACGCGAGCAGCTTGGGTGGATTCGGGCGAGCCTGATTCGCCGCCGTGGCCGCCCGGGTCCGGGATACATGACGTAGCTGCCTTGGTGTGCGCTCAGTATGGAGAGAGACAAGACTGCGTCGCGGGCTATAGGCCACGCCCGTGGGATATAGCCGCTGCATGAACATCTAAAATTAAAGAGTTTTTTTTTATTTATTTATGAGGGAGCCGACACCGTGCACGTTGTTGCGTGCTCGTTAGGCGCAACAAGACGCCCGTCGAGGCAGCGTCTACGAACAGCGCGGCGCAACGGGGGGCCGTGTAAGTGACTGGCGATTGATGAGGTGCCCAGAGCAATGCGGTACGTAGCGGATCAGAAGCTCCCAGCGATCGGCCATCGTACAGAAGGGTGGGGGCATCCCCGCTGGGAGCTCCACTGGGGCAGCGGCTAGGTGGTCTGCAGCAGCGCGTGGCGTGAGGTGGTGTTTCCGTCACAGGCCGTGCTCAGGCCATGCCAGGCGGGCTGGCCGTGGGGGGATTCGAAGCCTGAAGCTGGAGGTTCTCGGAACGGCTTGCGGCGGGCGGATGGGCGGGGCGGCAGCCTGCATGAGGTGCCTGCCCACCTCCCGCCACCACCTGGGCAGTCGGTGCCGGCGCGCACTGGAACACACCGGCCCTGGCTGAAGCCCGGGTCCGTGGCATGGAAGCCTGGGGCCAGCAAATCCTGGCTGGGGGGCCGACCGGCCTGGCAGCGAGGCACCCACCTGCCGTTTCGCCAGAGCAAGCTGAACACCCTTGCGCGCGGCGCACGACGGATCGAGGTGATGGGCAGCTAACACGTAGCGCCCGCTAATTATTACATCATCGACGAAACGCCCTGTCCGTCGTCCGGCTCTGTTGCTTGTGACGATGCCATGCCATCCCGTGCCAGGCGTCCAGGCCCTGTCTGCGTCCCGCCGCCTCAATACGTAACGTAGTTCGTCCACCTTGCTGGGCAGAGCAGAGTCAGTCAGTCGGTCGTCAGGGCTGGGCCAAGCACGCCGGCATCATCGCGGCCGTGAACCGTCGCCGCGCTAGAGGGACGCGACGCCGTGGCCGCCCCAGTCTCTCATGTTGAGATCGGCAGCAGCAGCAGCAGCAGCAGCGGTTCGCAGCTCTATCGTCCTTTTTGTCTCTGATGATTGCTGTCCTCGCATTTCTGCTTGTCCATCGACTCCATCCTTGTTCAGGCAGGGCAGGGTCCCACAGCCCTTGCTACTGCTGGTGCTCCCGCGTCCCCAATTTCCCATGGTCGTTCCTGCCCAGACCAGACCCATCGTCAGTGTGGCTCAGCGGCGTCGCCTGCTAGTAGTAATGAATGCTAATCCTACGTATGGAGGCAACCCTCAGCCCACTGCCGCGCCGCCGCTTTCAGCGACCGCATCGTCGCTTCCCCTACCTTACCTTGGGTAGCCCTCCCCATCGTGCGTGTGTGTGTGTGTGTGTGTCTCGGCCCTGAACTGAATTGAGGTGCCTGCCTCGAGAGGGAGAAACTGTTTTGCCTCCACCACTCTGTTTCCCCCATCCCAAAATCCGGTTTGTCGAGCGCCTCCTTCGCCGCCCGCCTGCTGGCACAAGTCCTTTTCTTCGCCATTGTTTGCGTGTGCTCTTTTCTTTTCGTTTCTTGTCTTTCCTCCATTGCACATCCTAGACGCACCAGACAGACAATCGTCCCATCTTTTGTTTCACATCACGCCTGTGGTGTCCTGCGGGGCGACGCCCACGTCCCTCGACGAGCAGCCTCCGCCGCAGCAGCAGCAGTAGCCACAACATCGGCGATCCGGCAGCGGCCATGTGCATGCTCCCCCAGCGCCGGCCATGGTGAGGGTCCGCAGTTCTCGCCGCGTCCCCGGCCTGCGGCCGAGTGACTATGATCACGAAATCGGCCTGGTCAACCACGACGAGGCGGAGCTGGTCCAGGGCCAGAGCTCCGACGAAGCGACACGCGGGGCCTCGACGAGCTCCCAGCTGGCTTCTCTCACCGAACAGACGGAGCAGGAGCAAGGCCTGAGGGCAGGCGAGCGGGCCGGCAGCACCTCTGCCGAGCCGCAGCCGTCGAGCGGCGACGAGCCCACCTTGGCCGAGGAACAGCTTCAACGCGATCGGAGCCTGCCCCAGGAGGAGCTCCAACATGAGGCGAGTCTGCCGCACCCCGCACTGCGGCCGTCCATTGAAGTCCAAGGTATGTTATACGTCACCCTGACAGTGACACGAGCCCTCTTGAACGCCCCTCATGCTAATTGCGCCGCCCAGCACCCACGCCCGACGCATTCAACGAAGCTCGTCATCGTATAATGCCCAAGAGACCCCGAGAAAAGCGAGAGACGGCCATAGACATTCTGTACGAGAATGAGAGAGGCGGTTTCCTTTGTGGCATTGCTCTCTTCTCGTCCCAGGCCCTCGGCGGACTAGATCCGCCAGCATGGAGTACGTGCTCCCTCGCCGTCCATGGCCAATCCACGTATACGTATGTGCTGACTCCTTTTTCAACAGCCAATGCATATCACAAGACATCCCCCACGAGCATATACACGGCGCAGGTCCCTGATCCCACCTGGGAGTGGGTGTGGCCGGAGTGGCGAGTCAACCATCAGGAGGGCATGGACGACGACGGGTGGGAGTACTCCTTTGCTTTTGGCAAAAAGTTCTCGTGGCATTCGGCCTCGTGGTGGAACTCCTTCGTCCGCAGGCGCGCCTGGATTCGCAAGAGGGCCAAGAAGAAGCTCGAGACGATGCCTTCGGACCCGCAACTACTCAACGCCGACTACTTCATCGTCCGTCCGGCGTCATATCGCAGTCGCACCTCCAACGGCAGCAGCCTAGCTAGCAGCCGCGCCCCAAGCAAATTTAGCTCGGCGGAAGCGTCCATTTCCGAGGCCGAGGAGCCTCTACCCGACATTGAGGACATTGAGACCCTGCTGCGAACATTGCGCTTGGCCCGGATAGACCGCGAGAAGCGGGAGGCGGTTGAGAACTACCTCGAGCACGGTACCGACTTGGGAGCCCTGCAAGGCGAGATGCACGAAATCATGTCGCTCTTTGTCTTTCAGGCTTCGCGGAAACAGCTTCTCGGCCATCTGATGCGCAAGCACGAAGAGACGGTGGCCGAGTTGGCCAAGGAGGAGACGGAGAACAAGGCTGAGTTGACCAAGCGCCGCGAGGCCCTTGATGCCGCCATCATACACGCCCATGAAGAAGTCAAGAGACTGGCATACTGGAGTGACATGAAGCGGATGGCCGAGAACGGCGAACTGAGGAGCTCGCTGGAGGCGGAGCAAGGCTGGTACGACACCGACGCGTATCAAGGGTTGGATCAGAGCGGGCCGTCGGCACCGAACAAGGGCCAGCTACCAGGATCCAAGGGAAAGGAACCCATTTCATAATCCTGTCTATAACCATTGCTGGTTTGTATACCCTGCTTTTCGTCGTTGGTTGGCATTTCGTACGGAACCACAAAAGGTTGGCATGGAGTGGGCTGGGTGCTTTTAGGCGTCTGGCTTCGTTTTCCGCTGCTTGGGTTACTGTTCGCATCGGGCATAGCAGGCGCACATTAGTCTTGAATCGACGATGCCAGATACCTTATATGAGCAGAGACCGTGTGCAGTTGCCGGGATATGTGTTCTCAGGAGTGTTGAACCTTGGTCAAAATTGCTGGTGTAGGGTATCCAGCGATGGGGGGGAAAGGTCGGGCACGTGACCCCCGTCGTGGGCCTTGACAACTACTGGAGCTTTCCAACGTCCATGCAATCATCTCCACGCAGACATCACCATGCCCATCTCATGACCAATGTCCTTAGGGATCAAGTCAATATGGAGGACTCGGTCCCAATGCATCGGCATGCCTGGAGTCTCTCTCCTCTGGAGAGCCGGCGCCCGCTCCAGAGCACCGCTGCTGTCGTACTCAACATCCCGATCCGACGCCGCAACTAAGCCTCAGTCCCCGATTGCGCGGGTTCCCGCCGTCGACATCGAATCGCAATCGCAGCTGCGTGCCGAGGTCGTGCAATCGAACCATGCGCGCAACCAGCTCCTGCGCGACGCCTTCCGCGCGGAGACGCCGGCCATCAAGGAGGCCGTCGAGCGCAAGCTCAATTCGCCCTTTGTGCCCATGGCGAGGGACTACCCGTCGCGCGTGGCGGCCAAGCAGAGCATGACGTGGTGCCGCAAGATTGCGAGGGTGCAGGTCGGCTTCGACATCATATGGCGGCACTTTGGCTCCGGGACGCCGGGCTGGACCGACACGTTCAACCTGCTCAAGCGGATGACGCCCAAGAGGAGCGAGGCCCCCAACATGACGGCCGTGCGCATCGTGCTGCCCAAGTCGTGGGACCTGGCCGTCGGCGCCAAGAAGATTGAGTTTGTGGACTCGACGACCGGGCTCGCGGCCAAGCTGCGCGTCTCGGCGGACCACCAGAACCCTTCGGCCATTGTCCTGCGCGGACAGAGCTCGGTGCTGGCCAAGGCGGCCGACGAGCTGATTTCCGCGTGCAAGGACGTCGAGGTCTTCAAGCTGGGCGAGGTCGCGGCCTTCGACTACGAGATGAAGCGCCTGTGGCCGGCAATCGAGGATGCGCCCGATGGCGGTTCGTCGCTGCCGGCGGACAAGCTGGAGAATATCTGGGTGCACAAAGAGCTTCAGACGTACTGGATCGACAAGCCGTACGAGCAGACGCCTCGACCCAAGTGGTGGACAAAGGAGACTTTCGAGTCGTACGTGACGGCGCTTGTCTGCGGCCGTCTGCGGCCCCATCTCGCAATGCCCTTCTACAGGCAGGCCCGGAAGGACGGCAACCTTATCGACACGGACGGCATCCGAGTCAACCTCATTCTGAAGGCGTTCGAAGACCCGGCTGCCAAGGACTGCGTGACCCCCTCGGTCCTGAAGATGGCCATGGCCTTTATGGCTCACCGGGGCGGCCACCGCGCTTCGGCCGACCGCCTGTTCACTCTGGCGGAGGAGTGGGGCATGCCCATGGACACGGATGCGTTCAACGTCATGCTGGATGGCTACGTCGCCAAGCGCGACGTGGCCTTCTTCCACAAGTTCCTCCAGAAGATGGAGGCGCGGTACTTTCACCCCAACGCGAGAACGTGGCTGCTCTTCTTGAAGCTGGTGCAGAGAGACGACGAGAGGAGGCAGATCATCGTGGCCATGTACGACCTTGGCCTGTTCGAGGACCCGGCGACGCGGCGCGGCATCGCGGGCATCATGGCGGGGTACGACTCGTACGCGGCGTTCAAGGCCGGCAAGAAGCTTGACATGTTCATGGCGGACCAGACGATGCGCTACGGCGAGGACTGGTTCACGGTCGGCGCGCTCAACCGCATCCTCAAGGAGTTTTTCCGGTTCCACAGCAAGGACAGCCCCCGGTTCGGCGACTTCAAGTCCCTCATCGAGCGGCAGTCCGAGGACGGGCGCAAGGTGGACATCAGCACCATCAACCTCATCCTCGACCACTGCGCCGAGGCGCGCGACTGGGAGACGGCGCTGTGGGCCCTGTCGCGCATGTCGCAGTTCGGCTGCGAGCCCGACCACCGCACGTACCAGCTCCTCATCGCGCTCGCGGCCAACGCCCAGAGCCCCAGCGCCCTCGGCGTCGCCTTCTTCTACGGCGTCGTCGACCGCAAGCTGCGGCCCCCCGCGCGCAAGACGATGAAGCACGTGCTGCTCGACCAGAACCCGGCGTCCTTCTGGGCCCGCACGCGGCCCAGCATCTTCTCCGGCAGGATGGCCCGCGCGCTCGAGGAAAGCAGGGTCGGCCGCCCGGACAACGTCGTCGCCGGCGCCGAGTGGGCCATCCTCAGCGTCTGCGACGGGTACAAGCCCGCGCAGGCCCTCGCCTCGGCCCTCGACGTCGCGTTCCGCACCATGGACAGGCCCCTGCACCAGCAGCTAAAGAGCGGGAGCGGGAGCGGGCGCGAGCCCGGGTCCGCGTCCCGTCTCCAGCTCAGGGACTTTGCCGTCCGGCTCGTCGACCCCAAGGGCGCGCGGCCGCCCATGACGGTGCACCTGGACGCGCGCTTCACGCCGGAGACGATGCTTCGCGGCTGGGCCCCCTCCGCCGCCGGCGCCGCCGCCGATGGCCCTGTCGACGCGGCGGAGCGAGACCCTGGCCTGCAAGACTCCCCTCCACCGCGTGACCGTGCCGAGGCAACCACGACTGCGGCGGCATCGAGGCGCTCATCTCGGCGAAACACTCGACCGGCCATCACCACCACCACCCCGCCGTCTCCTACCGAACAAACCTGAGCGAAGCACCCCCCGCTGGCGGTGCGCTGTCTGCCGAACTGCCGTGTAGAACAAAACCGACCTGCCTGTACAATATCAAAATCGCCGATAGATGATAGATACCCAAGCTACAAATAACAACAACAAACCCACTCTCCAAAAAGGGCAATTGCAAAACCTGTGAATTCCTACGTAGAGCCAAAACGAAAAAAGAAAACAAAAACAAAAAAATAAAAAAACAGAGGCGTGAAACCCACGAGCATAGCACATCGACGGCGACAGATGATGCGAGGGACGCAGTTTACTCATGTACTTTACTACTACCAGAAAATAGGGGGGAACGTACGTATCAAAAAGGACCAAGAAGTAAAACCAGCAACAACACAAGGGGGGAATATATGTTACCACTCGCCGACCCATCCACCCATTCGCCCAGCCATCCACCCGTTCATCATCCATGCCCACCCCATTCGTTCGTCCATGGCCGCACAACCAGCCAGAAAGCCGGCCTCTCGTCTCTATCGTAGCCGTTCCCCTCCCCTGCCCGGTATCGCCAATGAACCAACAACCCCTTCGCCAGCCCCACCGCGCACATGCCGTCTATCCAAACGACTCCAGTAGTCCCGGTCCCGCAAAACAGCGCCCGCTGGTCCTCCGACCCCCTCCGATGCCGCAGAGCCTGTGTATATGTATGCTTGTCTGTCTGTCTGCCTGGTCCGGCGCGTCGACGATATATAAATGTCGGCCGGTCGGTCGCCGGGGGGCCAGGGGCGTCGTCGCTGGGGAGAACAGGGCACCAAGCATCAAAAACACGGGACTGTTGAGGGGACCTGGTCTCGTGTCTCTTTGTCTTCGAATCCAGTATTTGACCGCCCATACACCGAACGACATTTGCACACAACAGAAACTCGGCAGTGAAAAAACGGGAGGGAGGACCACATCATGTCTAACCGCCATTCCCTCCCCCCATCGTAGGGGAAAATTTGCCCAATCAACCCTGTTCCGGTTCCCTCGCCTGGATCGAGCATGATGTTAAAATCGAAATCGAAAAGAGGTTCCGAGAGAGGGCATCATGCCGCCCTGGTCCCGCCGCGACGGGCCGGGCCAGACAACGCTCCCTTCAGCACGAAGGGTCCTCGGGCAGAACGAGCACCTAATCCTTCTTGTCCTCAGACTCCGACTTCTCTTGCTTGGAAGGCGCCGTCTCGCTCTCGCTAGGCTTTGCGGCCTCCGTCTCCGGCTTCGTTTCGGTGGCGGATGCCTCGCTGGCAGGCTGGGGAGCAGAAGAGCCGTCGGTCGATGCGTTCTTGGAAACTTGACTCTCAAGGTCTTTGTCCTCGTCCGTGTTGTCGAACATCTCGGTGTCATCTGAATCCGTAAGCACCTCAGTGCCGTCGCCGAGAAAGATAATTCGGCCTCGGTACCCACCGACTCCGAAGCTCTTTCCCTTGTTCTCCGCGTCCATCTCATAACCGCTGTCGCTATCCTCGTAGTTGTGGTGCACGCCGGGGCCGCGGAACTCGGCTACATCGGGTCAGCGGCAGCTTCTGTGGCGCTTCGGGAGGTCGTACCATATTCCGGGGGCGCGCAGGGGCCGTCGCCGTTGGCGACCCTTCTGGCGATCTCCTCGTACCACTCCTCCTTGGTCTTTCCGTGGAGGAAGCCAATGATGACCATGGTCATGTTGTCGCAGCCGACGCCACCGGTCTCGGAGTTGGAGGCCAGGCAGTTGTCCATCATGTTCTCGCAGATCTTGTCGAGGTCCTGCTTCGCGGCAATGCCGCGTCGGACGAACTCAACGACAGCCTGGGAGGACTGGCAGTCCCAGATACCTGAATTGCTGGCATTAGCCGTGAGTGCGGCGAGCACGCGAATCTCTGGTCACTCACCATCGCAGGCGAGCACGAGGAACTCATCCTCATCGGTGAGGTCGTGAGAATCCACGTCAGGGAAGGCGGTGACGATCTGGTTCTCGGGAGAGAGATCGGCGCTCTTCTTGAATTCGAAGTCGCCGATTGCGCGCGACAGGGCGAGGTTGCCATTGACACGACCGAAGTCGACAAATCCACCAGCAGCCGTGATACGGTTCTTCTCCGCTGCGAACCATCATGAGCCAATATTCACGATACGAGTTTGGGGGCGTGAGCGCGACAAACCTTCGAGCTGCGGCTTGTGGTCTTGAGACATGGGCTTTGCCCGTCCCTTGATTCCCAGGACGCCTCTTGAGTCGCCGGCATTGGCCTATCGAGTCAATGTCAGTGCGCGGCTCTCCGAGGGGCTAGGCATATCGCCCGAGGGGCCGAGGGCCACATACGACGTAGAGCTTGTTCCCGGCAATGAGACTGACGCAGGCGGTGCAGCCAGAAACCTCCTCTTCATACTTGGGGTCTGCGGGACGCACAGGTGTTAGCTTCGATAGGGGCCGTTGGGGGGCAGAACGGGTGCGGCAGCTGAGGCAGCATCTCGAGCGGCGGACGACGCACCATTGAGGATGGCCCGGTCGGTGGCAAGGAAGCCGTCCTGGAGACCACGAGAGTAGTCACCATTCTTGAAGCTGTCCTGCTTGGCAATGATCTTGTGTATGTTCTCGCCGGCAAAGAGCGCTACTTTATCGCCTCCGTGGCCGTCAAAGACGCCGAAGAAGGACAGGTGGTCGGGGTGCTTCTTGGGGTCGGTCGAGTTGGGGTTGCCGAGGTCGAGAACCGCCGTGTGGGAGTCTTCCATGCTGATGCGCCAGCCCTGCATGGCGGACAGGCCGTAGATGAGTCTATCATCCTCGCCCTTGTCGGATGTCTGCGGCGGGGGGAGATGTCAGCATTTTCCGGACAGGGTCGACGATGGGCAAGAAGCGCGGGACGCGTTCGAGGAGCGGGCGAGCGATGCGGGCCGACGGGCGCGGGGATCGAGCGAGCGCGGTGCGGCGTGCCATGACACGAAGCCCCTCGTCGCCGGGCGTGGTGGGGAACGACAGGAAGGGAGAGAGGGGTCGTGACGATGCCTGCACGAGGCTCCGCGGCGGGCACGCGGGCAGGCAGGCAGGCAGGCACGCGGGACGGGGAGGAGAGGCTCGGTCGGGAGCGGTCGCGTAGTCGGCGAGAGACGAGCCCGCGCAGGCTGGGGCTCGCGGGAGGGCATGGACGCACCTTTTCGACAACGGGCTCCGAGAGGGTTTGGCCCATGGTGGCAGGTCTTGTCTGGTGGGCAGCTGAGGCGAGCTACCGCGGGGATGGGCAGGCAGGACAAGAGAGGGAGGAGGATGGCGGAGGCGGGATGGAAAAAATGCAGAGGGGGGGATCCAGCGCCGGGTCGTCGTGGAGAAGAATGCGTGGATCGTGGGCTCCGCGAGACGGGTGCAGGGATTGAGGTTGTGTGCGGGAGAAGGGGGAGCGGGCGGAGGGGTGGTATCGTGGTGGTGAGAGAGAGA